ACTTTGTCTGCACATGGAGTTCTACTATAAACACACTCAAACAACTGAGTTGTGAAATGGTGCGCAACGTTTCCAGTGTTTTCAGCTCATCTGCAACATACTGCAACTAAATTCAAAATGAGATCCTGTTAGCAAAGAAAGAGGCTTCACCTTATACTCCTTCTGCAAATGGACCAACTTGTTTCATCCTGGGCAGTCAGGTGGCCCAAATTTGGCATTGTTAGAAAACCAGCAGAAGTGCGAGTGACAAAGGATCCAATATTAAACCCAGAAAGTGTAACGTGGAGGGATGGTTTGTGAATTAACTCAGGGTTATTCCTTTGTTTGCAGTCGTTCCTGCCTCAGCAGAAATGGCTAATGGAGTGAGAACAATTTTCTATCATCCGCTCTCACCACTTCATCCTCGTTCTTCCTGTTGCTCAACAACTCTCCCCCATTCTCACCACTTTTAATTCACTTCTTTCATCGTGTTCTCGTCCTTCTTGTTTGGGAACTGCGTAGTGTTCTTGAACCACTCTTCCCCCATTTACTGCTTCCTCTATTCACCCCCTTCCACTCTCTCTCACTTTTAACACTCTGTTTAGCTCCCTCCACCCCCTCACCCCAATTCGTTCCCACCTTCCTTACCCTCTCTCTCTCCAATTCGCCATCTATTCTTTCTCTACCTCGTTCTGTCTCCCCAGCCAGCTAACGGAGCGTGAGATTGGCTAATTAACGGCTGCCTGGCGGCCCTGCAAAGACAGCTGGGTAATTTGGTGAGGAGTAGGGAATGAAAGAAGAAGAGAAGAACAGGGGAGCCAAAAGAGGAGAGAAATGTATATCAGTATATCTGCATAACCACTCTGCATTATTTTGCAGATGTTTTAAGTTTCCAGGAATGATTTTACCCGTTTCTCAGTGCTGACTATAAAAAGCACCACCTCAAAATATATGAATGCCATTTGTGTTACTTCCACAATAAATGTGTAATAATAGCAGAATTCCTCATGTATACAACTCTAGGAGATCAGTTTATACATGACAAAGAAGCATGTTTGGAATAAGTTAAAAAAGGACCCAAAGAACTGCACTTCACAGCTAACAAAGGAAGGTTTCATGTTTCTGTTGGTGCAACCTGCAACTTTCTATGAGGCGCTCCACTATAAATAAAAGGTCCCAGACAATAAGCTGGTCTCTTTTTCATTGGACTCAAACAGAACTTGTTCAATTTCTCATTAAAGTGCATTGAGAGTGTTTTATGCACGCTACATCTATGAAACCTAAACTAAAAACAAAAACACAGCAACTGATAATGGAAGTTGAAATGTTGAGTTCCCATCTTATTTTTGCAACTGATATTAAGTGCTGCATGCACCATGTGAGGGAGGTAAAATAATCCGAAGCCAGGAGTGTGGTTTCATTGCACTGTTTCTATAGTGTTTCGGCAGTTGTCTCCATAAAACCAACAACAACAAACAAAAAAAACAGACACATTTAGTACACAGATGGAGCATCAGTTGCTTTGCTAACAAGAGTTCAAAAACTGAGAATTGAGATGCCAGAGTTAACTCTCAGGTGTTAAAAACCTGCAGAATCTTAGCATGTGAGTACAATAACATGTTGCGGGCTCCTTTGGGTACAATAGAGCTAACTTTGTTCACACTGCATTTAGTTATCAGTTCATTAAAACAAAAATAGCCTTCTAATTCTATCTTTTGAATTACAGAGGGGTCTGATAATGTAAAGCTCCTGCCCAAAATGCATCAATAAATCAGGCTCAAAGTCTGGTCTTGGTGGCATAACTATTTGCTTTATTTCCCTCTTTTCCTGTAAACGTTCATCTCCCCGCCACTGATTTCTGCTGTGCAGTGTCTGACAGGGCCTTGCTTCCATCGCTTCAATAACATGCCAGTCATTCCACTGCGTAATGAATGCTGTGGGACCACGTGTGGCAGCACGCTGAGATAATCGATGCAAAACCAAACAGGGTCAGAAAGACAGCACCTGAAACACATCCACTGGCAAACATTTCCGGCTTTATGTTTTAACTAAGCTATAAAAAGTGTTCCAATTTCTGTACACCAAAGAAGCTGGGCCCGTTTCTTGTGAATGATGACAAAATGAGCAGTGAAAACGTCATTTCCAAAAAGGGAAGAAGAGAAAAACCAACCCTGACTGAATGTGATGCTGCAGATTTGCCATGTTTGTCCACATTTAACTCTCCTATCAATGTTGATCAGCCATAAAAGCAAAACAACTGCAAGTCAAATCGAATCAAGGTCTCAAACTGTGTCTGATCCCCTTTAAGGCGCACACCCAAAAACCAGATTTAAGAGAAGTTCAGCTGTGTGTGGGGTATCAGTGGGCAGAGCTGCAAATGGCAAACTAATAAGTTACATAACTAAAGGGTTATTATTATGTGACATGGCTACATAGAGATTTTAGGTGGGGGAAAAAAGGAAGCTGGGGAAGCTTCCTTTTTTCTGAAGTGCTCTGATTGGTTGAACCGCTGCATACTTTAACTGCTGCCCCAGCTTTTGAGAACTTAGAGCCAACTGTTCAGTTGCCCATCCAGGATTGGCTCCATTCCCCTGGATGCTGCTGTGATTGGGGCCACCCTCAGCTTTCCACACCAATCCCTATTTGCTGACATTATAAAACCTTTTCACCAGTGACTTTGGGCAGCTGTGATTAAGGCCTCAACGACACTGCTCCAGATCTTCTTTTAATGTCCCACTTTTTTTAAAAACATCCTAAATTGGACGGGGATAAAATCCGAGCAATTCTGATGCAATTTTTAAGGTCACATTAGGTCGATCACCAATAATTTTTCATTTGCTGCACAGACAGTTCACACTGTGGCTCGAGTCATGAAAGTAGCAAAGCTGAAAATTCTAAATAACACATGGTGCTAAAGGTAACTCATAAATTACCCAAAACAAAGTCATTCTTACACTTAAGACTGTTATAAAGGGTGAATCTCTTAACTACTTACAGCAGCTGCCCATATTTGATCAAGAACAGACATTTTTAACAGTCAAAATCATCATCAGCAAGTTGTAGCCGATAGTTTCAGATTAAACTAAACGTGACCATTAGAAGCGATCCTGTGGTGTGTCTCTGTAACTCCCAGCAAGCTTCACTAATGGAGGGCTGAATCAGCACCAGAGTAATAACTGACCGAGCAGTGACAAATAAGGAGGCATATTTTGTGTGCGTTTCAACCGTGGCTTGTCGTAAAGACAAGCTCTGACAAGAGAGCTGTTCTCATCCCTCTCTCAGGAATGCACAGAGCACACAATAACACACTCAGTGTCCTGAACCTTTTCAGTAATATCCTAAAGTGTCAGCCCCCTCATTGTGCTGGAGCAATGAGCTACAAAGGTGAGCTTGCAACTCCTCAATAAATAACCTGAATCAGAGAACACCCACACACACACACAGAGTAGGACATGTGTGAGAACAGAGTAATGCATGTTGACACCCAGCATGTTTGCATGCACCCATAAGGGTAAGAACAAATGAGGAAAAGAAGCTCTGGCTGTTTGTAGGCTGTGAAGACAAACCCCACCTCTGTTGACACATGCTACATGATACCGATCTCCTAATTGACCTCATCACACCATGTTTAACTTGTGCGACGCTGTCAGCAAATAGCTGTACACCGAGCTGGTCGATCTGTAAGGAGTACTTAATAAAATAATTAGATTACCACTGAGATTTTCTTTAACAAACTGCAGAATAAAATTCTTCTTCAAATAACAAAAGTTCACAAATATAAACTGATAGGTCCTCCCTCAGTGCTTCGAGCTCTGATTAAATGCAAAAACACATTGAAAATGTAAATTAATGTAAAGATCAGAGAGTAGAGAAGAGAAGAATGGATGTTTTTTCTTCTCAAAAGAAAAATGAATTAATTTTTATTCATTGCCATTTGTCTTTAGATTAAAATAATGATATCCTCCCTATTTACATCTCAGAATTAGGAGCTAACATTTTGTCCTCGAGCTGAGACTAAAAGGACTATCAGGGATATTCAAAGATTGACAAGAAATAACAATTCACTGGAAAGTGATGATAGCTAACTTGCCAACTAAGCAAGCTAGTTATCCATGTGTTTTTTTTTTAAATCAGCGCTGTCACTGGATGAGTCTCAGCAGTGCTTCCAGGTGTCTTGTTTTAAAATGAAAACCCTCTATACAAAGAAGGGGAGAAGACAATATTTACTCCTAAAGACTGAAGTATAAGCCGTATGCACCAGAGAAGTTAAGAGTCAACAAAAATAGATGAAGAGCTCCTCATGAACTTCCTCCCTCGACCCTCTCACAGTGAACAAATACATGTCCAACTTCAACTTTCTTCCCACGGTGCAGCTGTCTGTGAGCACACACACTCCACAACCACCAGCCCACCAATCCCTGCAGAGTCCCTCTGCTGAGAGGGGCCGGGTGTTCATGTGCGGGTTAACGGCGGGCAGCCAGGCCACAGGTGCACAGGAACAAACACCAGGGAGAAAACCCCGCTCTGAGTTTGTTAGCAAAAATGTATCATGACGTGCAAATGGCCTAACTTACACATACAAGCATGTGAAGAGGTCTGAATGCTCTACCAGCTGACATACAAATCCAGTCCAGAAAACAAAATCAATGGGAAGCAAAGAGAAGCAGAGAGAGAGTGATAGTGACAGATGGGCAGGGGGTGGTGATGAGTTATGCATGGCGTCATGTGACGTGTTTAAGTTGGGGTCTGGAGTGATAGGGGAATGTCAGTGGAAATTCATGGAGAAAAGGGAAAATCTTGGCAGACAGAGACAGATTTTGCATATATGCCCACCATATTCTAAATGAATGAAATGGTAAATTTAGTAATAACAGCCAAAAGCAGTGAAGATCCAACAAGAAATATTTCATGAATATTTTTATGTATTCATGCCAAAGATGAAACAATGTGAAGCATTTTGTTACTTTGTGTTGACAAGAATGAGGCAAGAATCTTTTCAACATGAACGGGCAAAAGCTCACCATTCTCCAGAGCAGTGCAGCCGGCAGCTGAAGGACTCACACGTAATGAGAGGGCCAATGTTTTGCCGGGTCATTTTTTTGTGTGGAGGCAGGAGACATAGGGGCATTTCTTTTTACGCATGTCCATGAAAACTCCCCAAATGGGGGAAAAAAAGACAAATAGGGGGACTCTGATTTATGAGAGGAAATATCCGGTAATGTGCGTTTGTGACTGTGAGCTACCTGTGTGTGTGTGTGTGTGTGTGGTGGGCCAGTGCTGTACCTGTCTTTGGTGAGGATCCAGAGACGCTGAGCGAGCACTCCATCTTGGCTGTTTCCCATGGATAAACATAGCTGATGTCTGAGTGGATGGCGATGTTGAAGGATGGGCCTGCAACACCAGCACATTGGCTCTAATGAGCTTTATTCAACACCATTTGACGACAGACAACACGCTTCAGAGGAACTAAACTGAGATCAAAAAGATCCATCTAAACACAGAATCTGTTTAAACCAACATGCGCTGTTATTCAGCATTCATGTCCCGAGGGAGCGCAGTAGATTTCAGAGAGTAAACACTGCTTTAAAGTGGCAGGCGGTGATTTCTCAGATAACCGAATATTAACATGGAGGAAACATCAGTAATGTGGATTAAACAGATGGGAGCTGAAATTTTTACAGAGTCCCTATTGATTTTTTAAAACTTGCATTATGCAAGCTGATCAGCCTCATACAGATTTATGGAGCAGGTTCTTACAGATGCCCCACATTTAGCAGAAATTGTCACCCCATCGGCTTTTGCTCTGGATGAGTTTGGGCTGTTGTGTAGCTCCAGGCAGTGAACAGGCTCTACTTTTCTGATGATGCAGTTTATTCTATGCAACCTATACATTTTTGGATCCCATGTGTTTCAGCAGGATTTTCACTCCTTTTAGGAATGAAAGGGAATGCAGCCAAGAGCTGCAGTGGTCTACGGTGCGCATGATATCACTCAGATCTCTGCCTGCTTGTTTTTCACACTTGTCGTTCAAGATTTCTTCACTTCAGAAAGCAAAGCCATTGAGCTAACCAGCGCCGGGTAATGGTTTGCTAAAGACCAATGGTCATTATAGAGCATTCACAAAGGATATCTGATATTCAAAGTGTTAAAAGTCTTTGCAGAGGAAATGAGACAAACTGAAGTCTGTTTTTGCCAGGTTAAACTTCCTCTGTGCACAAATTCAGAAGTCAGAGGAGATAATGAGACATTTAAGGTGACCAAATGGCCTGTCTACATTGCAGCTTTGGAAAACCAAACCAAATCTATGCCAGAAAAAACTGGCTCCTGCACCAACCTTGGAAACGGCAACCTGTTTAAATCAAACGTGGCTGAGTCAGTCAGGAGCCTCTCATCTATTGAAACACCTGCAGCAGAAAGCTATGGAGGTCAGACCCCTGTTCTTCAATGGATTACTTTGAAATAGTGAAAAATCATTTAAACAGGATGTTTTTTTTTTTCTTTGTTTGTCTTCAGAGTACTGGTACTGATACAAAACTGAGTTTAAAACTGATATCTAATTTCCAATTTGGGATTTTCCAACATGGATGAAGATATATTTCTTTTTTCTGGCCAAACTTTGGACCGGAAATGTCTTACAAAGTCTCGCCGGTCAGAGGTGGTTGGGTTAGAAATCTCTGTGATCCTTGTACAAGTCAAGCAGCCTATTACCATGTTGCCCCGGAATCGAGCTCTGAACACAGATGGATTGGCTTACAGACAGATGGGCAGATTAACCAACTGCTGTCCTTGGAAAGCAAACCAGTCAAGTCAAAGCTGAAAAAAAATAATATTTTGCTATATAAATTGACGAGACCAAGTTCTTTTAATGGGTGATAGAACTATCCAGTGGAAGCTGCTGTTAGGAGGCTTCCAGTGCGTCAACACTGGAACCATCCCCCACTGCATTTAATATGTTCTGACGGGTCTTCTTGCAAAGCTCTGCTACTTAAAGCTGTCATGTGTGGTTTGAAATACATGCACTTCATCAGTCCATCTGTTTACATAGCAAAAGAACATTCTATTTTGGTCGTGGCATTGGTGTGCAAATTAGTCTAATAGAAGTTTTACAAGACATTCTGATTGACCCAAATGTGCTTTATTTGAAGTTCGAACCAAACTTGGAAGGATGGAAACAAATATTCTATAGATCTAGAGACATTATAGGGAAAGTTCTGAGAGGAATACAGTCTCATACTGCCATAGGGAAGCCAGTCCATATTTATGTTTGCAACCTGCTGCAAAAATCACTTAAATACTGAATTATTGAAAAGCAAATGGGCAGGTCCACATACGTCCTCGAAGAAGATCCTAACAAAGTCATAAATACCACAACACGTCAGAAACATTCAAGATGAAGCTGGAAGATTAGGGGATTTGTCAGTTAGAGCATTCACTTGAAGCATAAACACAAACGCAGACAGTCGACTGAGAGCACACAGCTTCCGTCCCCTAAGGCGAGCACGAGGGGCTCTTGAAAACTGCTCAGCTTGAAGCTCACACTGCTCGTGTGGGCGTGTTTGTGTGTGGAGACGTTCTCTTTGTGGGGTCAGCGCAAAACTCTGAGTTGGACACACATACTTGAACACTTGAAGGAATCCACACACATTTAAGTGAGTGGAGAAACAAAAAGAAATGCAGCAGTGCAGATCTTAGCAGCTGGCTGACTGGCCATAGGGGCTAAGTTTGAAGATGTCCCAGAGAGAGATGGAGGGAGGAATGAGACAGGATGAGTGGAACGATGGCAACGAGAGAGGAGGACAAAACAGCGACTGATAAAAAAAGGCAATGTGATGCTCAAGGGCTTTGCTCTCCCCCAAGAAACACACAATATTCCCCAACTCATCTTCAGGAGATTTTGTGTCTTCATGCACCATTATCTTTGCTCTGATTTTTTAATGTTTCAAAGCATGTTTACCTGCATCAAAACTACTCAGCCTAAAATATGCGACCACTAGAGGTGCAATGGCTCCAAAAATCGGAATAAATCCACAGCACAAATGTCCCTAGTTGAGTGTGAGTTTGAGCTCTTTTCTGTTTGGGAGACTAAGGTGCAGCAGACAACATGTACACACTTTCTGCCCACATCAGACTGGTATCACATGTCAACTAACCTATCTTTGATTATGACTGCATTCCTAAACTAAGGAAAAGACCAAAGCCAAAGTACGCTTTCACTGCCAGATTCTTCAAAAGCCAGCACACCAAATCCCACAACACTCACTGGAGTGGATGTATCTGTTACATTTCGGTTCAGATTCTGATTATTTTCTCATGGAGTGCTGGGTAAAGCACTGGTTTGAAGATCCGCTTCCATTTCATTCTCTCAATCAGCCTCTTAATCTGATCTTAATCCATTTTTTCTAATTTGTCTGCCCTCTATAGTTACTCCTTCATGCATATCTCGCTTTAAATACTCCTGATATTTTCACCAGTCTCCCCTCACCTTCCATCATTCCTCCTCCTCAGTACTCTCCAATGTGTCCCTCTCTCCCTGTTCCTCCTTGCTATTTCCCTCTTCCCAGTCTCATCAAAGAAAGTTAAGTAGGCCAGTGGCAGTGGTGGGCGTCCAAGGGCTTAAGGTGTGTGTGCATCCTTATTTTTGCACATTGCCAGGAGTTGGTTTAGTTCATTATTAAAGCTGAGCGGGTGGAGTACGCGTGTTTATTATGTGACGGGAAATGTTCAGAACAGAGCCGCTGACACACTTCTCATATGTGAGCAGTCACTTCAAGATTTCCAATATAAACACACAAGATAAAAGTCTTCACATTAATTCACTCACTAGTATTTGATCAGACTGTTATGAAAGTGAATAAGTGATTGAGATACTTAAAAATATCTTTACATTATTGATGAAAAGCACTACATTATTAGAAAATATTTCCGTGACATTAAGGATTCTGTTTCATTTTATTAAATGAGCTCAGTGTCTGACAAAACAAATACTGGGACACCACAAAAGAAAAATTCAGGGGCAAAAGACACATTAGAAAACACTGAACACATCTCCAGTGAAGTGAACCGTGATATAAACCAACTCCATGCACACGTGGGCTCACCGTTTTCTTCAAAACTGATCCTGATTTTGTTGGACTCCGAGCTGGTGGCTTTAGTCCACATCTGCCCCGGCTGCTGTTTTGTCCATGCAGTGATGTCACACCAGTAGAAGCCTCTGTCGGTGAGCTGGACGCCCGCCAGGCGGAACCTGAACTCCTCTGGGCCCGACTTGGTAAGAACCAGATTGTCTCTGAGAGAGCAGGTAGAGAAATGCCTCAAGAATCAAACACAGACTCATTGAACTTGCCGTGGTTTCTTATGAAGACAGGTGCGTACCTCCGGTTGGGGTCTGTGGCCCCACCGTGCTGCACCACGTTGTCAGGGCTCAGAGTCATGATGGTTTTCACTTTGCTGGTCACGCTTTCCTGTGACTGGATGAGCACGGAGTAGCCAGCCTCACCCAGGTTCTGCTTGGCAACAGTGCAGCTCATTTCAAAGGTGGCGCCGCCCACCGAGGCTTCACGGAGGCGTTTGGCCACAACGTTCACAGTTGGACCTGCACACACAGGCAGCTGCTCAGTCAGTACATCAGAAACGGAAAGCCCCGGGAAAAGGGCCACAGGAAGTGAGAAGTGACAAATTCTGTCTGATCCAAAGCAGGCTCATTCACACCAACACCACAACACAGTGACATCACGCCTCAATTAGCTCAACGGGGGGTCAATAGGTTCGAGACTCAGTGGCAGTAAATGTATACATGCATTGTCAGAGAAAAGTGGGGACAAATGTCCCATTGTTGGATTTTTCTGTCAAGTCTGGGAATGATAACCCAAAAAAGATGCCATCAAGAGCCTAAACAGCATGAAGCATTGCTGCTAATGGTGGTCAAATAAGAAATGATGAATAATAATGAAAATAAAATAAAAAAACATGAGTACAGATATTTAGAAGGGAGATGGATGAAGCCTCCTTACGTTTTGTGTCCCATCGCACAGTCAGGGCGGAGCTTTGAACCTCAGAGGTCTTCACCAAGTCTCCTGTGGGGTTAAGACTCCAGGAGGAGACGCTGCACACGTACTCGCCCATGTCGATCTCCTGCCCAACAAAACACAGCCAACCATTAGGTCCATAAGTGAAGACCTGATTTTAATTTTTTTTAAATTTAATCAGTTTACACACAATATCACATCAACATTCAGGTCAACATCTATACAATGAAAGAAGCCTTTTTCCAGCCGTGCTAGTGGCCGCTTCTGACCTGCGCGCGCAGATATCGCAGCTTAAACGTGCTGGGCTGGACTCTGCTCAAGGACAGCACTCCACTCCTCAGTCTGTCAGCATACGTCGCTCCCGCCAACAGGTTGCCATTGCCGTCCAAGGAACCAATAGGATTGGAGGTCTGAGGATCGTCCCCAATGCCTGCGGGTGGTTGGAGAAATAGTTAAATCTGAACGCACGTCGAAGTTGTTCTGTGGTAAAGAATCTTTTCAAAGTCCAAAGCACCAGGAAGTGTGATGTGCTCCCAGCTGACACCCAGACGCCCCCCCAGAGGCATCTGAGTGATGTTGGTCACATGACACGATAGCTCGATGGGTTCTGATGTCATCTGGGGGACCACGGCGGCTTCGAGGGTCAGCGTAAAGTTTGGTTCTGAGAAAAAAATTGAAAGAAAAAGGACAAACTGATCTCAATTGTGCATTGTGAAAAAACAGCTACAAAGTTTTGATTGAGACGACTTCTTTCTTTCAGGTATTTGACAGTTTTGAGGAGTCAGTCGATCCCTTTAGAAAAAATGCTGTGGAAAAACATCAATAAAAAAGGCACTCAGTCTCACAGTTACTAAGATGTCGACTCCATCAGATGATGGTTAGCTAAAAAAAAAAAACAGGGAGAAAAGAAAAAAAACATCAGAAAGGGGACTGAGCCGCCCAACTGGCAACAGGTTCTTACAAAGACTCGACTATGAGGAAATTCAAGGGATATTTGGGCCATTGTCTGGGGGAAAGAAGGAGAATGCAAAACTTCACATTTTAAAGATTCAATGTTACAGGTCAAAATGTTGCATGCTTCTGCTTGCCATGTCTGAGGGACATACAGACTCTACACACAGTGTTTGAGTGCGCACCATACTTCATGTACAAACATGTATACATACTATGCAGATAATATTTTAATCATAGTTTCATAAAATACTTAACTCTGCAGTCAAGCTGGCCTAAATTAAAACTGGTTTGGTGCAGGAAACCAGTTCCCCGATGACTCCAGCATGTGCTGACTCCAAAAAACGGACAAAAATGTTTTTCCCATCCCAGCATGGTTTCACTTTCATCACTCGTGCCAGGTTTAACAGTCCAAAATCACAAAAGTGCAAAGTAAATCCTTGTTTTCCCCCCTCTTTTTGAGTGGTTTCAGGTTTAATCAGTGTTGGTGACTGAGCCAGAGGACAGAAATAGACCTGAAATAGCACAGTTAACTGTGCAATATGAGGTGTGGATCACAGTGTTAATAGTGTGTGTGTGTAGGTGGTGAGGCAGGTCCTCTCAGCCAGACATCCAGATTGGAACTTCACACGCCAATGAGCAGAATACACACACAGACACAAACACACACAAACACGCACACAGAGATACTTAACCCACCAATAAATACACTTCAAACAGGATCGTCTATGTGAACATGCTTATAGGAGTCGCCCCTGAAAAAACTCCTTTGACACTTCAGCACGTGCTACTCGACTCACGGGAAACGGATTTGAATACAAAGTCGTACCTATGCGTGTTGGGAAAAGGCGGTGGCTTGCATGATCTCAGTTGGACGTCATACAAACTGACTCATGCACTGTCACCGTCTGCTGCGAAACAAAGACACACACTTTGATCAATAAAAATGTGTGAAGCTTCTCAGCCACTTCTCATTCACACACACACGAGCACTGAGACGCCGCCATATGCAATTGAGCTACACGACCACTCGTCACTGGTTCGAGAGTCTCAGATGCTGCGCAATTTCCTGGATTTCACACAGCCAGGTTTGAAAGATTATTCTGACCAATATTTCCAGCTAATATCCCACACAAATCTAACTAAAATGAAAGACGATGAAGACCTCACGTCATGTCCTCACAGCTGAGTTAACCCAGAGGTCTGAACTGCTCGGCAGCTGGATGCTGCACTCTGCAGAGTCTGGCAGACACAAAACTGAGTAAAACAGCTTAACAAAGACGAAAAGGCTCAATTAGTGCCTTATTGGGGGAGGAAAAGGGAGGAAAATAGGTCAGTGTCAACAAAACAACAAACTGCTTTCATCACATTCCATGTGTTCATGCTGAGATTCCACTCGTTAGTTTACAGTGTATGTAGCAGTGTTGCATTCAGTTATGAAGTTATTTGAGATTGTATTTTGTTATTTTCGTGCCGACATGAGCAGAAAATAAGAATCAAGACAAACCAATTTCCATGACTGAATTATATTCTGTAAAATATTTCAGCTCCCACAAAGCAGGCAGCTTGACTCTTACAGAAATTTGACCCTTGTGGGGTGGGGGCAATTAACTGGGTTCCACTATTATTTGCCCCACATGTCATAACACATAACGATAATAAACTCACTAATTAGATTAAGTAAAGTAAAAAAAAACAGCCCTAAGCAAAAGTGTAACAGTGTTGTTTTAGGAGGCGTGACGCCAGGCTTTGGCTGGAATGCGTTTGCCTGGGATTTCATGCTTCGGCTCATTTACAGGTGGGCAGCATGCCATGATATCAACACCGTCCTAAACACTGAGAAGAGGAGCTTGGGAACCTTTGAGCTGCCGTCGAGCTGGACAGGGAGTCTAACACGCAACCCTGACACCATCAGCTCTCACATGGAGCGTGCTCAGCACAAAACCACCACAAAGGCACGAGGGGCGCTTCAGCTCCACAGCTGTGTGCAGGCGTGTGTCTGAGTGCGTGAGTGTGCGATTGGAACTCCAGATATGAATACGCTGGTCGAGACATTCTCCATTTCTGTCAACACACAGTGCGTTTCCAAGGAAAAAGAGGAAGCACGGGCCGGCGATCAACATTTAACCAACCTGAACTTTTGGGGTTTCCCATCAACTGACACTTAGATTTAAAAGACTGACCTCTCTTCAGGTAAATCGCATCATGTTAAAATAACATAAGTTGTTCAAATGAAAAATAAGACAAGCATTGATGATATATTAAGCAGCGTTAGCAGTGTAGAAGCTTAACTTCCCAAAACCACAACGTGCAGCGTCGTACAGCCAGCGGCTATGCAACGCCACCTCAGCTTAGCCACTTCAAATTTCACTCTGTACACATTCTCACTTTGCATGAGAATTGAAACCACCAGAAAGGGAAAGCATAGCGAGCTCTTCCGGCAGACAGACTGCTTTGTAGATTCCACAACCAACCTTCAGTTGAATCCTTTTAAAAATTAAAACCACAATGCGTTTAAGGTGAGGTGAAAAAAAATCATGACTAGTTGAGAAGAATAAGAAAAAATGTGATAACCACACCAGTATGTTACAAAAGGACCGTTTAAGCATCTCTGAATTAAATTAGAGCCGCAGACAGTCTGAACCAGCACCTTCTGACGACACTGCGCCGCCTAATTTATTCACTCCAAATTGTTATTAAGTGTTGCTTATTTAGCGTTTTCCCTTTGAGCAACATTTCAAAAGTTTCCACTCAAATTTTCTTGGCAGTTCTATGGAAATGGGGCACTGGCTCCATTTGGCTCCAGCATGTCAACTGGTGGGCACCCCCTGGGCCGTCTGCGTGTCTTATCGGTTTTACTGGAACACTCTGAGGAGGAGGGACTGTGACCTCACCCTGAGCCCAAATACCCTCCCTGGAGTCCCCGGAGTGTGGGGGTTCACCCGTAACACTGGGGTCCTCATTGTGCCGTGGAGGTCAAAGTGGTTAAAGCAGAAATTTAATCTGAGCAGGTTGTGGAGATTATTAGACAAAATGTAGCCTGTGACATCCACCGCAGCCTTCAGACCCACATTCTGGCTGAACTCTGACCGACTGCACATTCCAAAGCTTTGCAAGCGCACACTTGACTTGTAAGACAGACGCTCAATCTCCCTTTGGTGCAAAACAAACATGCGAGAAGTACGGCAGAGTGTATTCACAGATATAGCAGATTACATCTGCATAAACAGCAGGCAAAGTGGACAAAGTGTTTGTTCCAACAACAACTGGAGCCGACACAACATGAAGAAGACGCAAAGCAGTGTCAGGGGCGTGAGGAATGGCACCCTCCTCGAGAGTGTGTGTGTTCCTGTCACGGGAACCTCCTAAACAAGTTCTCCGACTCTGCGTTTCCTGGAGGGCTTGAGCAACCCAGCATGGGACATTATGCCAGAGACACACAGCAGCAGAGCAGGACACGAGTGGCTGACAAAGTCACCTGGCTACACAATTTCTGCTCATGTTGAGGAGCAACAGGGATTAAATATATGAGCTACTGTACGCGCGGTTAGAAAGACTGTTCTGTGTGTGTGTTTCGGCAGATGTAGTGCGAAGGAATGTGTACCCTCAGGCCAAAATGTAGGAGTTCCACCAGTGAGAATAGCCGAGTACCCCTCAGTATGTGGGACACAGAAGGCAGAGTTTGAAGCTTGCTTATGTGTGTGCCTGGCATTTACTCTGGAGGAAAAAAAACACTTTTATACTCACACACCCAGTAGACAAGCATGTATGTGTGTAGAACGCGCATGCTGCAAACACGTTACCGCGTCTAAACGGAGACGAATGACCAACTAAATGTTCAGAATGGCGCCTTCTGATATTTCAGCTGTGCCCTCACGCTGCCCAGCTCTGCACCCAGAAAGCCTGGTTGATATTTCTAAATGCATAATGGATCCCTCAAGGCTCAGGGAGTCTTCTGGGGAAGGATATATGGATAAGAGAAGGCCGATATTTTCACTGAAGGCTGCTGCTGACATACTGGCACAGGATGCGGTGCAGCCAGCAGACACACACCGTCCTGGTTGGAGGAAAATGCTCGTGGTCGACCAGTTAGCCACTGACATTTATGTTCCACATATGAAAAAGAGCAATGCAGTCTTCTGGGTTAACTTGGGTTATGTAAAAGGGAAAAAGTATTTCCATTTAAACTGGAAACAGAAATAATTTCACTAAATGAAAACCCTGTACTTGCACCTGCTTCTCTGTAAAGATGCCCACAAAATCTGAGGCAGAACCTGAGTCTCTGCGTACAGAGGGTTTTTGCACAGGCCAAACAGCGCCTGCTATGATTGCTGGGACGTAAAGTTACCTCCTGTCATGAAAAAACAAAGCAGCTGAACTTTGAACCCATTTCGACATTTATTTTGCACCGATATGACAAAATGTCAAAATGTAAAACAATAAACCACAATGCTAACGGCAGATACTACAAACAGACAAAAATCAGCAACAATCATTCAAGACACAAATGAACCAACAAGAGAACTGCAGGATTCTACTGGCAAGAACAACATCGTGAGAGTTCTGTGCCAGATCTGTTCAAATGTGCTGGGATTTATGGGTTAATGACTTTTAGCTCAACGTCCATTAAGTCTAATTCATACACATCACCCTTTGATGTCAGTGCTTCTTGGCATCCATTTCCTCCATGGAGGGAATACATGAGGTGTTTTGATCTTTGCTGACAATGCTGTGGCCAATAAGCGTCGAAGCAAATTGGACTCCATAAATATCATTAAAAGTCTTTGACTCTCTCTATACAGTGGGATAATCCTGAAAAAGAAACAGGGACAAAAAGACCTAATGTTGTTTCTCTGCACTATAGCAGCACTTATAAGTCTTATTGCCAATGGAAAGTTTTAGCCAGTCAGAAACGGCTAAAACGTTTGAATATGATACAGTAGCTGAACTGAAAGAGGCCATTATGTAACATGTATCTATTCATTCATTAAACATTTTTCATAAAGGGAGCGTTTGACATTAATCCAGCAGCGTTTGATTGTTCTGGAAATGTCTCTCCTTGTTCCATTTCCTTTTTATTTCTAAAAACAAAAAAAATGAAGAACTTGAAGTTTAATTTAAAATGTTCATATAAAAAAGGGGAAGGAAAAAAAGTTAATTATTTCGAAAAAATAATGTGCCTAATGGCATAAATACAGCCTCTCTGCCACGTTCTCCACAATCCGTTTTCCCACTCAAGCAGTACCATATAATTACAGTCCAACTTCTATGCTTCCATGAAAGGACTAAGCATGTAACTTGCTAGTTTTGGATCCTATTTAAAGCCAAACTGATGAATCATCATCATCGTGCATTTTCATTTTGTTTCACTGCAGAAAGTTTCATGTTTACATTGTCCTTTGTACCATATGAGCTGTCACAGCAAATATGACTTTACTGATAAGCCCTGAGCAGGGCCTGAAGCTGTTGTCACTTTCTTCTAAGGGTAAGTAAAGATTCATTTATGCTTGGCATCCGACTGCGTGGCTCTCAACCCATGCAAATGACTTTGGGAATTAAATGGAGACGAGCTTGAGTGCAGTTCTTCAAAAAGCCAGCAGTGCGTAGCCCTAGGATGGGGCGGCACAGTGTTGATTCACTGGACGTTGATTTGTTGACAGTTAGATTGATCCAGAAATAGTTCTGTCACAAACAATTTCATTGCAGAGGAAAAAATAACCAAAAAAACCAACAAAAGCCAGACTGGACAACATATGGCAGCACTGACACACAGCACACCTTTTCTCTGGGAATTAGAAGGAGGTGGAGATCATCATTCATATGGCCCAAATGCCCCAGTTAAAGGGCCAAATGACCATGATTGATTCATCCACAAAAGAAAAGGGGGTCATCGTAGCCCTCAACCAGACTCTTTCTTTGACTCCATGGACTCCATAATGCAAATAAAAATCAAGAATGAGTGTCCCCGTTTCCTTTTCATAAACATCAGAAAAGAATCCTGCATCCAAAAGTCTCAACATTTAACCCTCACTTACCAATATGAAATGCAACACGGTGGGAGATTCAGACAGAGAAATAGGCTTAAAAAAAGAAAAGTGAAAGGAATCTCCTCAGACGGAGAGACCACCCACCACGCCAGTAATTGATTGCTGCGTCGACTGTGTTTGACATCACTGCTCTTCAAAGCAGGATCAGAGCATCGAGCACGCACACAACCACACAAATTAACGGCATACCCAGAGGTAGCAGAGAGCAGGACAGGCATGGCTAATCAATCGTACCCGCAGCAGGAGTCAACAGGCTGACTGGAGGATTAGTTTCCTCTTGAGACGCTGGAGTTACATGCAGCACCAGAGCAATTTTACACATCCACATATTAAGAAATCGCACATTCATAATGACTTTACCCTCACTTTAATATGTCCCCTGCTATGACTTTCATGAAATGGGCCAGCCAGTGTGGTACAAACCATTTGGATCACACACACACTTTCACTGTGACAATGTTATGGTGGAAGGATGACGACCTCACAAAGTAAATGAGAAGCACCGCTTATTTATCAACTCAAAGAGCCCAACACACCACAACACTGCTCTAAAAAAATCAGGAAACTTGAATTCGCGCCCCCCCTAAAAAAAAAGCAGGGTTAAAGTCACGATACATACTTCATAAAGAAACCCATGTTCACACGATGCAGAGGGACATCTCCCCTCATGTGAGGAAACTAAGACACATGATATCATGACACAGAGCTTGGACAGATGTCCATTCTCACCCAAACAATGGGTTATTACAAAGATGATAAAATGAATAAAACTGATTTGTCATTTACTGAGTGGTTAAGTAGATGTGAAATAGTAACACTTACTCATCTCCGACACCTTGACGGTCACAGGGGTGGACCTCTTCTCCGCTGCCTTATACCAACTCCCTCCTCCTGCTGCACTTCGTCCACCACCCTCTATGAAGGCTCGGATGTGGCAGGTGTAGAGTCCTCCGTCCTGGCCGCTCACGGCCCTCACGGTCAGCCTGTACTCCCCGGCTGCTGTTCTCTCCATGCTGGCCTCGCTGCGCTTCCTTTCTGCTCCGCCGGAGGACGCGTTGGAGAGAACCACCCCGCTGCGGTCCATAGTGAGGATCTGCTGGTCGCCAGCCCACCAGGTCACTTCCAGGGTGAGGGCGGGCAGGTTGTCGGCGGCAACGGAGCAGAGCAGGGTCAGCGTGTCGCCGGGGGAGAGCAGCACGGAGGTAGCAGAGGGAGAGGAGGAGGACGCCTTCACACTGAGGGAACGACCTAGAGAAGAGCGACACAGCATCAGTCAACACACCGTTTCCCACAAGATAGACAGACTCAACAAGAACAAAAATGACCACAACTAAATCATTACCACATAAAACATTTAACTGAGTAAGAGGCATGGGGATTCTACAGGTGTCTTAACTATGCTGCGGGCTGTTATTAAAAAAGTTCCCTCCGGCCTTCAGCTGCCTGCACGCAGAGCTGCCACTAAAGCTGAAGCTCCTTTCATGTCAACCTGCAAGATGAAGATCCGATAAGCTGCAGTGCTACAGTGGCACAGACGGAAACATTAGGTGTTGTTTTCCAATTAATGAGAGGTTATTTAGCACTAGTTTTCTACAAGCCAACTGCTTGGCCTGGAAACACTTTGTCACCACAAGTTAGGATTTTGTGAGGCTGTCATCAGTATAAAAAAAATCATACTTTGTGTGACAGTGTATTTGGGTAGGAATAAAAGATAGGCCAATTTATCCAATGTTAAAATAAAGAACGATGGGTATGCCTTTGCTTTCCCAGGACATTTTTCTCACAGAGATCCTTGACAAGACCATTACCATCCTTTCTAATAAATTAAAGTCCAACGGATTAAAAATGTCAGTCTTTGCATCTTCAAACCAAAAACTGGATCAGGAGTTTGAATACGGTCTCCTGTAACAACTTAAACAGCAATATTAAGGGTAAGCGTCTCCGTATGGCGTCTGGAAAAGGACAAAGGAGACAAAGCCGACTCTGTTTGACTTTTCTCATCCTCTTTACTCAAGCCAGTAAGTCAATAAGAAGTGACTGTGACACAATGGATATGAGGCTGAGACCTGTGTTTGTGTGCATGTGTGTGTGTGCGTGTGTGTGCATGTGTGTGTGCACGCTGCTCATCTCTGGTTTCATTACAAACCGCTGGGTGTTCCAAAGCACTTAAGAAGATATGGTAACCCAAAAAGATATAAGATACGGTGACCAGAGCAACCGCATTGAATGAGTGACTGACAACAGTGAGTGTGGGTGAGTGTGTGTGTGTGTGTGCACGCAGAGGCCTCTTTTAGGACGGAATAAGGCAGAGATGGCCAGTGAAGGTCACAAACCTCCTGGGAGAGAGCGAGGCAGAGAGAAGAAAAACAAAAAACTGAGAGGCGAGGATGCCTTTAAAACAAAGCCAGCCACACAACAGGGTGAGAACTCTCCCACGTTCCTATCTCTCCTCACCCTTCTTTTTTCCTTCTACCATCACTTCACATCCAGCACATTAGCATGGATAATGACATGGATCCCTCTTACTACAAATTACCGGGAGAAGGGAGCCTCCTGATAATGATAACTCTTCTAACTCATTCTGTAGCATTCTTTTTTAAGTATCCTTTAAAGATAGTAAACTAGCCACAATAAAATTATTTTTTGGGGTAAGAAAACCATTTTTTCCTAAAGTGAAGGACACATGGAGTTTAGGCAGAGCAACAAAGTGCCCCAGCATCAAAGCTCAGAACTGCAGGAATTGATTTTTTTGTTCTTCCCCACCAGGCAGTCAGGCTTATGAGCAATGAGTCACCTTGACTGGGATGCCAGTCGACATGATCTGATCCAACGCGATGTGATTCAAGCTAATTAAAAATCAGCTTAAACGTGGTGACTCATTCTTTCCATTTCTTTGTGTCCAGTGGATACGTTAAACATTAAAACAGGAAAACTGGTCGCCGGGCTTTACATAGCTTTAGACGTCCAGCAGCAGGAAGCAGCACTCGTATCTGAGGCTGTATCAAAGGCCAACTAACTTCTTAACTCCTCCTTTAAAGCCTGATGCTGTCCTGACATGGCATTAACATGGAGGAAAAAAGCCAAACCCAAATTTCTTCTCATGGTAAAAATGTCAGTAAAAAAATCAATCTCATAAAAACTTTTTCAAGCTTTTTCTTTAAAAAAAAAGTCAACTTTTTGTCCAGACATCTTTCTTGTTTTCAAACCGTGCTGCCTACAACTCGGTTTCCTACATCTGATAAGAGGAGCCTGGAGTCTGGAGCAGCATGTGGAGATGAGGAAGGAAATAAAAACATTTGATAAGCTCACTTTACAATTTTCAGATAATGCAGAAAACAATCCAGCTCTCGCTTTCTGTCTGTCCTGGAGCCACAGTGTCAACATGGTGTTAGTCAGTGGCCTGTACTAACCTCATAAAGATCATAAAATATATTATAAAGATTAGCAGAAACATGGCCATTTGTGGGCGTGTCAAATGAAGGCGAGTCTGGTGGGACTTAAACACTAACTGCTGCTTTAGTTTGAATGTAAAGGTGCCCTAAAAATGCTCGGAGAAGTGCTCATTCTGTGCATTCAGACAGTGATGCTAGTGCTGGGTGGTGTCTTTTACCTGTGGGAGTGACACTGACAGTGCCCATCTCCTTGGTGCTCTCCACGATTTTCACCCACTTCCCTCCGCTCTCGTGCGTCCACTCGGTGCCGTTACACTCATAAATCCCTTCATCGGATGCGCTCACTCTGGAAATGACCAGCTCAAACACGCCATTCCTCCCGGGAACCAGTCGGATGCTCCCGTCTGCGTAACGGAGAGCAAACTTTGCGCCCGTGATCACATCTCCTTGGGGCCCGAAAGTCAAAATCTCCTGGGACGTGGCTCCCCTCTTCAGCAGCCAGGTGACGGACAGGTAGGTGGGGTGGGAGAGCTCCCGGGTCACGTTGCAGGACAGAGTGAGGTCGCTCCCCTCCAGAACCACTGGAGGCAACATCTGGGGGGACACCTTGAGTGTGTTGGGGATGACTGGCGGGGAATAAAAAGAAAGACAATTTCTTATGAATATGTCATGCTGCAACAACATGGAGATAATAGTAAGTTTTTAAAGTTGTAGCTCTTTTTTGGCCATTCAGTCAGGATAATCTTTTCGGGGAGCAACTCAATTCTCAACCTCATATCAAATGTATGAGTGTTCAAAGTGTTCAAAGGTGCTTTCCTCCCCATAACTATCAATTATTCTCAAGAATCAGATGAGTAATCTGAAACATATGCTCCAGGAAAAAGACTGGAAAGGAAGCTCCAATTTTTAAACAAAACGGTTCATGACTCAACCTTCAGCCATTCGACAGGTAACCCTTAACTGGGAGTGGTGACAGAACCATAAAGTATAACAATCTTTTCGCACATCTTAAAGTTAACTGCACAGAATGAATCTTGGCATTAAGATCAAGAGAATCTTTTTTGGAACCGCCAAATAGCGAGTCTCTGCACTTTGGTCCAGGTTAATGGTTAAAGCGGAAATGACTACACAAACAAGCCCAGAAAAGGCTGCACATTTGTGATTGCTTTTGTGGCAAGTGAGCACTAAACACACCCAGGGAGTGTGCAGGTAACCCAGTAAACTCGCTTTCACTGTCACACAACAGCTTTAGCTGGCTCTTTTATCCTGGGCTGTTTTGTCCCGTTTAGATTCGGAGTATGAATCTAAACAGGCGTCCAAACAGGTTTCGACAGAGCAGCCATTACCCAGCTCGCCCCCCCGCCCCCTCACACAGTCAAATAACGTCCATCACTCACTCTGTTTGAGAGATGAAAATAATTGGGGAGCTCATGACTTCTGGGTGTCCTGTTGGGAGCGTGACTTTGTTTTCTAACGCAGCCACGACAAAAGCAATTAAGTTTTTACTTCATCTTCTCACAAAAGGCAAAGTGAAGGAAAAGACAGATGCTTTGATGAGTTGCATTTGAGCAGTGCAGCCATGGGGGGTTAATAACCATATTTTGAGGCAATCTCAGGGTAGAGTTTCTATGTTTGCTCACAAGTGCTGCCTTATTCTACTAGTTTGTACAAATTGTCAAAAACAGAACTGGAAGTTAAGGTGTGTTCCCGTATTCTAAATCTACAAAATGGCCAGAGATTGTGTTTCTGATCCCTCAGAGTCTATCTGGACTTCAGACAGCGGGCTGGAAATGCAACACTGAGGCAGACTCTGCTCGTCTCGGAAGCTTAGGTCCTCCAACCTATGCACCGAGATGTTGTTTCATCCATTAATCTGCGGTGGAGAGTGCAATCTGCTTCCCAGCCATCTGTTTGGGCAGCAGCATCAGAGGCAGTCATTCAAAGAAAAGGCAAAAAATGACGGTGGAGCCCCAAGAGCTGATTGTAAAAAGAAGAATGCTGCAAATATTGCTGAACACATAATGGAAAATACTGCACACGATCTCAGCATAGTGGGAAACAGCAGTGTGAGTTCAACCAGAGGCTTCTTCAGTTCCACAATAAAGATCATCACAGGATGTGATCATTGGTCACAACATTCAAACCTAATAACGATTACAAACTTTACTGATCAGAGCTGTGGTGTTGCGTTTTTTCATTCCTATTTAGGACTGAGCCTAATTGCCTTCTTTTAAAGTCACAGCACTTCTGAACAGATCTTAGATTCAGCTCAAATTTTTTTCCCCTTTGCAAGTCAGTTTGAAACATGTTGAACATAAATCCAAGGACGGCAGATGGCTCGGAGTGAGAAATGCATAGCTGTGAATTATGGGAATAACAATGAAGGCACATTTCAACGGCATCCGACAGGCTGCTTTGTATGCATTCAGAGGGATGTGGAGGGGGTGAGGAGGCAGGAAAACTAGTCTTCAGGTAGACTTTTAAAAAGAACAATGCTCAACCAGCATCCTTGCACTAGGTTGATTCCCAACATCTTGCAAAATAGTCCCATGAACAAGGATATTCAATTATTTAAGTTCTATAATTCTCTTATGAATAAATCACTAGTATGATTGTTTCTCTGTGCTCATCCACCCAGATTCAGTTTCTGCTGTTTAGTGTGGACGGGATCCACAGCTCCAAACGGGAACATTTGCACTGCGTAATAACATTTAACCAGCCTGATCCTCCGACATGAGTGAGATGCGTGCGGCAGTTAAATTTGGCAGGAAAAAAACACTTATGGGACTCTAACAGCTAGCAAAATCCCTGGAACCTCACTGAAGGGTCAGGAGCCTAAAACTGAAGCAGGCCCTGGAGGATCTGGCAGAGAAGACAGAAAAAGACCAAATCTGGCTGAGATTCCTAAGCAGGAAAAACCTAAGGAAAGGAAAGATGCTGCACGCCAAGTCAGTGTTGTGGAGATGTCCAACTGATGATTTATGTGAACTGGGCATCTTCAGAGGCCCCCGTGCTAACCCTGACACCCCCACTAAGATGCTGATGAGGGCCTTTCATTTCAGTCCTACAGGTATTTTAAACTGAGGAGAAAACTGTGGTGATCATTGGACATTGGAGAGACCTGGTGGTGAAGTTGGAGTGTGAAGTTGTGCTGCAGTGATCCACAACGACCGCAGAAATGATCCAGTTTTTCTCCATCAATTAAAATTAGCCTAAAAGCAATTTTTAAAACCCTGAGCGACCTTCACTTTGTTTCTTACGTAACCAAACGGCCTCAACGGCTCTACAAAGCAGTGTGTGTGTGTGTGTGTGTGTGTGTGTGTGTGCAAAGCGCGAGTCTGATGAGTGTTGTGCACAAGCCTTAACTAGAGAAAATCCAACTCATCATCTTTTAACGACAATCACTGCTGACATCCTCTCCTACATAACCCCCAAACATCGGACTCGCTGATACATATGCTCAACATGTACATGACATCTCTCTCGCATATCAACAGAGCTGCTTAGTTAATTCAGGTCTAAATTTAACAAGGTGTCTGGGGAGCCGTGCCGGGAAGAAGAGAGCAGCTGAACATGATGGTGCATTATGGAGCCAACAAACCTGCTGTCTGGGGCTCTTTGTAACTTCATCTCTCAGAATCTGTGCCGTCCTCACATGAAATCTCCCTCAGCCAAACCATCAGCTCCGACTGCCTTTGGGCGTGGTTTTAAACGGGAGTTTAAACCAAAACAACGATACGCACGAGCTTAATTAGAAATCTAGCCAACAGTGAGGGATAAATGGCAGGATAAATGGTGAGGCTTGTTGGTGGGTAAATAGCTCAGGTGGAGGTGCAGATGGGTAAGCAGAAACATAATCTGGACAGTCCTGCTCGGTATGTCTGAGAGGTGCATGTCACCGCTCTGGAAATAAACCCCCCAGCAACGCCAGCTGCAGCTGCTCCATGTATTTCAGAGGTTTGGAAGATTTGATGCATTTCACTAAAAAAAGTTCCAAAAGACTATTCAGTGTCTAAGTGTTTGAGTGTGGTCGAGCTGAACTAACCTGTTATTGTTTCAGAGTTTCATTGTCATTTTAGAGTTGGGATTATCTGTGGTGAAGACCAAACTACAGCTTTCAAGGACGAGTTTGGCCTTATCTGAGGTGATCATATCTCCATCCTGTAAAGCCGGTTGTGTTCTTGATAAACTCTGGTTTGTCACATGATTCTTCTTTTGTCTTATAATATGTAATCATTTGTCATTGGGTGTGGCCCTGTGATGAACTGCCAACCTGTCCAGGATGAACCCGCCTCTCGCCCGATGACTAATCAGTAAATAAGTGGTATATAACAAAAGAAGGGGCCGTTATCCTTTTCAGTTCATTATAAAAAAGTAAAGGTAAAAAAAGGGACTTCTTCAATTTAACAGGCTCCGATACTTCAGTTACTTCCTGAAATCTCCCAAAATATACCTTTGTGAGTACTTCCTAAATGAATCTCGTTAACCAAGTATAATTGAGTGATAACTAATAGCATAACTATTACTATTGCTAGTAATTACACTCAAATCCGCAGCTCCCTCCTGTGTGTTTAGTTACAGGTCTGGTCATTTCTGTTATTACTGTTGTGTTATAACTATAACTTCAACATGATAACATAATAATAAACATACTTTGTAAAAAAAAATCCTAACTCAAAAATTTATCTTAGCTATCAAATTTCTGTCGGAACACCGATGGAGAAACTTTCCATTAAAAAAATAAAAATTTAAAGAATCCTGACTGTCCTCTAAAGTTCACTTGCAGCTGACCTGCAGGTGTTCTGGAAGTCCATGTTTGGGAACACCAACACATCTGCACTAGAGCACTGGGCGGCTCAAACATCTGCAGAAACAAGGATAATCGCAGGGACATTTCGGTTATGTAAATACAATGTTCATAACCTACTTATTGAGGGACGTTACAGTGGATTAAGGCTGTAACAACAAGCCGTGTAGATTTTCTCATCTGTAGGTGGCAGTGTGAAATGTGTGGAAAATGCACCACAAAACGCTCTGCGATACAAAGTCAGCTGTCTGTAAACTACAAAAACATAAGACAGCAGCCAAGTGTGTTATTCCTGAGCAGTGAAAGTGTGGATGTGCACCATCAGTTGCTCCTCCATCCTCATCATTTCCAGAACACAGAGTAGGCAGTCGTCCCTCATCAGTTTCAAAGTTTGCTCTACATGTTTTTCAATATATCATCAATATTAAAAAGGTTTCCCACAAGATAAATCATCATTCTGTTGCATCGGGTTTAATTCTCCCATACAATGGTGTGATATTTATAGCCTATCTAAATCTATAACTCCCTGGACCCCGTTTGGCTGAAGCCAAGTACTCCCACCTGACATCTGCTCCCCTCCATGAGCATGTTGAGGTACGCCGTGTGTCTGTGTGAGAGCCAAATGATGAGCCAGTAATTGTCTAAAACCAGCAGGTGTGTGCGTTCGCACACAGGAGGATTTGCACGTGGTCAGCAGAGCATTAGTTAGTCACGGGGAGAGCTGGTAAATGAACCAACAAAGCCGACCACCTTCACACGCGGGCGAAAAACCACACAAACAATCGATGAAAAGTTGCATATCCTGTACGATACACCCCCCCCCCCCCCCCACACACCCACAAAACACACCAGAAGGTTTTTCCTACCGGTGAGCTGGACTTGAGCGTGGTAGTTGCCGCTGAAGACCACATCAGTGCTGGGCGTCTGACATTTGTAAAACCCGGCATCCTGCGGCTTCACCTCGGCGATCTTCAGCTCGGCCTTGTTGTCTTGGGGCCGCACCACCGAGATGTCGCCGGACGCAATGCGCTTGCTGAGCGTGGGGTCGGAGTATCTCGCCTCAAAGGTGGAGATTATATTTATCTCCGGCCCGTTCACATCCCTGGACATCTTCCAGTCAAAGTCCTGCGGAGCAGAGGGGGTGGAGCATCAGTGCCCTGCCAAGGTCTCAGTTCACGTTAGGTTTTGAATCCGACCTCTCAGGTCAGTTTTTACCCCGTCAAGTGAAAAGAACTGATATCATTTAGCTATATGTATGCTCAGACTTTACAGAGATTATTCCCAGTCCTACGAGTGCTTCGATGTTGAGGTAAAGACAGTGGAAGGAGCATAAATGCAGAACATACCTGCTCACGGGGTCCTTCGTAGTCGTTAACCTCACATCTTATGGAGACCGGCTGACCCTCTACTCTCACCAAGGGTCCAGCAGACACGGTCACCACGCGGGCCGAGCACCCACCTTAGAGGATGAAGAAAAAAATGAATAAATAACCGCCTTCAACCAAAGAGGTCCATATACAGACTATTATAACACTGAATAGATCTTTTTTTAAATCTTGAATACAGCTGACATGAAGTCAGTGCTTTTTGTAATGAATTGACCTACATGCGGCATCATAACATTAAAATTACAAATGGAATTCACTGCCCTCAGTCGTTTGCTGAGGAGAGCATGGCGCTTTCTCCCTTAGAGGCTGATATGACGTGTTTTTTTACTCAGGGTCACATGGACAGCTCTGTCCCAACATGCACAACAGAAACCCAGAGACACGCAGGGCCTGTTGAAACCGAAGGGGTGGTGATGAACGTGATGAAGCAAATGACGCAACACCCGGGCTGGGCTTTCCACGCAGCTCCACCTGCGCGCAGACGAGCGGCAGGTTTAAAGTCAGCCTGGCTCAAGGGTAGCTGCCCCGGTCCAGCTCTGACACCAACGTCCACTCTCACATCAGCTGGAAGCTGGAGGAAGATGCTACAAGCTTTGTGTTTATTATTAAACGCTCTGTAAAAGGGGTTTAATGTTTCATTTTCTTGTAATCTTGTAAGTCTGCTGAATGCATAGATGTAAATATAAAAGCTGTCATAAGAGATACATAAGGCTACACTTTAGTTTTACGTGTTCAAACCTCAGGAAAAGGGGTAGTTCTCTGAGTAAGACCCCTAAATGCCACTCCATCCAATCAAAGGCTTTTTTTTGTGGGTAGGCCAATATCCCTCTCCTTGGCCCTTAGCACCTCTAAACGTGTAACTGGATCAGTTTGGTTTTGGACAGCGCTACATAAACACGTATTGATGAACTTGAGTATTGAGTGACTGTACAAGCACAGAGCTTAGGCTTTTGGCAGTTGGCCTGGTGTTATTTGTGTCAGGCTGCCCACTGTGGGCTTTTTCTGCCACATCAGTAACAAGAGACAACGAAGTCAGAAGCAAATGGGACCTGCAGCGTGTCTCAGTTTACAGCGGGAGGACTTCCCACCACATAGCCCCGCGTTATCGGCGCGCCGCACGCAGGCCTCCCATTTCTACTTCCCCACACAGGGAACGAACCGAGCCATAAAACGCACGGCCAGCTGTGATAAAACAGCAAACCTATGAAAACAAGGTGATTTCAAATGAAGAAAAACCGCTTTGAGGAAGCTCAACCACTGAAGCATTTCTACAGTGGATCTGCTTCACTCAACATTCAAATCCATATTTAAATGGAATTACCAGACGTGTGACCACTGTCTGAGCTACAACGCTAAAAATATCCAGCCCCCACGTCTTTATGACAAATCATCATCAGTGTTATTGAGGGTCACTTCATTTAGGGATGAAATGATAAAAGGAGTAGTTATCTACACAGCACCTGTATCTGTGAGCGCATGTGGGAAAGAGGTCAGTGGGTCACTTATTACCCAGATCCAAAAGTCAGTGAAAGCACGTTTCCAGTCTGCTCCCTTGTGTGGTTGGAGGTGTGATGGATTCAAATGGGAGATGTGGCTCCACACTGTTTGGTTCCCTTATCCCTTGTGAGAAACATTTTGGTGACCTTAGCTGGATCTCAACTGTGTGGGGGCGACAGATATGAAGTAACGAGGGAGACGTTGAGGCTTGAAGAAGCTTTTCTTTGCCGTTATCTGTTTTTCATCTGTGCCAGCCATAACTGTTGCCTCTTACTTTAAATTGCACATCTAAGGTTCTTTAAATAAACATAAGTTAGGACATAAAACTTCCCCATCCACAAGATTAAGACCAAAAACTAAAACAAACAAAAACAATAGCATGCTTTTAATTCCTCACTTTTAGATGCACGTTCAGATGTTTTAGTGGGTGTTCTGTGATTCAGAGATCAGCTCATATCAGCACTCGCAATGAGAGCGAGAACAATGTCTGGCTTCATGGTTCAAAGACGGATTCAAATGGGAAGTTACAGGAAAGGAAAGTAACGGTGGCATGACATTCAAAGCAGAGGTCTGACCACTTCTTCTTCCTGTGAGTCTGAATAAGAACTTCTTCTAAAAAACGTCTTCCTCCTGTGAGTCTGAGTATACTTGTGGGGTACTGGCTCCTACCGGGTATGATCCATCTGTCTGTGTTCATACTGGGCCTTACGGGTCTTTGCTTTTACATGGAGGAGCAGGACTTTCACTCGTGCAGCATTACACACACAGACACACACCTCTACATGGATACACAGCAGGAGCGGCGGGGGTCATTTGATCATCACACTCAACTCAGCCACGTCCACGCACACACAGGAGAGCCCCTATGGCTGTCACTGTTGGGTTGAGAAAGCCCCAGACGACACCTACAACGCTCAGGTAGGCCAATGAAAAGGCCCGTTCCTTCCTGTGGCAAAAAACCGGCTCAGCAACTGGCCGCAGAGCCAACTGATAAAGGTAGCCTGGATGGAGTATTAAACAGAAAGACAGGGCAAATCAGGGTGGCCAGGCCGGTTTCACTACAAGACAGCTAATGGTGGCCTGTCACCTCGTGTTGGTGAAATTGGTCTTAGAGGCAGTCCAACCCTAATGAGAGGTTTAAAAAGCCTTTGGCCAAATGCAAAAAGCCAAAAGCAGTTCGATACTCCGTCTCATAGTTTGCCTACGTGAAATGAGGAAATAATTTACAAGTATCGAGTTATGCAAAGGATTTTGGCACAAAAATTCAAACATGTTTGGGCAATATTGAAACAATTTCCCCTTAACATGAGTAAATTCAATAGGTGAGCAATACAATCTGGTGGGAAACTATGAGGAGTTAAACCACAACATAGATTTCTTAATCTCATTTGATTAAAAAAACGGATGGTGGGAAAGCAGAGAAATGCGGTCTCAACCCCATCAGCTTAATACCAGAAATTTGCACCATTTTGCTCCCACCTTCATTAGGACTAATCCAAATACCAAATTCCCTCCAAAAACATTACATTTTTACTATGTCTGATCGTCTAGACGTGCTGTCATTTCTCTGACACGATTTGCTGGTCATATTGCAGAGAGTATGAACTCATTCTTCAATTCGGTGCAATCGAAAATAGGAACCGAAACAAATGATTCACAAAAAACAGCAACTTTTTATGATCTGCTCATAGGATATAGCGCCGATTTGTACCCTGGAACTAGACGACTGGTGGCGGAAGAGAGCTGCCGGGACGGGCAGGTAAAGTTGGAAATCTACGACAAATGAGAGCAGCTCATTTCACTAAATGTCAGCCGAACTGGCACATGGATGTTCCCGGTAAGGGAAGTGCTTCAGTCTGTTTTCAAAACATCTCACGACACTGCCAAACAACAAGGAAATATTTATATTGGCACATTTCAAAGGGGGGTTTCAAGCTGATATCTTAACCCAAGAAAATGCCTTCTATGGGAGTTAATTAGCAACCATCAGTCACTAAAGACACGTCTCTTACCCAGCATTAAAAGTCCAAGGGCGACAGCCAGCAGACACTGGTCCTCCTGACGCGCTCCTCGCTTATTCCGCATGTTTTCTCTCATTTCCTTAATTCCCTGCGTCCCTTTGTCCCGCTTTGGGGGGTGAGAGCAGTCCTCTCCCGCCGCTGCTGCGGGACAATCCGGTAGAAGTCTGCTGTGTGCCGGCAGGCAGTGGTGGCCGCGCACCGGGCGGAGCCTGGAGCCGGGGGCCGGGATTTTTCGCTCTCTGACCAGCCCGAGCTGCGTAAAAAAAGCCGAGCCTGTGCGCGCAGGAGTGGGATATCTCACAGTGACTGACGAGCCCGGCTGATTGAGGAGAAGGAGGGTGAGTGGCCGGAAGTTAGGTGACGGTCTGGAGGAGGAGTGGAGGAAACAGGGAGGTCCCAGGTGGAGGCAGAGATTCCCATATCCATTTTTCTCTCCCGAGCGCGCATTAGTCTTCGTTACATGTCACATATTATCCAATGATGATGTGATGGATTCTTCCGTCACAAGGTCTGACTCACTGCCGCTGAGCTTTAGGTTTGAATTCCTGATGATGCAGGGCTAAACAGGAGGAACAAAAAACAGCAAATGTGGAAGCATCTCGCAGCTGATTTGGCCAGAAACACGACTGAGTATAACGTTACAGAGAAAATGTGGCTCTTATTAAAACAAATCTAATACACAAAAGCAATATGAGAGTCCCAGTCCAGGTCCAGTTCCCTCACTTAACGGATAAACGAAACACAGATGGAGATAAGCATCTTAATAGACACAAAAGGAGACACAAAACTCATAATTATTCATGAGTCACTTTTTCTTTAAAGCATGAAAAATCAGAAGAGGAATTATTTTTTCCAAAAACCACACATGAAGACTTAAATAACATTTCTTTACTCTTGTGGCCCCACCAAAGTAGAAAAAAATTTCTTCCACAATCATGTAAGTCATAAATTCCTTTAAAAACAAAAAAACAAGAGCTGGAATACATGCAAATTCGAATTGATAATGCGTATATGTATTTCTCTGAGTGCAGCATGTATCATACATACAGTACATGCTCTCATTTCCTCTGATTGGATTCTCCCTGCAGGTTTCACCAACGCTGACACATTCCCGTTGTCAGTTGCTTTCCTGTGGTCAGAGCCCTGCTGTGAATTTACACAAAGCTGCAGCACAGGCCAAAGTGCACAGCCCTGTCAGCCACTCTGCGGGCTGGGACAGACCAGCAGGAGGTGGAGGGGGGGGGGGGGGGGCAAAGTTTGGGCGCGCAACCCCAGGGTCAAAGGTCACCCTCCTATTTATAGAATGTGTATGTGTGCAAATTCGTATATGTGTATTGAGTTTTTTTTGGGGGGGGGTTCTGTATGTGGTCACAACACCTTAGCATCTGTTGTCACACAGCATCTGTTCAAACCAGCACACACACACACACACACACACGCTAAACACACAGGCTCAGCCCACCACGCCTCACATGTTACTTATTAACTAGGTCAAGCTTTTTTATCACTATATAGAATGTATTTTTTTTTCTTAATCCCACCAACATCAACATATGCGATATACACAACACGTAACATACAAATAAACATTGTTTTTCTGAAATTGAGGTTCCACGGATTTCAATAAGAAAGCAGCTTCTTGGTTTACAGACTCAGCTTTGTCAAATATGCTAATGCCTCCAAGAGGAAATACACCTGACACGCCCGGTTAACCGCTCACAGCTAAAGCCGGGCTCAACACGCCGGTTTAGAAAATGGGAAATAATATGGAGTTAGGTTGCCACCTTCTGGCTACAAGAATTTAACATGATTAACAGTTTTCTGAGATGAGATCCTGCACAAAAGAGCTTTCAGTTCCTTTCAATCAAGAGCCTGATGTATTAAAGTCATCTGATATAAGTCATGTCAATGAAGGGATAAAACATATTTAGACTTAAGTGTTGTGGGTGAAACTAATGTAGAACATGAAACGCAAGAGGAGAAAAATATCAACAACATGTTGCTCTTGATATAGTTTCACTGAACACACATCCTTACATGTTTTTAAAGGAGATTTGCTAGATGGGGCAGTCAGGAACGAATGATTTTGGCAAACAACCCAGCCATGGTCTCCATGAATAACATAAAGACACCTTTAACAACCCACAGCTGTCAGTCAAGCTACCCCGTTGTCTTAAACATACAAAGAAAAAGAGATATGAGCACTTATAGGTGGTAAATCAGCTCAAAATATTTTCACACATCATTTCCACTTCTCGGTTTCACTCTGCTGCAGCAGAAGAAGAGAAAAATCTACATGCAGATACAGTTCCTGATGACTGACTCTAGATTTCTCAAACGGACCGGGGTGAGGCTGTTCGACAATAACTTTGTGGCTGTTCTCTGCAGTACAGTGGAAGAGCCAGCAGGGGAAGTCTTGTGCTGGGGGATTTGATATTTAACAAAGTTTGCCCTCATGATGGCTCTCTCATACCTGATCTGACAGAAAGAAACTCGGTAAACATTTCCCTAGAGAAGGTAGACATACATTAATAATCATTTGTTGTAAATTGAGAGTCAAATGCTTTAAAAAATAAACACTGAGCTATAGATCACATCGTAAAAAGTGCTTTGCCTGGTTTAGGATTAGCTTTATTTGACTTTCAGACAAGAGAAAAACACCATCTGATGGACCGAAAGGTGTTAAACTACAAAAAGAAACAGCACAACGTGGGCGGGCAGTGGTTATGCACACGGAAATGTTCGTGGTTGAATGAACCTGAGAGAAAGAGCTGCATCTTTTATTTTATTACTTTATTCTGCTTCAGGAGGAGATAAAGGGCTTGGATGGGCTGACTGCTGTGCTGCAACATGTGGTAAATGATGACTTTTTCTGTTGGTATCAGCTGCAACATCAGCTCCTTAACACATCGCAGGGAGCTCATGCTGAGATCACACTCAACCCAGACACCAAACCACAAAAACTGTTTCAGCAACAACATACAGGATATGCAACGCACGCACACACACACACACACATCTTATCTGCCAGGACGTTGGTGTTTATTGTAAAAACAATATGTGCTGAAAACTTTCAAATGACACAAACAGAAAAGTCACATCTTTTTAATTAAAAAAGTCAAACATATTACATATTACATATGACATATTACACTGATATTTTCAGACTTAAATTCCATATGACTGGGTTGTGTACATATTATGTGCACACTAGTCTAGTTTGGTATGGATGTACATTCACAGCAAAGGTAAATATGCACATGGGAATGACCCTAATATGTCATTAATATATCATGCTTTTTCCTCTTGGCACTGTAACTGACACACAGATTAATGGGCAAAGAAAGCTGATGCAAAGTAACTCAAATACATAGACATACATATAAAAAATATGTGGGTATAGAAATAACTCTGGGTAATGTACATTTAAAAGTCTGAGGCTCAAGTGATAATGTGAATATATGTAGCTCTTATCTATGTATGTGTCAGGATCAACAACAGCATCAATAGTTTGATCAAAACTTGAGAAAACTTTCCTCAAACACTTGTTAGTTTGGATATAGCTAATTGCAGTGAGTAAAAAAGTTAAGAGTAAAATCTACAAAGGTGACACCCATCTTCATAATCTTACAGTGGAGCTGCCAGAGGCTGCTCATGTTCAGTTTGAGCAGAGCTCATTTGTGCCCTTCTGACAAGATCCATAGTAAGAAACTAGTATTCTAATATCTGAGATTCTGGATGTTGACGTAAAGAATTTGCTTCGAAGCAAAAAAAAAGGACTACAAGATGTGTCTGTTTATCCAGATGAGGTTTACATTTAAATAAGAATTCTGTAATAGCTAGCAGTGGATGAATCCTGCGTTCATTAAATTGACTTGACTCCCGACATCCGTCTAGATCAGCACATGAACATTTGCGCATTTTTCTCATTGAATACCAATAATGTTGTCTTTTAAATTATGGCAAATCTTATGTCGTTCAATATTATCTTTAGTTCGAAATTTAAGACAAAAAATGTTAAAAGATGGTGAAGCAAAGTTTGGACTGTTATAAAAAAAGAAAAAAGCAGTGGAATGTGATATAAGGACTTAGGTGTTGTCATTTCACTGTTTCTAGGTCTTAGATGTTAAGCTACATTTACAGAGAATAAAATAAGTTTTTCATAAATATGCACCGAACACCCCTAAACATGTCCCTGAACTACAAATGCAACAAGCCTAAGTTTTAGAAAACAGGCGATAAAGACCGAAAAGTGTTAGTTCAGCTTGAACTAGTTCAGTTTATAAATTTGCTTTGTGGAAACTGAATAAAAAAAAAAAATCGATATATTGGAAGTCAAACACAATGAAAAATGGGGAAAATGAAGGATACAAAGTAGATCTGCTGGCTAAACTTGGGTGGTGTCAGACTTTTTGCACCGGCTGAGCCTTTTTCCTGGGCTGAGGAAGGGGAGGGGGCTTCTCGTCCTCACAGTTTTCAGCAGGTCTTTGGGCCTGAGGAGAGGTGAAACAAACTTTCAGGCAACAAACAGGATGAGCGTCTCATAAAAACTTCCACAACCGCCTCATGTGTCCTACGTGTGCGGCGCGGCGGGGGCTGGGCCGGGGCTGCTCCCCGGCGCTTTGGGGGTCGGGGGCTTTGGGGCGCTGCAGTCTGGAGCGGTTCTGCCGGGGGCCGGTGTGGCCAGCCGGCTGCTGCTGGTGGGAGCAGTGCCCTGACTGGGGGTGACTGGGATGAGCCGGACGCTGGGCGCTGGGATGCTGCTGCTGACCAGTAGTGGCCCAGCCCAAACGAAACTCCTCCTCATCTGTTGCGAAGACAAAAAATGAACAGCGGAACCACCTGGATCTGAGAAGAACCTGACTGCTTGGGTTTGGGTGGCTGTGGCAGAAGTGCTGCTTATTAGTCAAGCATTTGAAGTGGCACAACATGTGGACCACAATTCTTTCAGCTGCTGAAGTCTCAGGCCTCTCTCAGTCAACAATAAATTCTGGCTTTGAATATTTGAATTCCCCCTTACATAAATATGCAGACCACAGCTGTGAATTGAGAAAAGCAACGACAACCTCAGAATCACACAGATCTTAAAGATATTTGCTGTGTTAGTCTGTTTAAACAAAATGAAAATGATATACAGGAAGAGAAGACCTTCCATAAAAAACAGCTAAACAATGGGCCTATTCTCTATTCTAGTAAAGATGGAGAGGGCACTTTTGGAGCTGGAATGGTGCTGGGGGAGGAGTATGCTATTAACTTTAATTTATCTTAATTCATTGAACATTTTCCAGTTATTTTCTCAAACATGATGTTGCGAGTACATCTCAGTCTGTTAAACCTAGAACTCTTGTTCAAAACAGTGTTTTGCTGTCTCTTTTCAAACGGTTTGTGTGTAGATTTTCCATCTCTTCGGCAGAATAAACACTGACATTCTAGTGGAGGTATCTACACATGAATAAATATCTGAACAAGGTGAGATACTTGAATTAGCTTCATGCTCTTAAGGGGTCTTGTGCCTCAGCATTGAGTTTGATTGTTAACATATATGACAAAAGAATCGATTGATACTTTACCCCGTAATCGCAGATGTTTTTTGCGTTTTGCCCGGATGCAGCAAAAAATGACGAGAATAATCAGCACTACAACGATGCCTGAAGAGGATGACAGCAGACCAGAAGACAGAAGGCTCAACAAATTTACTGAAAGTTTAAGATTAATTTCTGAGCATTTTAGTACAAACACATGCAAAATTCTTTTGCAATAAAGTATTCAGCACAAAATGTTTCACCTCAGTATAATTGAGAGACAACATACCTCCTCCGCCCCCCACGAAAATCCAGATACTCAGTCCCAACACTTCGTCTGGGAAAAATGCTTTCCAAAGAGGACAAAAAGAAGAAGGAACCTTTACAAATTCTGACCACGGTTTCTGGTAAACAATAATGATTAATTACAGTCTATGTCGGGTTCTGCTCAAGTCTGCCAATTATGCATTGAGAAGAATCAAACGTGCTGAAGCAGGGATGTTTTTATGGTCCAATTCAGAATGACAGAAACTGATCTGTGGAAACTACCACATAGTACTCACCACCAGGAACAGGGCAAGAACTGTCCACCGCATCACTTCTTTCTAAACTGATGTTGTTTGAAACTTGGCACTGGAACTTGGTAATTTGGGCATCTTTGGATTGCTTTGACAGGGTTAAACTCGTCTCTTTTAACTTCTTGCCGTCCTGAAACCATTCAACTAGTTTCTCCTTCCACATAAAAAGAGAACAGACAGACTGCTTAGAGAGTTACTATAAGTATACCCACAATTTAAGACTTGTGCAGTTACCAAACACATTTTTAAAAGGAGGGCATCATCTTCAGTTTGGACAAATCAGTCCTTTAAAATGCTCCCCATTTGTGTGCCAAAGTCTCTGTTGCATGAAACAATTTGTAATTCTTATTTAGAGGATTTATTAAACAGTTTAGACAAATAATAAAATACATGAAGCTGGTAGGAAATCTAAAGTCCCTCAAGTGGTCCAGAAAAGCGTAGCCGTGTTCAGAAAACACATTCATCCTCACCGATGTGATGCAGGTCAGTTTGATGTTTTGGCCACTGCATTCTCTCTTCAAAACAGGCTTCTTTAGTCGGTCTGAGAACATTTAATCACATCAACGAAACTCGTGGTTACTTACAAAAACTGCAGTGAGCTGTATGTTGACTCTGTAAGCAGTTATCTGTAGAACTTTAAAGGTCCTGATGCATGGCAACACATCAAGGACACACACAGGTGAGCATTAAGACTTGGACCTTAGCATGCAGCAGATAAGGTAACATGGAGTGTAAACAGTTTGAGACAGAGTGTGTTTCTGTTACCTACCCATCACACATAGACGTATGGTCTTTTTGCCCTGTACTTTTCCATTAACATCAAAGATCTCATATGAGTACTCTCCTTGGTCAGACTCTTTGACATTTGTCAGCTTGATGGAGCCATTGTTGTAAACCTCTTTTTTTTTATCGTTGGTTCCTCTTCTGTAGATAAGTGAAGTTCCAAGCTTCCATGTCAACTTGTCTGAGTCACCCAGGGGGTGTTCCAGATTTACAGCAAACTCACTGTGCTTTGGAGCATACATATCACAAGCATCGGAAAAACCTTTGGATCAGAAGAGAAACACACAGAGGAATAACTATAAGTTCAGTATTAGGTCTCCTTAGCAATTATAGAACAATATAAGACATGACAGTAAAATGATGACAGCCCCTTTCGTATTTGTGCTTTATACTGTTCTTTAATTACTTGGGACGGCAAAAGATGGTAATGAGGCTTGAAAAAAATTATAATAGTATCAAACAGAAAATGAAACGTGCACATTTCACTTTACACACATGTCACAAATCTCCTAAAATGAGCACAGACTGTACACATTAAATGTGGAATGTACTTGAATCAGTCACAGAAGTTGTTAAAAATGCACGTCAAGATGTCTGAACATAAATGCTATGAAGGTACAGGGAGGAACTAAGAGGCTCAGAACCTGAAAAGTTATTAAGTGTCTACATCCTGAGAGAAAAAAATCAATTGCTCGATTGCTTCCCTTCACAATTGCAAATGAAGGCATAGCATTTACCCAGCAGTCAAGGTTCACAGTCGAACTCTGCTGCCATTTTACAGATCATATACACCATGCCTGTGTTCTATAAATGAGGATTTCAAAGTTAGGCTCAAATTTGGACGAAATAATGGTACAGATACTGAGGGCATGCACAAAAATCACACCTCAAATATAGGTTTGGGTTTCAGGCAGGTCAGGTTGAGTTGGTTTAGGGGTGCGCGGCGGGCTGATGATGCAGGCTGTGTATCCTGTCACCTCTGCTCAAACCACACAGAAAGGCTGGTGGAAAGTTTTTTGCAAGGAAAAAAAAAACTGCCTCATACTTTAGGCAGTTTCATTTCTACACACAGTGTAAAAATGGGGATGTGAATCAGAATTGTATTCAAACTCATAATTTTCTGTCTGACTCAGACTATGTGTGAACTGGGTAAATTCATTTAGTGGTCAGTGGGCAGCTGCTTATTAACACTCCACAGAGCAACCAAAAATGCTCAGGTTTTGTTTCCTTGGCATTCAGAGCTTGCTTTCTTGTGTGTGTCAGTTCCATTTATCCTGTAAGCTTTGTAGGCTGAATCATCCGTGCAACATCAATATGTTTGGGGGGAATTATATTTTTACCATGTAGATTTCAGGTCATAATATGGCTTTAACACTCTTTTTTCTGTTTGGAACGGACTCTTAAAATCTACTCATACCATCAAATGTCTCATTTTTTTCTCTTAAAGAGTTAACTGTATCATTTAAAATTTGGAGCAAGTAAAACGCTGTTAAATTGTTCATCTGTAAAAAGGGATTTCTTTCCAGGTTAAACAAAGTACTGTTTTCAAACTGTATTGCACTTTTGTTACTTTTAAAACTACTTCGTTCTGGTCACTTCATTCCAAACTGAGAATGTTTCATAAAATGTGTTGGTTTAAGTCATCTCCTTATTTTAGCTTAATTTATAAAGCAAAATTGGTTCTATTGGAATACGACACAATTTAGAGCATAAATGTATTGTTCTTTTTCCTATTTTTAAATAGGGTGCCTTAAATTTATATGAGAATGCATACATTTTTGATCATTTCCCTTGTTAGGATCCCTTCTCTGTACCGAGTTCCCGCTGCTTCTGCAGGCCAAACCAGCTTTACAGCTTTTGCAGAGCTTCCTGTTCGACCTCCGCAACCTCATTTCAGACCAACACCACCCCCAGAGCAGAACCTTTTTCCTCTGCAGTTTACACTTCTGGATGATTTCTTTGGCATGACTGACGTATTTCTGACTCTAGTTTAATTTAGGGCAAAGAGTTTAGGGAAAAAGACGGAAAAGTATAAAACATAATTTAAAAAAAGGTGAAATAAAGAATCAAAGTAATGTGAACTATGTGGAAAAAAAGTGCTTCGCAATAAGGAGGATACTTCATGTTTCTCAACCTTAAAGTGATGTTCATCCACATCTTTGCCTCTTTTACTGAAAACATGCTTACTTGGTTCTCTTGTGGTGTAAATGTTATCTTTAATTTTAGTTACATTTTCATCCACTTCCTTTAGAGATTTGGAAAAATACTTTTTGATTGTGAGATCTCACATTTAAAGGAATATCCAAGGGTTTTGTTTCTTTTGAACACCTTCCATGATGTTCACTCTGAATACATTTTTAACTAAATCAGCTAGCAGACTTCTGTTGGTAATGTAAATAGGAAACTTTAGGGAAACTAGACTGTTCTTTGCACATTTCAGAAGCAACAGAACAAATATCTGATGTGAAAAGCTTTTAGAGTAAATAAATGCTCATTAGAGAAGCCCAGAATAAATTTTTTACCGCACCTCTTTAAAGCCACAGATACAAAGAACAATTCAACTGGACAGGACCGTACCTTTGAATCCGAGGACGGAGAGGCAGAGCAGAAACGTGGTGACAGTGGAGGCAGAAGCCATCTTCATCATCGTCACATTCAGCTGAAAAGAAGAACTTTCCATCGTCAAGATTATTTCCTGTCAGGGCGCATATTTCAGGTGCGGGTGCGTGAGTGTGTCTGTGCCTGTGTGTGCGCTGCGTGAGACAAGTAATGGTTCACAAAGGAAGTGATCCAAGGGGCCCCATCTAATGTCAAAATCAAAGAACAAAGCGAACTAAATAAATGTCAAATTTAGAACAGAGAGACTGCAGTTTCCCCAGAAACTATTTCTGAATTGAATCTGTGGTGCTCATCACCAGAACTAAAAATCCTCTCCAGGTGGCCACATTTTAAGGTAAACTAACGCGAATTACGGCCTAATTAGGAAAGCATCTTCTCAGTGGGGGGTACATGCTCGGCCAGCTCCAGAGCATGAGCATTTGGATCAACTCTCCCCGTTAATGCCGCCCTGAATGAAGGCACTGTTGAACCTGGACTCTTGCGGGCTTTATTTTGAGCCCCAATACCTGACACACACCATGGGCCCTCAGGGGCATTTCAGATGATCCTTCATAAATACAGGCTGCTGCTGAATATAGGGAGAAAAAAACAGGCGTAGCTCTTGTGTGTCATAAGATGCACAATATAACTGAAGAAATTGAGTGCAAATCTATACAAACTGCTCAGTTTGAGGCAAGTCCAGGATTAAAATGACCTGTGCAGCTCTGGAAGAGGAAGAGGAAGAGGAAGAGGAAGCAGTTGGGTTAAGCTGCCGCCTGCCTGGTTTACACAAAACCCCTGCATGAATAGAATTTCCAGGAATCCTCAATACACCTTCAGATGCTAATGTAAATGCACTTTATTTATTTTTGTATTTTTCATCAGCCTTTCCGTATACCAAAGCGCTTTACAGTAAAAACAATCAAAAAGAATGAAAGAAAAGGGAAAAACAGTGAACTACAACAAAATCTAATGAGCTCAAATATACAAACAGAAGCCAACGGTGCAGTCAAAAAATAAGCGAACTTGTCAAGTTAAATATGTACTTTTAGAGTCAAACTGCACTGGACACAACAAATAAGTGTCTGATACAAATGAGCCCAAAAAGAGCAGTATCACATCAAAGAGAGCAAATTCACTCACAGCGATCTTTCTGAGCCTGCTATTCCTCCGGCTGTCAATCAAAAAGAATCTCCTCTGGTTTAGGTTCTGAGAAGTGCTGCTGAGCAGAAACACAGCTGAGGAGAAACATGCGTCACTCCGACTCAGAAACAGCCAACAAGCAGAAAGAGGATGCTAAGATGAGAAAAAAATTAGTTTTGGGTGTCCAAACTATAGCCCTAGTATCACTTCTTTCCTGTGGTTTAACACATCCATCTAACACTAAGATATGAATACGACTTCTGCTGCTGCTTTGAAACAAAAATCAGTTCCTGTCTGGTTGCTGAGAACTGTTGTGTTCCACAGAACAGTCTGCCCAAACCCCAATTTGTACTGGATTGACTTGAAGACTGAGGCAGTCATATAAGACCTTTAAGAGATTGAAAAAACAAACTAAATCAGGTTTATATTTCTTTAAAGACAAAAATGATACACATGTTGAAGTTGCTACATAGATTGCATCATCAGAATTAACACGTGGGTGTCCAGCAGGTGGTGCTGCTGAACTACATGTGCAAAAGACTTGTTTTTAGTCCTTTACAGAATGAGTTTTTAATGTTTGTGGGCATGAACTGAAAGAAAGATGTCTTGAACGAGAAATCAGTTAGCTGTGAATAATCTTAACAGTACATAAAAAGTTCTTTCAATGTGTGACTGCACTCCAGACATGCAGCCCAAACAAAAGGTGTAAATAATGACAACTAAATAAAGATCATCCTGCTGAGTGAGATACCATTTACTCTTTTACAAACAAAATGAAGTTGATAGTTGGCATAGGATAGGAGCTTGATATTAAATGTTTGATTTTTTTTTGTCTAAAGGAAGTGAAGATGTTCTTATTTGTTCCATGATGGAGAGGTCTGACTTCCATGTAGATGATGATCCAACACCGATGACCCTTTTCTGAAAAATGGGCCTTTATAAATAGATCAGATATTTTTCCACTGCTCTCGTCCAACTTGGTCGAAGACACAACACAAGCCCCTTTTTAATGCCAGGGCATCCAACCACAGTCCATTGTTTCACCTTTAAACGGCCAATCAGAACCCTTCAGGTGCCTCCATCATCATATCAGACCGCTCCAAATGGTGGCAGCAAATCAGATATTTCATGCGGACTGCGTCGAACCATGTGATGAAACGTGGCTGTCCTCCATCTCACTAGCATTTAAACTGAAGCTCAGAAAACATTTGAAATCCAGGCCCCAGTGGTTCTGTTCATGCATCATGTCCCACTGGCAGGCCTGCAGAGACGCTTATCAGCAGCATTTCCCTGTTGTTTTCTGCCTTTAAAGCAAAGATGCAACCAATAATTTCAAGCTTTCATGGCTGAGGTTTGAAAGAATATGTCTTAGTGAGTACCCAAAACAATGACATCAACTGATAAATTACTAAAAGTCAAAACCCCAATGAGTCTTTCACTCAGCTCAGAACCTGATGGTATGTATTAAAATCTTCAATTTAGTTCAGATTGTTCTACTTTTCAAGCTGCCTTTGTGAATAGAGAATCTTTTTATAGACTCAGTGTGATGACAATTTTGTATCAATGGAAAGAATGCCCACTGTGCTCCCCTGAAGGCCACTGATAAGAGCATTCAGTTATGCCTTTAGTAGCTTGGACTATCTGCAACATACTTCCTATAATCCTCACTGGACTCAGCAGGACTCTACACTTACTGATTCACCGAAACTCTGTTTAATAATACTTTCATTTATTCACTCAGTGAACTTTTTTTTAAAGTGTGGTCAAAGAGAGGCTGATGTAAAGATGTAGTCGTCCATTTTTTGTGACACAATTCACTGGTGTGTTGTCCATAGTCGTGTATAAAAACAAATGAAATGGCTTTTGGCTGTTAGGACAGATCATGAAGGTAGTCATTTACAATTTAACAAATCCTCACTATAACAATCCAGCAGTACATACAGGCACTCTATTCCTGTGGTGTTTAAAGGTTTTGAAAGCAAAAAGATGGTGCAAAAATGGTATGCTCTTATTAAAAAACAATTCAATGGGAGCTAAAAGAATCAAAAGATGCAGACTTGTGATGCCAAAAGTAATGTGCAAAAGTAAATATGGACACAGAAAGACAGACATTTTGACAAAGGTTGCCACGTTATTCGAAGTCACTGTATAAAAGAAAAGGTGTAAATAAATGTTAATCTAATGTCTTAAAAAAACTCTTACTGGGCTTAACATTACTAAAGAATATCAATAATTTTTAACAAGCTCAAAACACAATGCAAAGCTGAAATTGCCTCATTTTAATCACCAGGACCCTGCTCTCAACAAAACAGCTGCTCAGTTCAAATCTCAAACTCCCGGGAGGCTTGACTGGAATCAAACAGAGATAATTTTAGCTCTTCCTTTGCATCACTAAGATATGATTTTTGAAATGTGGCTTATTGAAGTATAAACAAAGATTAGGCAGGCATGAGAGAGGAAGTCGGGAATGTTGCTGTGATGTTTTTCATTTAGTTTGCATTACATCAGCTACTACATAATAGTTTTAGCTCGCTACATTCCTGTTGTAAAACATCTCTACATGACAATTTCACCAAAGCTCAGAGCAGGGCTCAGATAATAGGTCCCGGTTGTTTGGGGTTTTTGTTTTTAAGAGCAATACTAAGTGTAGCAAAAGAATCCAGAGGACCGTCTTGACTTATTTTTAGAGGCATGACTCTCCTGGGGCATTCCAAATTTGAGTGATCGTGGCTGGGCATCTCCAGGGAATGCCGTCTTTGGAGATGCTGGATTTGAGTGATTATCATTGACGGTACATAGATGACGTGATGTGTCTTTGTGTGGTTTTATTTCAGGAGAGCGTTTGGTTCATGTAGTTAAATTGTGATGCGCATGCACAGATGGAGTTCACCGGATTAGTGTTACAAAAGCAGAGTGTTGTGGTTACTTTCAGCTATTGTGGTGCATCAGACTGAGCGAGAAGGCATCTGAGACATCCAAACATGACGGTTGGATTTGTGGGTTCATTTTTTTATAGGTTGGGAGTGTTTAGTTTAATGCAGATCCACAGAAGAAGTGTGCTTATTTTAAGAGGTCTGGTGTGCGGATACCACTGAGGGTTTTCATCTTTGATAACAGATCAAAGAGACGCATGATATATATATATATATTCTTTCTTCTCGGGCAAGTGAGACAAAGCTCAGTGAATCGGGTAATTTTTTGTATTTGAGTGGGTCAGAGAAACTACAGAGGAGAAAGCATGGTTGGAAGGTTAGCATAAGCATACACATGCAGATTTAAAAGTATAGGTACAGACTTTTCATTGAAATCTGGGTTAAAGGATGACACTTTTGCTTCCTTCTTTACCCAGGCAGTAAGTTCCTTTTCTCGCCTTTAAGAATCTCTCTTCTGCTTTCATGCTCAACATGCGTCCCACCTCCTCCCTAAATCCAGCATCTCCATTTGCAAGAAATAAAACCTCATCAAAGGACAAAAATTAGCATCTAGACTCACCGCTTGTCCTTTCTTCTATGTGCTTTTTCTTCTCTTTACAGAAATGGAGTCCAACAGTCAAAACTGGATTTTTTTCTCTGTAACCTTTCACCTGATCTCTCCTAATTGAAATAGACGATAAAGGAACAACAGCACAAACCAATGTATAGAAATAACAACCACTCTTTCCACAGAGTCTAGTCTCTCAAAGTATGTTGAGACCCTCATCAGGTCGGCTGAAAATCAGATGAAGACGTACCTAAAAACGCATGGAGGAACTGACGGCTGTGAAGTGATGTCATAGCTGCTCAGGTTTTTGGTGTCTGTGGTGTGTGGTTGTACTTGTCTTGAGACTAAATCAGATTCAGAGTCTTTGTTAAGAAGGGATTTTACTGCTTGTAAGTGCAAAGTACACAATTTTGGATTACTGCTTGTGTTAATAGCCTGTGTTAATAAATTCTCCATCACTACCACTGCTCGAAAAGGCTCCAAAGAATTTGTACCCATGTGAGTCTTTTATATGCAATTTTTGCTAAATTTGATCTTCATGAGATTCTATTCATAGCTCAAATGTCATCACAGTTTCAGAGGCAAGCTTCTGTTAGTTATGTTTTGCCTCAAAGGTCTGCATCAAATAAAGCCGGAGCTTTGACAGCGGCCTCCAGGGAAGAGCTAGTTGTGGGCTTTGCCACATAGCTGCCTATATCTGGACAAGAAAGGGGAGCGCGAAAAAGATTATTTATGTAGCGCTTCCAGCAGAAGCAGCGGTAGCTCGTCCAAAGCAGATGAGGCTGATGGGGTAAGCCCTCCCTATATTCATCTTCACCCTTACAATGCCCTTCCTCTTTCTCATGCTTCTGTCTAGCAAATAATTGACATCCCTGCATGAACACCGCCAGATGCATTATGAACTGAACTGGGCCCGTTCCTGCTTCCTGGCCTGACGCCTGTCAGGCGTCACACTAAAAGGGAACTAAGGGACATTCTCATCACTCTCCAGAAGTTCATCATGACCCCCTGGAGCCAACCTCAGGTGGCTTTCACTCATTATTCACACCTTTACTCTGTGCTACGCCATTAGTGGCGCCAGCTGCCTGGAGCCAATGTGCTGCTCATACAGCATCCTGGAGAAAAGAGAGAGTTCAGACACAGCAACACAGCATCTGTCCCCCGAGATTCTGGTTAGTTCAGAGGGAGAGACAGAGTGTGTGAAACTACTTAGAGAAAATGAAAATATTCATTTAAGATCACCTACTGCCATTTTGAGTGATACTGACGTTTTGGTGTCGGGATGTCTCATGAAAAAGGATTTAAGAGAAACCCAAAGCAAAAATACAATCCTCTGGGGAACATGGAGACTTTCTGTATCAACAGCAATCCACTTATAAGACAAAGGTTTTTGCTGTATATATTTAAAGCCATAATGATCCACAGAGAAACTAGTGCAAAATGACTGCAACTAAAATAAATGTGGTAAAAGTTTGAGAGATCTTTGACATTGGTATTGGTATTTGAAATGTTTTCAGGAATCTGAAGGATGTTTTTTTATTTGTTTCTTATAAATATCCTTTGAGGAAAAAACAGTCTGGATTATTAAAGTGAAAATATTGCCATTAGAGTATATGATGAGAGTAATGGGAATGACCCTGTGGGATCCGGTAACTTGGAGTTTCAGTCCATGTGAAAATAACAATACATTTGTGTCCCATCCATGCACATTAAATGAAAGTCTTCCCACTCACAAATGATAGCCTGTTTTCTCCGGCCTGCAGTGTTTTCTTTTTTATGTAATAAGTCCAACTTTCTTCTCTCCCTCTGGGTCTTCCCCTCTTTCCAATGTTGGCCAGAGCAGTGTGGTATTTCACCATGTAAGGCTGCAGAGCCGATCCACTCCTGGGACTAAAAGGAAAAAAAAAGTCAAAGTATTCCCTTCTTGGAAATGTGCTTCTTATTGTGGAAATAAATGCTGCTTGCTCTTAAGGAAACGGAGGAAAAACAAGAAGATACAAAAATATCTCTGACAGAGTTTTACTTCATGTTCATGATCACAGGAGAAAAATATGATTCAAGAGTGCTTGTTTTTCTATTTAATTTGACTTTAAAGGTGTTAAGCTACAAATCTGTTAGATGGTTGATAATGCTTAGAGGGAAGCAGGAAAAAGGAAGACGGTGTTTTACCACAAACTGTCACCCAATATTCTCCAGCAACCTTTCAACCTTCTGTTTTATTCTTAGCTGGATTGAGGTTGGTTCACAGATGATGTCAGGTCTAAGTAGGAAATAGTTAATACTCATGCTATGACAACTTTACCTGAAGTTGCTCTTTGCATGCATAGCATAAAACCTCTTGCAGAGTCTGCACATTTCCTGTGACACTTCTTAACCTTTTGCATATAGCCTAAACCATACATGCATCTCCTTTCTGAACCTTTTCTCTTTTTTTGTAGGACTGCTTCTTGACACTTTTGTGTCATTCTACCTCTGCATGGGATAACATCTAGAGACATCTAATGTTGGGCTGACTCAAACAGAAACTAATGCACATGAAAGTGAAACTCTGATTGTGTCATAATCCCTGTGCTGGGCCAGAGAAGAAAACAGGGGAACCAAAGAGCTACGGTTAAGTTTGGTTTGTCATGTAAACCTACCAAAAGAACTGCAATGCTGGATCACAGAGAAGCAAACCACGAAATGCCCGAAAGCGCTGGGGATGCTATGAAAAGAGGCCAGGAGAGACAGTTGTGATCTGACAGTGAGTGAACGAACCAGGAGAGTTTCCATGCGGGGAGAGTGATTGTGAGTGGAAGCAGCTGTGGATAGTGAGCCAGGAGAACCGGGGGAAAGTGAGGAAAGTGAAGGTGGCGGAGACACAGGAGGACACAGGAAGCACAAGACAGACACCAGAGTAAAATTGAACAGGTGGAGGAGTTCAACCAGGAAACAAACCACATTTAACCCATAAAAACTAACAAGAAAAACACACAACAAAACAGATTGACCACAGCTACAACTCCTCAGCTGCAATCTGCATGGAGTGATGCCTGTTTGTGTGTTATGCTGGCTAACTGTAGTGGGCAAAGCAATGGAGCAGCTAACTGTTACCTATCTCCTTTAAAAAGACATTCTCCAGACTTTCAGGGCTCATCATCCATGAAAGCCATCATTTCTGCTGTTTCAGACAGATATTGTCCGTCGTGGAGCTCTGAGGGGGGGACGCTATCCCTCATAAAGACAGTAACACATAACAGCAGCTGCCTGGAAGCCCTGCAGGGAAACGGAGCAAACCAAACAGATGTAAAGATTCACTATAAACAGAAGCGAGGGCCGACTTTAGCAACGTAACACACTACAGCACGCTTTGTGAAAGTTTGTAATCACACTTGAAATCTCTCCATTCTGAAACAATAACCGAACAAATAATTGTCAAGTCCTTAAAAATATTGCAACCTCCACTTCCTGCTGGAATTCCAAATGTATCAGGAAGCAACTCTGTAATACTGAAGTGGTTAGTGCTGTTACAAATCTTTCATTCCTATTCCCATTCCTATTTTTGGACCGTACACAGAGCATAATTCTGCCTTCATCTGGGAGGCTTTGCCAGCTCCTTTCTTCACCTGCTGATAATCGAACTTCTTCCGTGTTCATTTACATTTTGCAGATGTTGCTGAAGGAGCGCAGCCACGTCCCAGAGAGAGGATCAAAGTTTAATCTTTTCATTTAGAAAGTCAGAGAACTGTATGCTGGTGCTCAGACTGTTTGACTGAGGGCTATAACCACAGACTGCCCAGTGCGTGACTGACAGCCTGTTTACAGGCTGACCCTCCACACAAGCCACCCGGGACACTTGGTGGGCCTCATTGGGGGTTGTTTTGACTTTTTTGAATCCCTTGTTTCTCTTGTTTTATTTCTCCACGGTGGAGGATGCTTTACAAGACTTCACAAATATATGATAAGATGAGCAGTTTTTACAAGCATCACTACAACACAAATTTAGACTACAAAGATATATGGGTCTTAATTTTGTCCTTGCTGCTTCAACAATATCAGTATCATTGGTGGGATCTGGGTCCATGTGTATATTTAGAGGTGCCATCAGCTGTTCATAGGTATGGTGCGTCCCCGCGGCTGCCAGGGGGATGAAGACAATAGAGCGGTCCAGTTGTGCTATTTGACTGTAGGCCAGTTGACAAATGATCTCTGTGATTTTCTCTCAGCGGACACGTTGTGAAAATGTTAAACGAGGGGCCAAAGGTCCAAACACGGTGACCCATTCATTACAAGTGGGACCTGTTTAGCACACCATGAAATGATGTTCTGAAAAGTGCACGAGAACCATTTCCTCCGTGCTAAATCTAATGCTTCTGATTTTTTTTTTAACTTCCCTTTGATCTTTAACAAGGAGCACGAGCCTGGAACAGCTATGAAAGCAAGACAAATTCCTGGAGCCTCATTGCATTTCAAGTGAGTGAATAAAGTCTGTGAAGATGAGTATGGAGCAGTTTCTACATTATCACAGACGGCTCTCAGGTAGTTTTTGCCAAAACAACTCTAATAAAAAATTGACTTGTTTCCCCCAACTCTTCATTTGCAAGTCTATTAATTCCTTTATCAATTAAAGTTATCTCTGATTGGGTGCGAATCTCAAGTTGACTTCTAACTTCTTCAGAGTGGCCACACTGTGTCACAGGCACAAAGATCTACATTTTCTTACAAAAGTTCTTGAGTTTCAAACTTTGTAACATTGTTCGATAAAATGAAAACAAAAACCAGCCTTAAGTGTAATATCATTCTTATGTTACACTTACATGCGCATCATTTTAAAGTCACTCATTGCTCACATAAACCGCTGTCAGAGTTGCAGTTTCAGGTTTAAGGATAAAAAAACTACAGCAAACCTGAGCTGTGGCAGTGTCCTGTGGACACAACACAGCAGCACACCTGATACACGCCTGGTTTCCACACTCTCCTCAAATCTTTGCTGGGATGTCCTGCCTCCTTCTCTCCCTCCCCCTCACAGTGCGTTTACAGCCTCGGAGAGCACAGCATATCTGGCATTTCTCTCCCAAACTCCAACCAGCTCTGTGCTCATCTGAAAGGTAAGAAGCAGCATCTCTTACACAAAAAAATGCTCTTTGATTTGCTACATGTTAAAAAAGCCGACAGAGGGATGATGATACTTGCTGAAGGCACGTACAAGATAAAGATGTCTAAATCCTGTTGTTAGATCAGCATACTGTAGGAGGGGGAGCTTGAAAATGGGCATTTTTCTGGGAGTAACAGCCACAGTCAGATATAGTCAATCCTTGAGGGTAAAAAGAGTATAATGTATAATGTTAAGAGGCAGGACAGCTGCGTATGAATCACTGCCTCATGTAAAAAAAAGTAATTGTTCAAACACAGTAAGTGAAGCTCCACATGGAGGAGCGGGGGGGATGGAAACTGGACTTAACCTCCCAGAGGGATAAACACTCACTTTTTACATTCCCATCCAAAGCACATGATTTTATTTTGGGTTGATGAGAAGCCAAATCAGATGATTCTAATCATTTCATTTCATTATGCAATTTCATAGTGAGAGGTTCTTGACGCATATGCAGGCAAATTATATTGGTCTTTATTGTATTTGCAGGGTCATCCCAATCTAATTTAAGAGATGTTACATTAAATTGCATAACTTGCTTTATCAGGGAGCAAACTTAGAAATCTGCTGGTAGAAAATGTAGCATGTTGCTTTTAGGGAATAAGCTTTCATGCTCTGTGGGGAACTTTTTTCCTAAAGATTTCTTAAATCTATTTGATGATTCATCCCTCATCAGGAGAACAAACAAATAAATAAAAAGAGGGTAATGGGGTCATGCTGTCGTGCCATGTATGGGTAGCACTGACCATGCCCCAGTTTGAAAAATGGGTCAGAATCAACATATCCGTACGTCTCTCCAAGCCACACTTTACATCCTCATAACTGTCAGTCATGCAGGTATTTTTAAGTTATTCATCATTCGAAGGCAACAAAACAAATGCGTGTTTCTGAGTCTTAAGATGCTAAAAATAATTGTGTGTATTCACATGGGTTTATGGAATGTGTGTGTCGCCTCTTTGGTGCTCCAGACAGGAGCTACTGGTGCTGACAAATGCTGATAAAAGCCGAACCTGGACTTTGACGGCCATCAAAATTCCTTCGGAGCATTCACATGGGCTGCTCATAGAAAGCTTCTGCCTTCAATTTCAAACTTCAATTTTGTTCATAAAACATAAAACATGATGACTTTCAGAGATAATTAGTTCCGTTACAACAGATGGAACAATCTATTGGAAAATAAACACACATTTAGGCCAATATAAACTATTTATTGTCATGTTTAAAAAGAGGGTGTCATGATCAAATTAATAAAGAGTCAAAGATCATGTATTTTAGCAAGTGTGCCTGATTACCCCCATTTCATTTCTAATTCCGCTGACACAACAGACAAAAGGTTTTGTGTTGTGGTACGTCATTTAGCGACACTATCTATTAACAATGCCAATTGTAGAGCCCCAAATGGCTAAAACTAACAAAGAATGATGAGAATTTAAGACAGGACATTTGAAGACTGTTAAAAAACACACAAATGCTGAAAAAAGTTATAAGAAAAACATAGAAATAATGTAGAATTTTCAACACAACTTTGGGGTCTTAGAAATAAAAAAACCTGGTCGGTTTTGGGTGCTCGACAGAGTTGGACTATTTGACAGAAGACAGAAAACTACAAGGTCAAGGCCGGTGAGTGGAAGTTTTATAATACTGGGAAAAAGAGAAGTCCCTAATGGAGAGATATTAACCACCAATGCAGACATTCACTGTATGAACAGGAAAAATAGCTTTTCCCGTCTTGTTTCTTTGACTTTTAGGAGCATGAAGGTGATGCTCGGTCAGTTCTTTCTGCCAATCATGAGATTGAGTGTGGCCTCTGAAAGCCAGCAGTTGCTGCGATTTGTCCACTAGCACGCTTTAACTGCTCGTGAATAACGGGATTTACCAGCCCCTGTTTTCTTCTGCCTGAACAGCTGTGTCCGTTTTGTCCTGTGAAACGTTCAGACATCCCATCAGAGCAGCACGCGATGACAAGGAAATTGTTTGTTTAAAAGAATAAGTAAGAATAGCCGCTCTGCAGCAGGGGTTGACCTTGTCAAAAGAAAAAGTCCAAATGTCACCAGGCAGAGTGACAGAGACTATTTGCCTCAGAGTATTTTCTGCCAACATTTGATATTCTTTTCCTCTAAGAAACGCAGATGAATCACACCAGTGCAGAGACTGGAAGGCTGTCTTCCGGCATTACAGGAGTGACGGTCAGCACTCAGAGTTAAATGATGTGTTCAAACGAGGATGATGAGGAGCACACACAAAACTGGAGTGTGTTAATCTGAGGGGCCCTGCCTCACACTGCAGCTTCCCATAAAGGCCACTGGGTGGCGTCAGAACTGAAAAGGAATCAGATTTTTTCACCTCATTACATTTTTTATTTCAATTTTAAAAAGTGTTTACTCTGAACAATAAGGGCCAAAAAGGTTTTGCTTAACTCAGTAGTATGCGAGGTAATTCATATGTAGCAACACTGATGAGGATCATTCCACTGAAAGCGATCCGAACCACAGCTCTACCCTCTTCCTTTGTTAAAATGTCTACGAAAAACTATTTCCCTGATCTGCATTTGCTCTTCGTTGTTAACACAACAGCCTTTAAATGCAGTAGATAAAATGTAAAACTATTTCGAACATCTGGTTTGTGTTAGTAGAGAGTAAATAAACTCCCCAGTGGGGCATCAGAACACGTGTCTATGCGTTAAAGGTGTTAACATGTCAAGTGATAATGAGTGACTCAGAGGCGGATTGACAGTGGAAGGAAGAAAACTAGATAAAAATAGATGTGTTGAAAAGTGAGTAGAAGGCTGATACGGCAGCTTTTATCTCCATTAGTCCCAGACAGACCCCAAGTGAATGTCCTTTAGCGCCATCCTCAGGAAAACCTCCCAGTCCACGCTGTCTGCGTATTCTTTAACCCAAGAATCAAACTGAAAAATGCATCTAACAGGAGTTGCTGGTCCGACCGCCAATCTCGTTAAAAATAGAATAGTATTTCACAGGACTGAGGTGAGCAGGGGCCACTAATTCAGGAGCACGGTAACCTTGTCACTGTGGTCCATGGAAAGCCTCCAATCAGAGGACAAAAGTGTGGAGAGCCATGCAGCAACACAGTGATGCTCTGATTACATCCCTGAAGAGACTTTATCATGTCCTTCCTTAACGCTTCACATCCACCCCCCCCCCAGCCGCCCTACGTAGAGACTGTACCACACTGTGCTCTTGACATTTGTTTTGCTGCCACTCCGACTGGAGTCCAGCTTAACACATCATCAGACTTCAGCTGGCGCCTCCGTTATCATCACACCATGTCGGTGATACAGAAAGGTCACATTTCTCAAGCTGGAAAAGTCACCCCCAGGATGGCGTGTGTGGTATGCTGTTTACTGTTTAGTATGGAGGCTTGAAACCGAGGTTGACAGTGAAAATGTGTTCTTTTTCTGCTCCCAAAACTAGAAAACGAGAAGAAAAGACACAGGAAGAGAAGAGAAGATATATGCTGCCATCTCCAGAGCAGGGCCTTGATTCTCCTGCCTCAGCCGTCTGCTGCCTGACTGACCTCTCTCAGCCCCCGTTCCGACCCAACAGCGTCCAGCCAGCCTGCTGCCGCCATGGAGCGAGTCCAGCACATGACCAAGTCAGCCATCCGCCGCGCCTCCCAGATCGAAGTGACTCCACAGGCCAAGAGGAACCTGCAGGAGCTGTTCGTCAACTTCACCCTCATCCTCATCTGCCTCCTGCTCATTTACATCATCGTGCTGCTGAGCAGCTGAGGGCCGGGACGGCGTGGGCTGAGAGCTTGGCATGGCTGTAGGCTTTTACCGGTGCGTCGGGTCAGGTCTAAAAAGCAATAACACCCAGGTATCAGCCCAACCCTGTCTGTCCGCAGTCAGGGAGGCCCCACCTGACAGCAGCACATGCCAAACTCTCTCAATTCATGCAGATTTTCAGCTCAAGGGTAATTCTTTTTCTGAGCTGGTCGAGGATCAGCTTCCCGGCCTCCGTTTCTGCAGGGAATGATCAAATGTGACCCGACTTCAACTTCAACCGACATCCCGTGTGTCTGTATGTAGTCATGAGGCTGCTCATTGTTACTAACACCCCGCGTAGAAGCGATAGGAAATGTTAATCCATAGTAGTTACTTAACTTAAATTCCCTTTTTACCTGCTGCTTCCACCTCTACCACAACACGACTGTCATAAAACAATTAGGATTCAAAATACCTTCTTCCTGCAGAGGACGGGCTGATGCCTCCCGGACTCTGTTTGGCTGGTTCAGGACACTGACATCACTTGGTTTGCCTCTAAAATCAGAACTGCTCTGGCAGATTCACAAAAGAAACATGATTGGGATTTTAAAAATCTCTTGGGTGACAGCCATCATATTCACATGCGGTTCCTTTTAAGACCTTTTCACGCTGTAAACTCAGAGGCTGCAACACGGTTGTCTTGGTGGTTATTTGTCTGTAACATGAGCAGTTATCAAAATGTAATATGGAAAAGCAAATACTGTGGCCTAAAAAAGTGGAGGAACGTGTAAATAGCCCAAAACTTACCGTTTGTAACCTGTGACTCTTCATCATAGAAAGTAAATATTGGATTTTACATATGATGTAAATGATGGTACACAATTGGATGTAAATGGAATTTTCTGTGTAATTTGCCCCGAAAAGTGTTGTCCTATCAGTATCACTGTGGGTGTGGCGCAAGAAGAAGAAAATAACTATTGTAAACCAAATTAAATTATAACCGTAGAACCTCCGAGCAGCTCACCCACACATGCACAACCTCTGAAATCTGCCAACTGCCAGCAGGACTGTGGACCACGCAGTTGGGAGAGTCAGTTGAGAATCATAGCTCACTTGCATGGTATGTGGTCACGCATCACAAGTACGATTTTAGGCAGCATGGGTCCAGAAATGAAAAACACTGGTGAGAGTTCAATTTCATGAGTCCACGGGAAATGAATGTGTACTTAAAAATCATGTAGCTGCTCTGCAGAAAATGTTTTAATAACTTACTGTTCGTCTTTGATTGCCGTGTCTGTTATCATGACTAAGAAATAGAAACGACCTCTGATTCTGAAATACCGATGAAGATGTGTTTGCATTTCTCTGCATTTGTGTTTGAAAAATCGTACCAGCTGTTCTTCAAATCATCCAACACCAAATAAAACGCAAGCAAGTGAAAATGCATTATTTTTCTTTGCCTTTTCTTGATCCATTCAACAGCCTTTTTTTTTTATAATTTTCTTTTTTAAATAATTTTTTATAGAATGTGCACTCGTGTCCCAGGAACTCTTTTAGTTGTGAATAACTAGAGAGAAAAGAACAACCAAGTCATGAGGAAATAAACCTTGTAAAACAGAATTCTGGGTTAATACAATTGGCTGAGCAGTGTTAAATCAAAGCTTCATTATTATCTCACTTATTGGGGGGGAAAAAGAAGGAAAAATAACAAGTACCTTTGTATATAATCCACTGAAGCTGGACAGTTGACAGTTTTCTCTGTAATGGTTGATAAAAGCTCTCCTGACTTCTTTTGGGTGATATTTTAAAACAACAAATATGTTGCAGCTACAATCCAGCTGAGCACATTTCACAGCTGAACGCCAGAAAAAGACCCTGCACACTGCTGAAGGAGGACAAAAACAGGAATTAAAATCAAAATACAAAATATAACCCTGTGCTCCACACAGCAGAAACACCTCTGCAGAGCACACTTTGCAGTTTGATTCTTGGGTTGTGCAGAAAGTATGACATGTAGTTTGCTTTACGCTGAAAAGCAGTACCCAGCTCGGAGCAAGCAGGTGGCCACAGAGACCACTGCACTGCCTCTGAGCAGACTGTCCACCACTGCTCCATTTGCTTCCCGTTAGAAGTCTAAGCACCAGACGCCCCGCCCCTAGCCTGCTCATGCCTATCCCACACCACGCACTATGGTGTCCAGAAATGCAAAATCCTTAGGAAACATGACTTCAAAAGCTTTAGTAGACACACCACACTAAGCACAGAGCGTGAGCTGTGGGGATGTTTGCCATCATATTTGTCAGTTCTTGATTCCTTACATGATAATGATGTATTAATCAGTAATATGTCTTGAATAATAAGCAAAACAACTCTGAATTCGACAGAAACAATAATAGGAGTCTTTTTCTTTCTTACAATCAGAATTTTATAGTTCCATAACATACAACAGAAATGATATAAATATATTGTTATTGATATCACTGTTATGTGCGTTTACGTCAAAAACAGCAAGACAGAGATGATCAAATGACAAGCCATGAGGTGACATCAGATCACTTTCAGTTCAGTTAATTAAACATTTAGACAAATTAATTTAATGTGATGTTGAGGCCAAAATACCTTCATCCACTTTTTTGCAAGTTTGAATTAAACGATTAACTCAAAAGGACAGCTCATGACAAAATCAAATGAAGTGCAGATAAATTGATGTTTTTCAAGGAAGAACTAAATAAAATAATTTATATACATTTATGTGAACTAAAACCTGCTGTAAGGAAGTAATAAAACAAATATATTATGTTCTGCTTGTGGAAACCAGACCATAAAAGCAAAGAGACAGTCACAATGATCTATTTTCAGCAACATTTAGGTATTATTTTAAAACAAAGTAAAGTGATCTGTGCTGAACTGGCGACAGGATGAAAAGCAATATAACACACTTTATACTTTATAACAAAATTTATTATTAACAAATAAATATTGAAATAGTCCTTTAACGATCGTGTGAGGCATTACAATCCTACAGGATGTGTGTCTTGGTTCCAGCTTTTGTTTTATTTTAGACCAAATATCTAGACAGGAAAGAAGACAAACAAAGGATTGCTGAAATATTCAGCTAAAGAAAATCTGAAGATGATTCAGTAGAATTGGATATGAGAAATGAAGAAAAGAAGGAGCACCGACAGATGCAGACCCACCAGCCAAAATGTCAGAAATCATACAGTAGAATAAATCTAAACTTCACAGTGTGCATGGAGGAATGAACCAACTGTGGTTCAGTGTCATAGAGGTCAGTGGAATTTCCTTTTATTAGTCCTTTATACAGGGCAGTATTTACAGTTATAACAGCTTCGAAGACATTCAGCACAACCTCAGCTTCAGTGTCACTATTCTGCTGACAGTGGCCCCATTCCCAGCAGGCCACATCACTACAGTAACTGGGGATCCTTTGGGGTATTTACAGTCTGATTTCCTCATGTGACAGGTTCAAAGCATGTCTGCAAACAACCTGGCTGTCAAAAGTGTTTTACTCTTCACTGAATGATTGAGCTTAGTTCTGTGGGTGAAATACCCCTCCCATTGTCCCCATGTAAAGTCAAATGAGATCGATATCAGTCTCCAGACATGAGGATCTATGCACCGAGTAAGATCAAGATTTAAAAAGTCCCACCTTGGCTGAATATTTGCTGGGGCTTATGAAAGTCAATAAAAACATTTCACCTAAAAATGTTCATTTTGGTAGAGACGGTGCCGGAGAGGTGTAAGTCAATTCTCTGAAATGACTCTGTACGGGGTGACATAATCAGTTCTGGTGTCTGAAAAGCTCTAAACCGTACAAACAGTGAAAGTGCAAACACTTTCTGAGCCACTGAAGCCTCAGCCGATTCTGTTAGGAAGACGAGTGTTCATCATGCTGAACTGAAATGTGCGAAATGGACTCTGGCAGGAAGGAAACTCTGAAACTCGTGTCTGTCTGCCCACTTTTCTCAGGCTGATGATGCCCATGCAGTTTGGAAACTGTACAGATTACTGAATGGAATCCAGCACAGGTCACTGAAAAGTGGAGATGTGAGCGTTTCTGTTTTCACATGCTCTATGGTCTGCCTCGCCGGTAGAGATGCACCAGTAGAGTTCAGTCCCTGACTCCTCGCTCGCCATGAAATCTTGGCATTTAAGAGTAAAAAAAAAGAGGTTTTGAGTCAATCAACGTCTGTGTGTCACGGACAGAACTCCTACCATTTACATCTCTGATCCCCTGGTATCAAAAACAGACCATAGAAAAACAGGTGTAAAAATGTATTCTTTTGTTCCGATGTTTCCCTCTTGAACCGTTGAGATGTCTAAAAAGTTAAAACCAAGCACCCCTCAGAAAGAAAATGAACATTATATATCACGTAAAAGTACAGGGACAGAAAGCTAAAGCCGTTCTTTTTCTTTCTTTTTTTTGCTGGTGTCAATATTGTGGTTTTACTGTCGTTTATCTCACTACGGAGACCAAAAACACAACCAGAAATGACTGCAACATCTGTCCCTTTTCCTCTTACACGTATTAGACTGCAAATGGATGAACTACATAAGAGACTAATGGTGAGTATCAAGGCATTACTCATTTGTTATGCACTCAGTCTGGACTCTGAAGGAGCTCCCAGTCAGACTTTTAGCTTTAAGACACACTGATGAAGAGGAAAACTCACACACTGCTCTCCTGCAGTTCGTCAACATCTGCATGAGCAAAAGTTTTTGCCACCTACACTGTACTGTCTGTTCTTTCTTTTCAGGAATGAACGTATTCTTACTCCAATAGGGAACTACAGAGGCTTCTGAAAAACAAATCTGTTGATCATCCAAATGACTTGACTGTCACAGAGAATTCTGAAGTGTTTAAGCCTGGACTATTTTACACTGGTTTTGTGGTGTTAATTGGTGCATAAAAAGTGACTCACACAAACTTCTTCTTCGACTGAAATTGTCACCACGTTTCAGCTGCTTTGTGAAGTGGCAGGGCTCATCCAAATGTCCCACACTAGCAGAACAGCAGATGGTGTAAATGACAGGACAACTTAGGAACAGCTAATGTTTTCATACACATTCAGGACGAAAACACCAACATGTCACGCTATCCCGTCATGCTCACCATGTATGGAAGCCCTAAGGTTGAAGTCGCACAGGGATCTCAGTGCCAAATGGAAGTGATGGGATTCAGACCTAATATTTGATATCCTTCTCCATCCATCAAGGGACTTTTAATGGCTGCTCTTTGATCGCTGACTGCTGACCGTGTCATCATTAAAGAATTGGGGAGTTTTTTTGCCAGTCAGAAAGAGAAGTACTGGGAGTACTGCTCCTCTTCTTTTGTAACATATTCTCTGCCTTTTGCTGCCTCCATCCCTCTTGGGCCTGATGGTGTCACAGTGCTGGCTTCAGGAGGGCTGGGGGAGAGAAGAAAATCTGTTAAAGTGACGGCGCTGAACGGGCAGAAACAGGCTCGGGAGCTTGAAAGAGCAGAAGATAACAGTGATTTCCTTGTATGCTCAAACTGTGGGCAGTGCCACCGTGTGATGAGGGGGATCCAGTGAGTGCTTGTGATGAGCCAAAAGCAGAAAGCGGAGCAACCTTTAGGAACAAGGCTCCAGATTTCAAACCAGCTCTTCAGTTCAGCTGCAGTTTACGCCCTCCAGCAGCAGACCGCCCAAAGATGTTTTAATCAGTGGCTGCAGAAAGCAGCACTCCGTCATTTGCCTGCTGTGTCCTCTGCATTTTACCAGAACTTTTTAAATCTTTTTAAATTCCTCTCATGGTTTAAGGTCCCAAAGAGGCTAAAATGTGAAAGCAAAGTGTCTTGGTTGACATCACTTTTTTTCAGAAACTGCAGCAGATGAGGGTGACATGAGGAAGTGGGGTAGATTTAGAAAGGTTTTGCCTGTGAGTGTGCAATGGTGGATAAATGAAAGATGTGGTGTTAAGGCACAATGGACCAATAAAGGAGATTAAATGTTCATTATTTTTGTGAATTGACCCGATCTAATGAGGTAAGACTGCAGCACTGTGTGAAATGAACAGACTGGGATTCAGATCTGTGATCATTCAAGGCCAGAATAAAATTCTTATTGAATTCAGACTTTACTTGTTGCTGTGAACTTATTCTTATGAGTTTTTTTGCTAAAAACAAAAAACTATAGAATATTTGATCTGAAATACTGTATTCTTTCTGATGTTCCAGAAAATAACAACAGCAGGAGGCCAATCCAAGCCACATTAAAAAACATGAAATTTATCTCAGACAAATGGGTGGGTAAGGATACTAAGAGGTGAAATTACAGACGCAGGCCGTGAGGGCCGAAGACGTCCCATTGCTCCCGGTATTTGTGCAGTGACAGTTAGCTGTGGGTTGCGGTGACAGAAACTCACATTCGTTCTCACCTCCTAAAGCTTTGCAGGCCCTGATGCTGCAAAAGGGGGTCCTGAGGAGCATGAGGAAGAGCAAGGCTTAGCATGGGATGATGTGGAGGATGAGGAGGAGGATGCTGAGGAAGAGGAGAAGGAGGAAGAGGGCTGAACAGTGGCAGGGCTTTCTTAAGTCGGGAAAGGGACCTCTGGAGGGGGGAGTGAGGAGGCACAAAGCGGCCTCCCGGTCCTACCTCCTCCACCTCTCGTCCCTCCTCTTCCCGGCCTTCATGACTCATGGTGGGAGGGCTGACGAATCGGAGGGCTGACTGGCTAGGAAAGCTGGTGAGGCGGTGATCTGATTGGCTGCCTGTTTTTGACTACAGACACACATAGAAAGGTGAGAGATGAGTCCCAGCCTACCTGGATCACATCACTCTATTCTGGATGATTTTGAAAAAAAAAAGATTGAAGACAAAACAATTCTTTCTATACTTGTCAACAGGTGCCCTAATCAGAGTCTGGTCTACACGCTGAAAGGATTCATCTGCAGTCACAGGGGAAGAACCTGGCCGGGGTTCATGAGAGTGATGTAAAGAAAGACGAATGTGTCTGCTCCTCAAATACCACAAATAAAAACAGGTTTCCAATCAATACTACACTTTGTATTTGCTCAGCTACATTACGACGATTGGAGCAAATTCACTGATTCACTGGGGCTGGCTGATTGTTTGTGACTTCAGCTTCCATCAAACGCAAAGTCACACAATCCGAACCCCCACCGCTTCAGTACGACAAAAAAATGAAGCAACCCTCAAAACTTCTGTTAGATAAGCTATCTCTTTCCAAGGCTTCTGGGCAATCAGTTAAAAAACAAACACTTACAACTAGAAGAGGAAAAACAAAGCTAATATAGAAATTTGCCCTCAGTAACCTCTTTTTTTTGGGGGGGGGGGTGTGGAGGAGTGAAGGGGGTGCTGCCGTCACTGTGGGTTGCCAAAGTCAGGAATTTTTTTTAATCCTTTACATTCATCTTCGAAGTGTAACTGAGGGAAAGAAGGGGGCATATATTATCCAACATGAACAACCCACAGTGAACAACAGAGCCATGAGGAGGAGGAGGATGTAAAATGAGAAGATGATGAGCTGATGCTGTGAAGCCTTATTGATTCTGAATGACAGTCACTGAGACAGCTGCGTACAAACATGAGGGAAGAGGAGCAGCACTGTAAGAGCTGATATGAGTCTTCATGACAAACTCCATAAGAGAGTGTGTGTGCAGTGATGTGGTAGTTTACAGTGCTGAGAAATTATGATTAAATGCAGGTTCAAAAACATAAAAACTGAGAAAGAAGGATCATATACAAATAAAAAGAATAATGGGAAATCAATTTGGAGCATATGGGAAACAAATATCCCTGCAATCAATCAGTGTTCCCATAAAATTAATACTCAAGGTGGACTGTCTGCAGATCAATTTTGGTACAAAGCAGGTTATAAATCACACTCATAGTTTAAATTCAGTGGACCACATGGAATCTTTATATCACAGAGTACGCTGGTCATCTCACTTCAAATTCAATGTACCAAAAGATTCAAACAAGCATGTTTTCTACATGCGAGTGTTTTCACACTAGGTTCCATATTCTGTCAAATCAAGGTCCATATGAAGTCCGAGATGCACAGGTGAAGCCTCCCTTAAGACTTAAGAGAGGCTTTTACACTGCACCACAGGAACAACAGAGCTGTCAGACTGATCAGCAACGACCAGCCTTAGTGATGCGTTTCCAAACCCATCACTGTAGACTGCGTGACACTCAAATTAAACGTGATTATGGACATAGATCTGGAGCAAATCCAGATGGGAGGATGTAGAAGCCTGAGCTGTGTGGGAGGGATAGAGGAAAGCCATTCACTTCATGCAGCTGCTGAACAGCTTCAGTCTGCAGCAAAAAAGGCTGCTGGTATACGAGAACCACGCTGCCAGTCGTATAACACTGAGACTTAAAAAGATCCACAATTGCCCTGCAGTCAAAATCTATGAAGGTGCCAGGAAAATATTCCCGACCATCTGCTGTGGCAGTGTGAACGAGCATGTGTGTGTGTCCTCTCTGCTGACCTGTGTGCTGCTTTCAGCTCTCTCTCTGCTGTAGTGGACACTTGCAAATGCTGTATTGACACAGCAAGGCGCCTTATTTGCTATTCTATAAATGTTGTAAAGAGAAGACGTCTATTAATGCATCACATGCTACCTACTGTCCGGTCCCAGACATCCCTTGCCTGGCATTTCCAGGCCAAAGGGAGCACATCTCCAGCACAAAGCTCCTGCTGGGATGTGCGTGTTTGAACTGCAACAGCAGGAAACAGACCCTTATTCTGCTGTTCATGAGCAAAAATTCCTTTCGGAATCCATAAGGCTCATGAGATCAGCTTTTTCAGAATCCAAACTCCTTGAAAGACTCCGATATCTGATTTTAAAACTTCACCTTGCTTTACTCGCTTCAACTTGTGTAGAAGAAAATATTACAACAATTCTAACATTAATCACCTTATGTTTGTGATGTGGGTAAATAATTTGAATACCTTAGGACGAATACCATTTTGTGTATTTAATATGGTTTGGCTATTTGCAATGACCTCATTTGATAAAAGTCTTTGGTAATCAAAGCACAATGCTGTCATCCAGGAATTTTGGAGAACCTATTCAAAAAGTCACCTGAGTGTCTTTTTCTGGTTTGTGTGGTTTTATATTTTGTGACGGTTCGGTGAATCAAGGCACTTGGTTGAGACATGAACTGCACTTTGAGAATAGAGAGAACTCACCTTTATGAGGGGATTGATGACACCAACGTTGGCACTGGAGTTGAAGACCTTGTTGAAGCCCGTCTCTCTGTTAACCAACTCCAGCTGGTAAAACTTCTTGTCATCCTATAAAAGCATGAAATTGAAGTATTTACCAATTTCTTATCTGATTTGTGCGACACACACATTATTTTAACTAAAATTGATAACATACATTATAGGCATACATTATCATTATCATCATTATGATGGTTAAACACAGATAACATTGACTCTATAGAACATTTCATGCTATCTTTTCTGTTTTTAAAAATCATTCTGAGTTGTGATTTTCTTTTCTTAACACCACATAGAATATTTAACAGAATCCCACTTGGAGATCAGCCTACTCACCACAAGCTTTTTGACCAGAGCTTCTCTTTCAGTGACCATTTCTCTGAGCTCTGCTATAACGTGCAGGTCTTCTGGTCTGCTTTCTCTATTTCTTAACTTCTCCTCTGTACCCTCCAACCTGAATAAATGCATGAGAAGAAAGAAGAGAGAAAAGTAAGCACACAAATGATTTTACTAAAAAGTTATAAATTGTGTGAGCAAGGAGGGTGAAATGAGCCACAAAGGAGGATTCCGTCATACATATCTCTGACTTACAGTATTTGAAGAGCAGAAATTTTATCTTTGAGAACCTCCTGGGCCTTGTTGAAGTCAGCCAAAATGATATGTGTTTCTCTGTGATGAACTGCACTCATCTCCCCTAGATCTCGCTCATGCCTCTTTGTAAGGTCTTGTTCATGGGCTCTGTGGCAAAGATGAAGGATATGAAGCAGGCACAGTCAGTTCACACTAAATTCCAGGTTGGGAATCACAAAATTGATAATGCATGTCACTAATTTATAGGATAACATGATGTACAGTTAAAAAAAAAACTAACTATGGTTACTGTGTAATTGCCTGGATATTTATATGTCTGTCTGCCATTAAAGAAAGTGATGAAAAGCGCATTTGCAGGCGAGTAGTGGAAAACCATTAGAATCCTAAACTATAGTAAAAAAATTAAGTAATTTTTGCTGTTTGGCTCCTCTTATAGTTCTTGGATGTAACAATCTGAGCCTGGCGCCATGCTGAAGAAGCTAACAGTCTCAATGAGAATATAGGGTAATGGAACAGGACCTAACAAGAATCCAACCAAACTTTATTTTATATCACATGAGATACACAATAATATGACAGAGAAATCAGTGTCAACTGAACTACTTTGGTGTTTTTACCTAATCTGATGGTTGGCTTCACTGCGAACCCGCAGCACCTCTTTTCCCTTCAGTTCCAGCTCTCTAGTAAGAGTGTCGATAGTCTCATTCAGAGAGTGGATCTCATGGTCCAGATCTGTGATGCGGTTACTACGGGAACACACTTCTGCCTCCAGGTCAGAGATGCGAACAAGGAGTTCTTGCTCCTTTAAAATGTAAACAGAAAATGACCATGATAATAGAAAAAAAATATTCTGAATGAATTGTACAGCAAATAAAATCAAATAAATAAATAAATATATACATATATATATATATAAAAAGAAAAAGAAAGTGACAATGATATGGGTACCTGCTGGTGGCTGTGCTCCAGAGCTTTTTCCACTTCTCGTTTGGCGGCAGTGTGCTCTTTAATGTGGATCTGCTTTAGATGCTCTATGGCCGTGGCATGGAGGTGATTCAGCTCTGCACGAAGAGAAGCTGCCAGACAGACACACCCCAGGTGAAGTGAGAGGACAGTATCAACACTGCAGTTAAGTTAGTTTTAGTGCCTTGGTTAGTTAGTGCCAGTATTCCTGATTTTATTTTCACTTCTCACCCCTAGATGTCCTCAGCTGCCTTGGTCTTTTAACCCCGGTCTCCTTTATACCCGTCTCCCAGTGATAACTCACCTTGCCATGAAAATCACACTGAGATTTTCTCTTTAAAAAGAACACATCAGCATGACTAAGGGCTTGCAAATAGGCAGCTGTAAATGTTCATGTGTTTTAGAGCCACGTCCTTGGACAGATAAAACACAGTGGAGAACCAAAAATATCAGCACAAAGACCTCAAATCAAACTTCCTCAACATTCATAGTAGAAAGAAATAAAGTGGCCACACATCGAATGATCTTAGTTCAAATAACGAAACATGACTGGAATCCTAAATAATCTGATATAAGAGGCTGTCAGTGTGGATAGAAAGGTCAGAGACCACATACAGATGTGTCCAATAAAATGTCTTTTACCCAGCTTCGCTTTCCCCTCATCCTCCAGCTCAAAGCGCAGAGTCTGCAGCTCCTGGTCTGACTGCTGCCGCAGGATTTCTAAGGTCCTCCTGTGGGCCTCCTTCAGAGCATGAACCTCCTCCCGCTGCTCCTGCTTCAGACGTTCCTCAAGGGCCTAACGGACAGAGGAGAGCACAGAATAAGAGAGGAGAGTAAGGACTGAGGAGGGAGGAGATGTTAACCAAGATGTGGTTGACAAGACCATCCAGAATGTCTCATCAGTCTGCCCTGCCATAGTTCAGTGATGTTTTAGTGAGAAACAGTAACTGAAAATGTGAAGCTAGCACTTGTTCTTCTATCTAATTGAAAGTGAACATCAGAGGAGAAGGATTTTGGATGTGTGCATGTATCATACTCTGATCTGGTGCTGCCTGGCTTCCTCCATGGTGCTGAGGGCACAGCAGTGAGCCTCCTGTAATCGATGCTCCCGCCTCTGATGTTCTCTCTGCATTTCTGCAAACACAAGCAGCGACTTGAGCGTGTTCCCTCTGACACATCAAACGCAGATACGCTTCCTCTGCCTTTAACAACCCAGACGATATGACAATCTGTTCCAGTCACTCAGTGTCAGGAGACACACAGAATATAATATCTTAACATCTGATGGCTGTAATTCTGTGTTTTTGTGAAAGATTTGTGTTTTTATTCAGCATTTTATTGTAAAAAAAACCTTAAATTCTTATAATATAAGCTGATTAGTAAGATAATTTTTTTAAAATAAATATATGTTTGCCAATTATGACATGGGCTCATGTTGTGAGCATGAGCCAAGTAGTTTTCAAACAGACCAGCACTCTTAAGGTCTCATGGAGGTTTACACAATCCCATTAAAAGCCTGTCAGCTGCGGCTCAACATCAAACGGCTCGCGTTGGATGTTTTAGCCTCAACCATTTCCCTCTGGCAAATTAAAAATAACCGTGTTTTGTTTTACAGATGCATTAGCACCAACCTCAGTAACACACTGCAGTTCTTGTGGTTGATTAAAAGGAAAATATCCCCACAGGTTCCGTGTTTAATGCTTTTCATGTGGAGCAGCAGAAAATGAAACACTCAACAGCGATGACCAGGGAGGCATTAATGAACCACCACTTTGTGCATTTACTTTAATTAAACTCCCACATGGACTGGGCCCGATATGGACATTAATAACGACTGTGATGGAAATAATGGAAACCTAAAAAGATTAAAACCCTTAAAAAAGTTAATTTAGGTCACTTTTAGGTATCATTCTGGTCATTTAAACTCCACAAGCAGCTTACAGTTGTCACTACTCCTCGGCAGAAAAGGGCCAAGTCCAGCTTACCTTTAAGCTGCTGGCTCAGCAGCTCTCTCTCTTGGTTGAATTGAGACTGCAGCTGCTGGAGAGCCGACTGAGACTGAGACAACTGCAGCTCCAGGGACTGTTTCAGCAGAGCAATCTGGAGAGGCGCAATACACAAAACAGAGAGAAAAAGGCCCAATCTCATTTAATGCCTGGAACAAGTAAAATGAAAATGAGGACAGGTGCATTTGTACTCAGCAATGTGCATCATCCAATTTCTTCTTCACAGCAAATGGCCGTTGCTTTGAAAGAACACATGCCTTCAGGAAAGAAGCTCAAATGGCAGCTCTCATTTATTTGGGTCAAAATGATCCACGCCTTTGTTCTCCGTTATATGCATCTCTTGCTAATTCTCCGACATCATATTCAAACAGATTTATTTTTTTGTAATCCCCAAAACATATTTTTTCTTTTAAAAATCCCACAATGGTTATGATATTGACGAGGATATAATACGAAACCTTACTGTGCAGATTTAACTGCTCTTCTAACCAAGCTGGCAATTGTAGCCAAATAGAGAACTAACTACTCCACAAACCCAATCAGAGCACAACAATCTGTGTTGCTTTAGCTAGAAATCGGACTGATTAACAGCTGTGAGTGGCAGAGCCTCCTCAGAGGGTTGGCTCTGGTCCTTCACCCGCCACTCTCCCTCTGCCTCCGACAATTTAATCCCCGGCAGGATTTAGCTCGACATTAGAAGCTGGAAGGTAGGATGGATTTAAACATGAGAAGATGAAGAGGAAGGCTTGGAGGAAAATCTGTGAGCCTTTACATTGGATATGGACTTACAAAAGGTGAACAGCTGGCCTGCTACGTCTACCTGGTCCTTCCTGACTGTCACAACTACTTGTTACGTTCATCACAAAATAATTGAAAGTACAGGGCTAATAGACTGCCTTCTGCAACCCCGAAGCATGTGCATAACCCTCGATGTCTTTGTTAACAAGTATTTCACACACACAAGCAGCAGCCTGAGGTTAGAATCTTGTAATGAAAATATTTTAATGGAAAAAAGTCATTACAGATAACGAGGGCGCTTCCACCCACATACACATGCAGGACTTCAAGGACACTTCATATTAAGCTAGCAATTGTTTTTCCATTCAATCATCATGTGTCACTTAAGAATAATCTTTAAAAAACTAATCACTTGAAAACATTGTTTTTATGAATTGATTGGGTTTTTTTTGTTTAAATGCTGGGTTAGGGTTAGACATCACGGTCTGGTCGGCCCCTGTTTCTGTCGGGACCTCGTTTCTAAAGGAGAACCGCCTCATCCGAGTCGTGCAGAGGTGCCATGTCAGGCTGAGTAGATACAAATGGAAAACTCCCATTTGATTATTCTCGTTTTTTGTATTTTTTCACAGTCAGTTAAATCCCTGCTAATAAGGATCCCAACGCAATGCACGTGTTTCAATGTTTTAACATTTTACCTGGTCAAAACTGATGGAAAATAAGCCTCTGGAGAGCTTTTATATTCTGTGTACAACATTTTACCATCGATCAATCTAAAGCACAGCAAATTAGTTTCCACTGAAACAAATCACAGCAAATAACTGCAGCCCTGCTTAATGTTCCTGCCATACAGTAACGGGTCCTTTACAGCTGCAAAGTACTGTACAAAAATACACATTGAAGCTGAATATGTGAAGGGAGAATGCAAGCACAGATGCATGGAGAGATAGCTTAGCATTGGTAGCATTAAATTTAATTTCCCTCTCCTTTGAGGAGTCTCTAAGCCTGCAGCTCTTCTAGCGGAGCTCTAAGTAGGTCAGTACAGTGAAGATCACTGTACTAATACCTGCATGCAATGCACATGCAATATTTATATCTGCACCCAAATGTAAGGTGCAGCATCTGTGCAGCCATTTGGTAAAACTATGATAGAAAGCTTTCGTTGTTCTTATAGGACCTCATTTTATCTGCCCTGACATTTGAGTGAGAAACATTCTACCCTTTTTTTCCAAGCTGATGCAATTTCCTGAGGTCTGAATGAAATTCTTGGTAAAAACACCACATAAATACAACCCAACAGCTCCTTTATCCACCATTAATGTACAGCTCCATTCTCATTGGCCTGTGTCTGCAGTGAGCCACTTACCTCTGGGTCAGCCTCCTTTGAGACTGGTCGAGCTCACTAAGCCTTGAATCATGTTAATGCCATATGACAGAGCAGATGGCAAAACGTCAGAGAGTTTACAACAAAACACGCAGCAATCTGAGACCAGAATGCTCAGCAGGCACACAACTATCAACTAACGTTGGCATGGCCCATAAACTGATAAATGGGAATGGAATTTCTGGCTGTAACAGAATAAAAAACAGCCTTCCTAGTTGGGGTGTACACATTAAACAAAGACCTGTCAGAGCGTAGTAATCAGACGTCTCAAGTGAGATAAATAATGACAATTTGATGTTAATAATACACACAAACACACACACATACACACAATAAATCAATTAGAAATAGAGTTACAACTTACAAGCCCTGAAGTAATGTGAATGCTGTGTGATTTGAAAATGAAAAGGCTCTGAGTGCAATCGTATTCATAAGATCTAATTTATGTTCTTCAGTCTGTTTCTTTCTAAATCATTTTTTATGTGTAGCTTTCATTTTTTTCCTCAAAGAGGCTGGAATAATGGAGGTTGGCTCACTTCAATCAGCTCTTTAAAAAGAAACAAAACAATCCAACCAGTGTTCCTAATACTCATTGTCTGAAAGCCAACTTCAATTTCTTTGTCAAAACAAGACAATGTGTGTGTGTGTTTCACACAGTATTAAAAATTCCATTAAGATGTGAGGGATTCTTCCAGCATGGGCACATATTTTCTCAAACCCCTTGTTTAATAAGCAATCAAATACATATTAAAAATGTAGTCCATTTCAGATATGGGCTCCTGCACATGAATGTTTATTAAAGAATGCATGTGAACCTAATGTCTGCACATGAAAAACTGTAGCAGGTGACGAGTCATACAGAATCTGTTATCTCAGAGTAAACGGTGCTGTTGGCCATACTTCCTGAACAGCGTTGTGGTTGGGCTGCAGCCTCTGTCGGGACACTGTGACACCGTGCCCATGTCCAGTGCAAGGTCATGGCTTCCTTGAGATGGCACGATTTCGGCTCATTGCTATGCAAGTGCAACACAAGTCAAGCTGCATGATGGAATTAACCAGTTTAGCACCGGCCTCAATGCCGGAATAAAAGCATGGAAAATATATTCTGAACAGAGGAATACTGTTTTTTTTTATTATCAGACTGATAAACATTCGAGTTTTGGGAAAAGATGACTGTTGTCTAAAATGATACTCTGTGCCCAATGACACTGCACCAAAAGTCTATGATTGCGTTGCTAGTTATTTCATAGTGAGGCCTTATATAATGTCCTCTTAGGTGAAGAAGTGAGCAGCACTTTTAACTGATCAGCATCTCCAGACAGGGAGCACGCAGATTACCATCTGAGACCTGCTGGCTTAATTTCTCACTTCAAAGAAAACTTTTCTCACTTCTCAAAAGAGTTAGAAGACATGTGGTCCAGTGGAAGAGAACCCCCAGATGGCATGGGAATGCCTTCTTACCCCGGGGGAGGAGGCAAGGAAAGTTGCTGGAACCAGAGAGCTTCTGAATCTGACAAGAGGGTTAGGAAAATGGAAGTATCGCACATCTGAAAACGGCTTTAAAACCACGGACAGGTGCACAGGATGAGTGCATATAGTGGCAATGATGTGCTTAAAATCATCTGAAGAAAGTCCAAACCACCCATGCTTTAACAACTCAGAGGGCTGTGTTTTCATGTTGCTATAATTAACAACAAAAAAGGGGAAAAAAATACATTCACCGGAATACTTGGAAGAGACAAAAGTGCACACTGAGCTGCATACACAATCATTCATATCCACATGGGATGTAAGCTCCTTCAGTATTTGGCCTGTGACATTGTTTGATGTTTATTTTCAGACACTCTTTGCACAATCACTTTAAAATTCAACTCTTTGTACCGTGACTCACATAAAAACAAACCCTGCAGCTAATTAAGAATGTAGACTGCTGAAGAGAACCTGCAGAATTAGATAATGCTCACTAAAAAGCTCCTAAAGAAATGTTTCCAGTCTAATTAATAGACCAACTGCAAATATGCTCCCCCCTCAGTCATATATATTTCATTGTCTTTGCTCAAGAACTATTCCTTTTTTATCATTTACAGAAATATTTGGAAACCCACCTGACCCAATCATAAATTTGATCACCAAATGTTTTCTGGATTATCCAGCAAATAACATTTAATATAATTATTTATTGGGTTCAGTGTCAGAGAGAATCCATACAACAAGATTTAGATTTTAAAAATGTTTTTGTGATGATAACATTTGACTCCTGTGTGCTTTACATAAAACAAACATACCCTCAAATGGCAGGCTTTTTTAAAACTTTATTGTGAGTCACCGATTTGGCTGAGAAGGCATCTGAAAAGTAGCCAAGGTGGTCGCTAATGCCAACTTAACAACGAGTGTTTATCCCAGCCCACCGGCATCTTGGCAAAATTAGGACGAGCTTCTTTGACAACAGTCCTGTCTCTAATAATTCTATTCCTTTTTTTTCTAAAGACTATAGAAACTGTTGCTGCAAGGTGAGAAAAAAACTAATGCATTATCTATTTCAAACGCACTTCTTATGTCTTTTTTTGTGTATGTACAAAGAGCCTTTGTTCATCGTGCTATGCATATAAGGTCACTACGATGAAAGATATGGCTGTGGGGAAAAATAGTTAAAGACGAAGGGTTCTTTTTTAGGTCTGCATTGCTACTGGCAATGACCAGAAAAACTGGACAAGATTAACATGACAATGGAGGTTTCAGTCTTTTCTTCTAAATTCATTTCTTGTGGAAAAGAACTGAATTGTAAACCGCTGTAGAGGCAGTTTGTGGCTTCACTCTCAATGAGGCTTACCCAGGTATTAACACGGAAAGAAGAAAGTGGGAGCAGGATGTGTTACTTGCATCTTCTTGGGGAAACTATTTTTGGTTCAAGCTGTGGACAGGCTTTTACACTCCAACTGTCACTCAGAAAGGTTCCCGCAGAGTAACGAGAGGGCAAAGGTCATGGCCTGTCCCTCCTCTCACAGTGCCACAGAAGAGATATGGAAACATTTTCAGTCACACTGATCTGGGTTTAATTCTGTTTATCCCAAAAATCTATGTAAAAAAACAAACTCCAAATACTCTTCATCTGTATCAGCAGTGGAAAACAGTCGAAAGGACAATCAGAGCTGAGTCTGTGGGGTTGTGAGTGTGTGTTTTACCTGTTCAAGCAGGTCCTCGACCTTCCTCTGCCAGCCCTCTCGAGCAGCCATCATCTCCAGCTCCTTCTGCTGTGAGAGCTGAGTCAGCGCTGCCTGTTTGTCTGCCTCATACTCCTCATTTAACTCCTCTTTTAACAAGCGCACTTCTTCGCTGCAAAAACAAAACAATAATATTTTTCATCAAATTCATTCTAAACTCTGTTTAGCAGTGTTTCCTTCTGTACGTTTTGTCCCACTGTGTAAGTTTCCTCTTTGTTCCTATTCTAATGCAACTTTGGCTGAAATCTTTCTTACACTGAGATTAATGTGTGACTGTGATGATATATGAGATGTTCACCAGAAATTAACAACTGTATGACTGATAGAGAAGAGATACATTTTCTTTCTTACCACAGTGCATCCCTCCATTTCTGATCCAAGTCATCTGCCATCTTGTCCATCTTCTGTTTCTCCTCTGTTCGGATGGACATCACTCTGGCATCATGCTGCTGTTTCTGGGTTTCAATTTCCTCCTACAGATATAAAAAGAAAAACTAAACTGAGCCAATACAGTATGCAACATGGTTTATTTAGAATCAGAAAACAAGGTACAAAGGCACAGATAATCACATTTCCCTTTTGGGATGCTGATGTTCAAAAAAGAGTTCAATACTTCAATTGAACATTTTAAATACAACGTTCAAAGACTAAAAACATGTCATTTGTGGCCACAAGTCATTAAAAATGTTTGATGTGTTACGGCATGTTTTTGGTGCAGCGTTTAAAGCTGCATGAAGCAGAACATCTCTGTCTCTGACCACATGGCACATTTCAGCAGCTGTATGACTCATGCTGTCCAGCCCACCTCCACATCCAGTCGGTGGCTACGGGACATTTATAAAGTGCTGGTCTGCAGGCGGACCTCACCTGCTCAGCCGTTTCCAGCAGCTAAAGAGGCTCCAAGGGTTCAGTGCTAATGAACTCGTTAACAGACCTGAATTCTTTCATTTTTTGCTGTGAGGAGAAGCTTTTATGAGCAGGTAAATCTACACTCAGTTGCTTAGGACCACGTCAATAAGGTTGTGAGTACATTTCCGTCAGCATTAGAAGCAAAGAAGAATGTGAAAGGAGTCATTCTTCATTACACTGTTATCCTCGCAATCTCAGTTTCTTACATTTTTCTCTGACCTGCATAATATTAAACGTGAGCCACACTGCCAAATGATGCTTTACCATAACGGGGAATCTTTAAGACAGACCACAGTGAGACCGAACTGATGCTAGGTTTATTTTATCAGCTTATTTGTAGCTCATGCATTTGTGTACCATTAATCCATAAAAAATAAAGGAAAAACTTTAAGCACTTTGTGAATTTCGGCACAGAATTAGTTCCCACTGATTGATGAAAACATTGAAACCCACGTCATGAGCTGCCCATGCTGTGCCCATGTCATGACTGTTCTGTGGATACAGCACTGCTCCACTTTATCTTTCCTTCACTCATTGGCAGATGGCCGCATATGCTACGCGAGTCTACCTGAAGTCTACCTCTCCGATTTTGCAGCATCCTCTGTGTCTACGGAGTTGGGGACATCCTATTCACCATCTGTACAGAAGAGCTCTACATGTCTGAAGTCCTGGCATGCCCACGAGCTCCACTAAACAAGCTTTCAGAGTCTTACCTGCCAGGCTACTTCCTGGATTCCTCACTCCCTGATGTCTGCCTGAAAAAAAAAACCTACCTGCCAGCTGCTTAGCTGCACTCTGGATGTATTCCTATGTATGCCATAGGCACAAGCAAACCTTTTCCAATATTCGAAAAAGCTCGAAATCAGCATAAAACTACTTTATGTTGAAAACCTGGCAGGTCTCAATGTGTGCAGAGTGTCATTCAATCCAAATTTTCAGATTTTTCCTAAAGCAGAATTCAGAGCAGCTATTGTTTAAATATCTGCTTTAAACTGACTGAGAAGCCGGCCTCAGCTGGTTTTGTGCTTGTATCTGAGACGCATTGAGCTCGGCGCGAATAAAAGATACAATCAACCCACTTTTTTTACCCTCTGATTCCCAGTCTTTAGACAGAATGCAGGAGCTGGTCTCAACGCAAATTGGACAACGGCAATTTCTCCTAATTACTGCCTTTCATTTAGTCTCTCCATCTCCATTCTCTCTGAAACGGAGTCCTGCCATGTCCATCTCATACATGGTTCAATAATTCATGACACAATAATCCACCAGGAAGAAGATCCTTTCAATACTGACATCGTTTTTATTCATACCGGTGAAGAACAGAATCAAATCTTCCTCGCAAGACACACACCCTTTTTGTCTCACTCTCTCAGGCCAGCAGGGTTCCTTTCAAACACATGGCCACTCAGCTCATAATAGCCTCATCATCATTATCTCACAGCTGGCCTTCAGAACGCCGCTTGTTTCTCTCGTTTCCTGCTCTTCTGCTTTCAAAATGTTCTTTAGTCGTCACATTTTGTGCCCACCAGCCCATCATTTTTCTAAAAAAAAGTTGTAAAATCATCTGCAAATTCAGAGACCTAATCTTGAATTGCATATGATGATGGTTTTCTGCCTAAAAAGTTTGAATTGTATGAAGTGAGTTTACATACATGGAACAAGGTGCAACAGAGAGAAGAGATCATAGGACTCATTTTAAAGATGACAAAATATTACTACTTCTGATCAGAAAGGTTGGACTTAAAATGAAGACCATCAGAGATTTAAAAATACAACAAATAGGTCACATCGACATGATGGTGAACTTTGAGCCTAATGCTTTTTTTTAGCAGAAGAATGGTTCAGAGTCCTGTGTTAGCCTCTTTTCTCAGGCCGTCTCCTTTTATCTTTGTATATCATCATATTCCAACTGATGTGGGATAAAGCTTCCAACAAAGATATTTTGCTTATATATCTGCTTTCTTAGCATGAATGCAATGGAGGGACAGCTGCAGTGTGTATACCAATACAAAACTAATCGTTCTGAAGTCTAAGTGTGCATCGTTCGCTGCACTCTGGGTGCAGCTGGGTGATTAGTATAAAAGACTCAACTGCCATAATCCGAAAAATGAAATACAAAATATGTAAATTAAAAAATAATTAGGCTGTCATGATTATGAATTTACTATTTGAACCCAGCGAAAACAACATCAGCACCAACTAACAGAAATCATTAAACAAGGAGAGCAGTAATAATGTCACACACAATGAACGATTATTCAGAACTATGGTTATGACTAAATTGAAGCCGATGGTTATATCATCAACATTTGATTAAAATAAAAAAATCAATAAAAAATATAAAAGACGAAACTGTTTTTTTTTAAAGTTTATAAAAATTTGTTAGATCCACAACATGGCCTTGGGGTAAGGTTTGTTCGTGAGACATGAACTTGAATGCCAGACATTTTACAAAGAAATATTGGAAATGACAGCTCAAATATCTGAATCATATTTTGCAGATATTTTTGCTGATTTTTATTTGATTTTATGATGCATTTGGACAGAAAACCCAGCAGCTGTTCTTAGAGTCAGTTCTAGCTGTCCAAACACGACTCTTTTTTTTTGTTATTTGACATGTTTTATCTTTTAAAGTATTTATCTCTATGGCAAGTATGTAAAGGTAGAACATTTTATTCTTACTTTAAGCTTCAAATACTCTCAGTTTTCTCCTCACCTGCAGGTCGGTCAGCAGGTTGCTGGTCTCCCGAACCCGGGCCCTGGTGGCATCCAGCTCTATCCTGAGCTTGTCCTGAGTTTCCTTCAGACAGTTGATCTGTGTCTGAGCTGAGTTCAGGTTCTGCTCCCCCTCTCTGACCAGCTCCTGGAGGTGTGACACCTGCCGATACAGTCCGAGGGTTATCAAGCCCCTTTTAGGTGAGAAGACCTTAAGGTGAGTGAACATGAAAGTGTTTCATACTTCCTGATTGGCCATGTTGACTTTGGCTGAGAGCTCCTCTTTCAAATTGTCCAGTTGCTGTTGGAGACGGTCTCTCTGCTCCTCCAATGACAGGCGCTTGATCTCAAACTCCTGGCTCAGTTTCTGAAGTCGAGAAGGAACATAAATTGCTTGAAACGACCATTAAATACATTTATTGGTGGCCCATTTTCCTCTCAAATATGCTATAAATGTAATCTTTATTAGAAAAGCAGAAGATTTAAGAGGCTGCTGTCCTGTAAATCCCATTTGGGTCATATTATGGAGTCAAGGCATCAACTGAGTGTGATGGAGGGCTACTGAATGAAGGAGGGACACATGCATTTTCGTTTACACTTAAAAGGCCATCTAGTCAAACCGATGCTTTGTCTAATCCCTCAAACCAAAGCATCAAATCCTTTCTGGGCCACCCTGAATTTCTCAGAAGAAAATATTTTTCTTCTCTCCACTCATCTTTTTTAGCTTCTTAGTCTTTTCCTTTCATTCATTTTCTCTGTGTGCAGCTTTCTGATACACAAAACATTACCATGCTTTATTTATATTACAGCAGTAGTTTTTGATACCGCACTGGTCACTCAGAGTTCACCCTATGCAAATACTTTTCATTGGAAAGTAGATGTTCCAAAAATTAAATGTTCCTTTCCAGTTAATTCTGCTATACCTGCCTCTTTAATGCATCTAGTTACATTTATTCATTACAGGCATCTTCTCAGTCTACCGACCTAAAACTACAGCTTCTTTTGTACAAGTGTTGGTTCAAATTGTAATTTACAGTAGTTTTTTTACCCTTTACTATCTGATAACACATGCAGTGTTTCCACACAAATCTTCCTACCATATCTTGGGAACATAGTGCCACTTCTCCATTATCTTATCCACACAGAAGTTCAGCAGAAATCTATAACTTATTTATTTTACCCTCCTTCATGAAGAAACATTTTCAGATGTAGCCCAGTGTGAAAAATTGGCAAACTATCTAGTGGTACAAAACTTGCATGTTGTGAAGTCAACTATCTAAATATATGTATGAATAAATAATTTTGGTTTTAAACAAAAGGCAATGGCATCGCTTCAGCTGCTCTCTTAATGGTTTCATCACAAATATCATCTTGTACAAGCAGCAAACAAACAACATATTTCCCACTTCCAAGTAGCACCAACCAAAAGATAAAAACCCAAACTCATGAAAGTTAGTTCGTCTGTGCTAAACTAACACCTTAAAGGCATTCTGTAGAATTAGGAGCTCCTTTGGCAGACAGAAATAAGGGGATAAAAAGAAAAAAGTTAAATATCTAGCTTTTTACTGTGCAGGTCTATTTCCCCTTTTTCTCACCCACTGCGTCACTCTGCTTCCTCTGAAAATTGACTAAAAATAAAAACAGATTTTTGCCTGAACGTGATGAGGCGAGGCAGCTTTGGCTTACATGACATCCACTCCCCTCCCCACAAAATCCCTTCTCCCGACCACTCTGCGTTCTGGGAATCTATAAATGCGTGCCCACGTGCTCGGCTTGAAGGCAGGATTTAATGTCAGTGAAATCTAACCAATTAGCAGCCAGTTTCAAACTGAATTTCAAGAGTGAGTTCATGATGGGCATAAAACCTGAATATGCAAAGAAAGGGTACTGCGTGGGAGAACGATCATAAAGTTCAAAATGACAAAAACCTGAAAATCTTTCATCTTTTTAGGGGCAGAAAATGCAGCTCCCTTTTTTGGGAGCTTTCCTCTGCTGCTTTGCTGGCACAAACACTTGAGCAAAATGTATCAATATATGCTAGCTTATGTCAAGAAGCAATTGTATATCAGCTGGAACAAGCAGACAACATTATGGAGACAGAGCCGACAGCAGCTTGCTTGTTTGTCTCACCACCAGACCCTTCACCTGCAACAAAGTGATTTTCTGTGTTTGGAGCTGCTCAGCTCCGTCTCAGTTTCTTCTGTTGCTTGTAAAAACATCGGCACATCTGCACTGAGACTCTGAGATCAGTGCTCCTGCATTACTCTGAAAAAAAACTCAGACCAAAGGCTGTAAAAACACTTCAGTGCTTCATGGTGCCATCCAAGTGCACAAATACTCAGACACGTTAATAGCCTTTTTAGAACATGTGGCATTTTTATGGTACTTGCTCTTGCCCTGTCACCGTGGAGACATCCATCTTTTATCGAGGACTGAGACTGAGGTAAGAAAAGTATCACTTATGCAGACCATGAATTAAAGTGACACAGGGCTCTGTTTGACCTGATTATGGTGCATCTCTGAAGACAGGGGACAACTATTAAAGGTACTGTAAATCACACTAAGTAGAACATTTATTCACACAGCTAACTGTGAAACTATTTAACTCAAAGTAGTTTCATAGGTACCTCAAGGAAAGATACTTTGAGGTACCTGGGTTAGCGGAGGGAGTCTCTTACAGCACTGGGTCGGGTTAAATTAATTCCAGCTCTTTAATGTGATCAGTTTACTGCGAGGACATTTGTATTCCCTTCATGCAGCCGATTTATACTCTGAGGCTGAGAGAAGGAGAAATGAAGATACAAATTGAAGCAGGAAGAAAAAAAACTGATCACAAAATTAAGGATGCAGTGGGAAACGCAGGTAAGGAGGGATGTTATTTTCAAGTCTTGGTCTCATTGTTGACCCAATTAAAAGCTTGCACTCTGGTGAGAGCGCTGCTTTTGTCTTAAAGATCCATATTTCTGTAATAACTCTGGCCTTTTTTCTGAGGAGAAAGTTAAATTACTGATATTTGTTTTCCAGATAGATTGATGCATTCGGCTGTGTATGTTTCAATTACTGCTTTTATTAATTTCCGACAGTTAAATGTCTGGAGTTAAAGTGTCCTCAACGTGTGAAATAAACTGATTGAACCCTAGCACCGGACTCACTGCAATCAGGTGTTTCCTCTCCTCCTCTTTCTCATGCTGAGCCTCGTCCCTCATGGCCCGGTGCTTCTCCTCCAGCTCCTCCAGTGCTCTGACTTGCGCCTCCTTAAAGCGAAGGGTCTCCTCCTCATAGTGCGCCCTCAACCTGGAGAGCTCCTTCTCATAGCCCTGGTGCTCTTCACGTAGAGACTTTCAGGGACAAAACAAAAGAAACACCATTAACCTGGCGGCTGACTTGTCCCCCCCCCCCCGCCGCGCTTCAACGTGAGAGAGGTACCTGCTCCAGTTTGAGCACTTGCTGTTTGTGCTGTTCGTTGGCCGCCTGACTCTGGTTAAGGACAGCCTCCCTCTCCTCCTCCAGCCTGCTGATCTTATCCCTGAGGCGGCACTGCTCCTGATCCAGGTTCCTGATGGTTGCCTCATGAGCCATCTGGGTGGCCTGCAAGGAACCGATCTGACCTGAAAACAGTCAAGTCCAAACCAGCGGGGGGTCAAAAAGGCTTCAGAGAGAGAAAAATGTCATATTCACCTCTCCAGCACACAATATATAGTCCTCCTTTGATAAAACTGCAATTGAAAAAGTTTCCTTCAGCTGAATTATTCCAAATCTGATGTAGTTAAAATTAGCCCCAGTGGGCCCAACTCCATCACTATTAACAATCCCTCCCTCAATCTAGGTATCATTTTGAATAAAGTTAGAATAATTAAGCCACATAGGCATTAATTTCAGCTGCTGCCAGGCTTTGGAAATGGGCAAAGAAATAAGTTATCTATCTGTAAACTTTATTGCTTCTTTTGAAAACTTGGCCATATTTGTAAGTCTTAGACTCCCCTGTGAGTGGGATTGCTGCTCTGAAAATGCCCTTCTAATACATAATATTCAAACCCAAGGCCTCATGTTTTGTCTGCCATGTTGTTGCACAGTGAATATGTTCCATCTCAAGTTTGTCTGTTTACATTGTGGAGGCCTGAGCTCAGCATGTACAGGCACATCTTACTGGCTTTGTGGAGGATTTCAGTTGCCTGCTGCTGAACCCGTTCCCGGCTGCCTTCCAGTTCATACTCGGTGTCCTTCAGCTGCATCACCCAGATCTCTCCGTCCTGGATGGCTTCTTCAAGCTGCTTGTGCAGATTCTGGAGCACATACATAAGGACGTGCATGTACGCGTCATTATGCTGCAGCAATGCAACATTCGGTACAGGTTTGCCTGCGGGTCAGCGGTGTACACCACATTTCCTCTCCCACCACTGAGAAATTCCTGAACAGATTTTAGCCTGAGGGCTTTACTTTTGTCTTTGTTCTCAGAAATTAGTTTGCATTCAATTTAGCCCACTTTCAACCCAAAACTCTGGTGCAGATTCTAAACACTGTGAAGAGCCACATTTATCACCCTCTGCAGCGCTGTCATTGTGTCATCACATATTAATCGGCGTTCATGTCTGGGTGTAATCACAATTCTTATACATGGAGTACAACCAAAAATCCCAGTCTTTATCTATCAAGCAACAACAAAACCATGCCTTAATGGTTCCCTCGGCATTGGCCAGTGATGTTTGCAGCCTGTTGGTCTTGTCTCGATTCTCCCGCGCTTCCTCCTGGGCTTTCTGGAGCTCACTCCTGAGCTTGGACAGCGAACGCTGCAGTGCTGCCTCCTGAGCCTGGAACTCCTTACGGAGCTCAACCTTAACATGAGGAGATACAGAAGACCGTAGCGACAAATTGATCGTGAAATGCAAATGGTTACTGATTCGTGTTTTATGGAGTTGTGTTTTTTACCTCAGTCCTCTTCCAGGCCAGCAGGTTCTCAGTGGTGAGCTGGTGTGTTCTCCTCATGGCTTCCAGCTCTCTCTCATAATATTCCTGAGCTTTAGCCAGCTTGGCCTCATACTCCTCCACCAGACGAACCTTATCTTTTGTTATCTCCTCAACTCTTTCCATTAATGCCTCCACCTACACAAAGATGAATAGAAGGACAGCAACTCTCTACTTTGTTAATCAGAATATCAGTAACTCATAGCTGCCAAAAATCCATTTAGTGATTGTCTGTTTAAACAAACAGCCAACATTGCATTTTTCCGTTGTCATGAACTATTTTATGCTTTTTATTGTTTTCATTAGTTTATTTAAGGGACTTCAAAACTGCATTTCACTGGAAAAGGAATAGTTGAGAAGAAAGTAAAAATGACAGGAACTTAAGATGATGACATGCAAGAAAGATTTATGGCCAGTTTGTTACTACTGTTTTTTAATAACATGCTCATCATCCGACAGAACCAATAAAACACTCCAAAATAGTTTTATCAAAAAGCCTCAAAAACAGCAATTACCCAACATAGTAACTTGCTGTTAAAACTCCTCAAAAATCCCAAAATACATGCGTCAATCTAACATTCAGCTCTCAAACGACACATCTGTCTTCCTCTTTCTCAGACTCGTAGCCCACCTCTTGTCTATGGAGCTCAGCCAGTTTCTCCTGGTCCTCAGTGGAGGTGGCGCTTTGGTTCTGCTGGTTGTTGTGGAGTTCCTCCACCTCCTGCAGATGTGTGGCTCTCAGTTCCTCCAGTGCTCGCCGTTTATCTGCCTCAAACTGGGCCTGAGCCTGGCTGAAAGCTCGCAGCTTCTCCTCAAAATCCCGACGCATCTCTTCCACCTATTGAAACCACGAAACATGATCTATTCTGTTTGACACGTTCATGTGTTATTAGCACCCAGTCTCTAACTGCCAAGTTCAATCCTGTTACACGAGCAGGTCATATCCTTCAGTAATATCTTATATCATGCTTTTGTTATTTCTCTCGTAACTAAACTAAAAACGTATAAGTTCACAACCACTCATGCATTACTGTTCGTCCAGACGTCAGCAACCAAAGTTTCCTGTTATATCAGAGGTTCCAAAAGTAAAAATAAAAAAATGTAAAAATGTAACATGGTGTGATGCTGTGATGCAACACAAGCCTGTTTCAGACTGATCAAACCAGACTTTTTTGACCGAGCTGGAAGCAGACACATAAGACAGAAGGAAAAAGGAAGACGAGGGACAATGCTGAGGCTAATTTACAACAGAGATAAGTGAGTCCGGACAGTCACATCCAAGAATGGTTCTTAAATTCTTTAATGCCTGCTATAATCAGACAAAAGTACATAAAACTGAGCCATGAGTATATGATATGACACGTGACATGACATGATTTGTTGTTTACTAAGCATTCACATTGTTACCTGGCATGTATTGTGCAAATAAACACTAATAATCAGATTCTTTTAACTAAAATATACCACCAATAGCATACCGGTATATTCTTTGAAAGTTTTTATCGACCAAAAAATGCTAAGAATATGGATATGTATCATTATATCTATAGAGTTTTATTGAAAGTAAATATGTAAATGTAATTTAATGAACATATTACAGCACTCATTCTTAAGCATAATCTGAATGCCGTTAGACAAGTTATCTTTTGTCTTTTCTCTCTGTAGTCCTCAGGAATTGTTCTTCAAGCTTCTTGAAGGGCATCTCAAAGCTCTACTTTTGATGTTAGCTGGCTTTTGTTCAAATGGTTCCACACTGCTTCAATTTCAGTTTGTGAAAACTGTTGGTTAAATTGATGCACCGACAATTGGCAAGCTTACCAGTTCATTTTTCTTTTTTTAAGCTCACCTCTCTGCTCATTGAAACCACTCTCTGTGTGTGCTGGGCCTCGGTGCAGAGCTGTGAGTCCTCCATCCTCTGTCTGTACATCTCAAACTCAGCCAAGGCCTGACAGAAACAAACCATCATTTGAATTACACAAACAGTTTCACGTGGTCAGTCATTATTAGATCCCAACAAAGATCCCTCTGTTCAAACTACAAATAACTCTACCTTTAAGAACAACAGACTCGTGATACATGACATGTAGAGAATAGGGTAAAATAGAACATAATTAATGTGTCTGTGAATCGTCAGAACACAACAAAGAGTAACAGCCACGAGCAGTAAATGACCTGTCTCTTCATGTGCTCGTGCAGCTCGACGGATTCCTCCAGACTGGCCAGCCGTCGCCTCAGGTCTGCCTCGTCCGCCATTTTACTCTTGTACTGCATGATCTTGTCTCTGGTTTCTGTCACTATGTGTTGGACCTGAGCGACAGCAAATAAAACCAGCCATCTTAATTGCTGCAGAGACAGTCCAACACTGGACGTCAGCTCGATCACTGCACAGTAGAATGTATCGTAAAAAGCTCTATGTAAATGGATGTCATTATTTTTGCACAGCTACAGAATGGAAAATATGTTTAAATAATTAAAACTGGGCATCAGGGTAACACTGATGCCTCCAGAAAATGTTGGCAGGAGAGATATGTCCCGCTCTGAAAATACATAATTTGAAAAAACGACAATTACATACACAACACGTTCCAGAGTATCTAAAAACTTCACTCTGAATGAAAAGATAATCACTTTAATAATACTTTAAACAGGTACCTAAAGCCACACAGCCACTGCAGATAACAGGTTTCACAAAGAAAAACATTTCAGCGATACATTAAATTCTTTGTCGAGAGTTCTAATATAATGCCGGCTGTTTTTAAATAGGCGGCTGTTCCTGCTGTCTCTATTATAAAATTAAAACATGTGGGTAAAATCTGGAGGAACTTTCCCGGAGACATAATTCATGCTGTCTTGAGCACATTTCCGATGCAGCAGCTTCATTGTGGACAAGATTTGTAGTCAGGGATGAGATGATTCATCCCTCTTTCAGTGTTTTTGACTCAAAATATAGACTGCAAATGGAGCACATATTCATGTGTGACTAATTATATACTGAATAACAAATGCACACAGGTTTATATTATATAGCCAAGAAAAGCTAACAAAATACTGTTTCCTTTCTTTCTTTCCATGAAATAATGGAATTAAAGTAAAGGGCTCTAGCAAGTTTAGCACTGAGGGTACCAAATGAGGAGCTATAATTTTTTCCCATTCAAAATGATCCAATGAGGCTGTTGTTACATGTTTCAGGGCAGCAGGTAAGACAGCCCAGCGCCCTCTTTTCCTTTCAGCCATACCCTGGTCATGAATGCAGAATGTGGGGTTCTGCGTTGTCATGACAATCATAAATTTCACTTTGAGGGCAAGTTGCTCTAAAATCCTGTTGAACTTTTCCACAGTAATGCAGCAATCAAAGCAGTGCAAACGAGCTTTGCCAAAAGCATTCATAGCATCACAGAGCCTGGCTTTTCATCTTCAGTCTGGACCACGCAGCATCATTCTGTCCAAAAAGATAAGGAATTCTGTTTTGTTTGCTGAATAATGTACATGTTGGCTGTGTGGTGGTCCATCTCAGATGTCCGGAAAGAACGACATTGCCCCTAGAAAAATGTAACTAGGGAATAACTAGCATGAATCATTTAATGATACTCTATAAAAGGTACACATCCCATTCAGTTTTTCTTTTGTAAACAGCTCATCGTTTTCTCTTGTTGATGCTCTGCTTGTATTTTCAGAATTAATGTTTGAATATTCAGACTTTCATGGAAACCTGACTTGTAAGGTGATTATGATTACCTTCCGAGGTAATCAGCTTATAATTGATTGTAAAATGCCACAAACACAAAATTGAAATGTTTTGCAGGCCTGAAATGCAAAAAAACCCAAAACATATTAACACTAGCATTAAGGCTTTAAAGGTTTGTCTGGTACAAATGAATGTAGCGCTTCACCCAACTGCAGCACAGTGAGCATCATAAGCACTGAAAGTACTCAGGGGAGGCCTCACAAGGTAATTGACAACTTGGCTTTTTGCTAAGCTGTGTTTGTATAATCCATATTGCTGCACTATCAGTTGCACAGCACTTGTCTCCGTATAATCATAGCTTTTGGTGTTCTGTGGTGTCAGTACCTCATCCTCGTGGGCCTCTTTCAGAGACTCGATTTCCTCCTCGTGCTCGTCATTTTTGGTGTTGAGAGCGTAGATGACCTGGGGAAAGAGGAGTTGAAGATGGGGAAAAAAAACACTGACCGACTTACAGTGTAAGATTAATAGTTCTACAGTGAGGAAAAGATCAGGACTGCATTGGAAGTAAAAAAGATCTATCTAAATAACATCAGCAAAGGAGAGATTAATAACTCACACTTCAATTAAACACTGACAAAGCTCTGCATTAACAGCAGCTGTTGTAAAATGCATCCGCCTTTTTCAGAACACGTTTCCGTCTGTCTAATAAAAGCAGACAGAAACTGGACTTCTGGCAGATAGCCTGATGCACTGAGACAGGATTACATGCACAGTGAACCAACTCGCTGCAAAAGGAGCGTTCCTCTGTAAACACAAACGCGCTCTTTCAATAATACATGAACCTAGAATATGGATATAGAATCTCTCTCTTCGAGCTTTAACAATTTCACACACAGACCTAAGTGAATAGCATCTTGTCAGTCATACTTGTGCTGTCTCCCAGAAATATGAGCAGGTTTTAAAGGATGTGGGCCTAAATGATATGCAGGAGCTTTAAAAAGCTTAAGCTTCTCCAAATTGAAGGCCCGGCTAATATTCAACCATGGTCCACTGAATTAGATCTGCTGCTATCAAAGTGATCTGTGTGCTCTATTCAAAGCACATGCAGCATGTAATGGACATTGAACATGGCTGTTTTATATGGTAGATATCCTCTGAGGATATTTAAGCGCAACTCTCTGATAGTGAACAGCACTGATCAACATTACCCTCAAAAAAGCTTCCTTTTTAGTAGCAGGTATTTTCTATTGTGTCATTCACAATTCAGACACCTGTGAATCTCGAATTAACTTCAACTGACAGCACCCGCTTTCCGACTGGACGTCTAATGAGAAGAAAATAATAAAACTGTTACTAAAACGTGTCAGCCTGTTTAATGCATTCATTTATGAATCAGGACAATGTGACTTTCCATTCAGCTTCTCTCTCTTGAATCGAACTGTAAGCAAGGCAGTCTGAGAATATTTCAGCCGTGCGACCAGCCTCCTTGTTTGTGCTTCAGATGGATTAACTGGCATTTTTGATCGATGAGCAGGTTTAATTTGTTGGAAAGGAGAATTCAGCAGCTGTTACCTATCCAGGATAAGCACTTTGTCTTCCACACACGGAGGCTCGTGTGCCGCCACTAATTACATCTGGTTGCTGGACTCTAAGGACGCGAAGGCACAGTCAGGTCGGTGCTCCTCACAGCTAAACTCAGCTTTATCCTAGACCGAGAAAATCTGGATCTGGATATTGATCTGGATGCTTTGGAGCAGGTTTTGTTTTCCTGGTGCCAATCCTGTTTTGATTGGTGCTCATTGGACTTTTGCTAGTGTTTATAGAGGGCACGATTTAGACTTTTACTCTTTGTGAGTGTGAGCTTGAGTTTTCCAGCATCAGTCAGCCATGTTCCTTTAATTATACATGATTGTTTTAATGATGCTGGTTCGCCTGCTTCTTCTATCTGTCTCTCCACTCTCCCTTTCCCCTCATCCTTTTATCTATTCACCTTTTGTTCTTTATCTCCTCTCCTCGTTGCAGTATCCTTTTCTACCTTTTTTTCCACAGTCTCTGCGAAATGAAGACACCTCCTGTTACCATTTCTGTAATAACCTCTGAAGTGTATGGTTTTGAGAACCCAAACATCTGCAAAAATGAAAATAAATCTTTCAATTCAATTTGAAGCCCCAACAGGGAGTTTTATTGGCCTGTAACTCAAATCTTATTTGGATAGGTGTTTATCATTTAATATGTTTAACAAGAATGATATTGTGGAATAGAACTATCTTCAGTTCTTCACAAAAAATGAAGAGGACATTGCAGATGCTTATGAAGTGTAAAAATGCAAATATGGTGTGAAACGTGTTGTTTCCGCTACGCTGGAGCCAGATCTGATCCAACCGATTTCTGTGGCCTCTGCGAAGCAGCCTGACGCGCTGTGACAGCAGCAGAAAAACCTTTTAGCATGAAGCAGAGGTTAAAATAACTGTACTTTGCTGTATCTGTGTGTTTATCAGAATGTTTAGTTCCGTCATCAAGAGACAGCTCATTCCTAAAGAAAAATGCTGTGAAAGTCGGGTCCTCGGCACACATCTTTCAACAGATTTGACAAATTTTCCAAAAAGGAAAGAAAGTGACAGCACATCTTGTCCTCTTTGCTGAGGAATGAAGAAAATGTCACAGTCTGAAGCCCCAAACCAAAACAAACCTTGAGGAAACACAACAGCCTGCAGCCAGTGCAGTTACACGCATGATGAGATGTAATGCTGGAAAAACAACAGTAAGACGCCCTGAATCCCTGCTGCTGCTGCACATTTCTCCCAGAGGGTAAAGACTACACATTGCCCTAATAATAAAAGCAGACTGTTTTCTGTTATGCGGAGGAAGTGCTGCAAGACAACAGATAACGGTGGGTTTTTCTACGGCTGATTTCGATCGAAAAGGAGTCTGTGTTGTCTGGGTATTGCAGCCTCATCCATGCAGCATCTTTCATTTACACATGGTTAAACTTCTTCTTTCAGTTCCCTGGAAGAAAAAGGTAAAATGAAGCGGTTAAATCACACAGAGGGACGCAGTTAACTGCAACCATAAAGTACCAAAATAACAGAACCATCAAAGAAGTGCATTCCAACCTTAGTCCTTTAGTTAGGCTGTTGAGTAATGCTGAGTAAGGAGATAGGACAAATACTTAGAGAGTGGCTTTTTGGGACTCTTCTGATGTCTCAGACTTTTGTCTGTCTCGCTTAGGATGACATCAGCTGAATCAAACTACTCCAGACTGAGCTTGCCTCGTTGTTCTTAAAATGGTCATTTAATTGTCTTCATCATGTTTCACTTCACTTTAGAGATTTAAATCAAAATCCAACGGGGGTGGAAAAGGGACTGGCCAATTGCAAACTGCCAGCCTCACAGCCCGAGTCCTTTTATCATCAAGACGTCAAACGCAGAGCTGTCCTTTGCAGGGCGAACATGGAATGATGGGAAAATTGACAAAAAGGGCACTCTGGAGGGAGGCTTCTAAGGACATTTCTGAAGTCAACCTCTATTGATTGCACTGGAGAAACAAAAGGGCCTCACCATCTGAAGAGCAAAACTCGGTTGCTTTCTTCTCTGCGTTTTCAGAGGATTACCATCATACTCGGTAATTAAAGGACTAATGAAAGCCTGGCTCTCTGAGGTGCTGCGGCCTTAGTGGCATCCCTCGATACTTGAGCTTTAAGTCCAGAGTTTCCTTTTACCAGACATCCAATGAGGTGCTGTCTCTATTTGCAATTAACTGCATCCTGTATTTACTTTGCCCTCTTAACGGGCACTTCGCACCTGTTCGTTCTGCCACTGTTGTGCTGCTCTGCTGCTCCAAGGACACTCAGAGCTCACTCTGCTGGCTGAGCATCACTACGCACAACCTCAGACACACAAAGCCAGAGCCGAGGCACTCAGCTGTCTCTGACAGCCACACACAACGCGAGAATTCTGTGATATTCAGAGAAAAACAAGGGCCCCTTGATCTGGAAGAACTGGTTGCAGTTTTCTATTCCCTAAATTTTAAAGCAGCACAGTCTTAAATCTTGTGTTAGCCCTGGCTTTTTGCAGTCTTTCAGTGTTTATGTCTGTAATCCTGGATGCTTCCCTTTGAATGAACTCTGCAAAGTAATTATACATTCTAATAAGTGGTCAAAAAATGAAAATAACTAAATCTTTTGGAGAACTGTCTTATGTGGGCAGGTGATGCATGGCTCATCTGAGCAACTTCTCTGATCTTTAATTTCACCAAGCACTCAGCAGAAACCAAAATAACCCCTCATTTTCTTACTAGCCAGCACATCATTTCATCTAATTTCACCACCAGGAACTGGATGTTTCTCTGCAGGATAACTAACCTTAGTCTGTAGCAGGGGCTTTAGGTTCCTTAAATGGAAATCAATTTACCCACCACCCATACAGGTTACACAGGGATCTGATCTACACTCTTTAAAGGATGATGTCAAACGTTCTGCCCAGCAAAAGGAGCATTTTGTGCAGCATTAAGCGGGAAAGCAGGACCAGTAAACATTTAAGATTTCACACAAGATAAAAACAGTAATCTGAAAAACCCATAAAAAAGGAGGAGACCAGACACCATACACAAACAGAGCCAGTGAGGTCTGCTGGGCTGAAGCTTTATTCCAGCACTGCTCTACACAAAACATCATAAGCATCCACAAAATAACCAAACTCCAATGTGGGAAGTTTGCATTTTGGATTTGCCTGTGACGTGGTGGGTTTTGCAGAGCTTATCTGGGCATCTCACTCTGCACTGGGACAGAATCCCCACAAGCGTTATGTAAAATCCTCTGCTGTCCGCTCCTGCTTTCGTCTTTCCTTGAGCAGCAGGATGGCTCAGTATTGTCATATTCACATTTCAGTCACCATTCCAAAATGACTACAGCCAGGATGGAGTAGAAGGAGCTGCCACCTTAAATCTCTTACTACGCCACAGCGCAGTAGTAGCCCTGCACCCTACTCTGGTGTCAGGTAGACAACAAAGAGGCAGCTCCACCACAACCCCTGCATCCCTCCAGCATTACATAATTTCTCTTGGTCCTTGTGGCAGTGCCAGCCGAGCGGCACCATAAAACCATCCTCCGGCTAAGCCGTGGCCTGGCAGAAGGTGCAGTCTCATTAAAACAATCCTCTGGGCATATAGGAGCTTTTGAAGCAGGCGAAATCACCCTGCAACAGATCCTGCTCTTCAGTGTTTGTAAAACATGACTGGGGTTGACTGCCAGCCAGTAGAATCGCTGTGGGCTAACAAAAACTCCTTTAAAAACACAGTTAAACAGCTACCACTGAGTATTAGAATCTGAACCAGTTTTTTTGCCTGGGTATTAACCTCTGAACCACGAGATTATGCACAACTGTGAAATGTTATTCAAACTGGTCCAACGCACCGTAAAGGCATCAAAAAAAACAACCAATGGAGAGACCTCCCGCATCAGCACCAGCGCGAGCCCCTACAGCGCGAGCCCCTCCGGTACTACTCCGTCCACATCCCCACCTGCTCCCGACCACCTCACCAAAACATCCTACGTCATTCATTCACGTCCACAGACCTTGGTAAGCTGGGCTATCTTCTTGCTCATCTTCAAATGCAGGTCCTGCGTGTATTCCAGCGTTAAACTCCCCTCGTAGAACACGCTGGACGTCGGGGAAGGGGCATATTTGGTGTTGCCCGTCGAGGTGCTGTACGGAGGCTGCCAGCCTGCCCCCGTCGCCATGTTTGCCGGGAATAAGCCCCCCAAAAACGCGAGGGCTGCGAACTCAAGTCAAACGGAGCTCGGCGGGGGGGGGGGTCTATGCTGTCATTCCTCCCATTGTGGCGTCCGCGGTTAATGTTCGGCTTCTGCTCGGGAGAGGGACGCGGCGCGAGGACAGCCACCGGGGCGCGAGTACGTTCTGCTGCACGCGTGCACGCGAGCGGCTGAAGAAGATGCGCGGGGCGGGAACGCGCGCCAGATGCTCGTCCAATAGCGCGCTCCCGTGTCCAGCTGCTCTGCAGCTCCTCTGCACCGTGCTCAGCTTAGTCCTTTACCCCCAAATAAGGGGGTCTCTCTGCCCATGTTTGCTTTAGATTTAGAAGATCATTTAGAAACGGTTGCATCAAATAGTGTTGCAGAAATCCGTACTTATATCTATCTCCTCAAAGCTTTATTTGACTTATAATTGAAAAAAAAAAACAATATAGAATCCTTCTGTGTTTTAAAGTATAAAACTTTGGCAGGTTGAACATGTTGTGAGAATTATCGTTGTTCTTTTGTTTCACTTTATGATACAGATGGTAATATGAGAGTTTAAGCACTGTAAAAGTCTCTTTTTTAAATTTAGGGGGATTTGTATTCCAGCATCTGAGGAAAGGAGCCCGAACCTGTTATTAATCCTGGACTGACATCTAGTGGTGATGTGGTTTAACTGCAACATGTTGACGAGCTGATCAGGTAATCCCATCTCTAAAAGGTAAAATGAAAAAAAATATACCGTTTGCTGCTGTTTGTGTTGTCAGTGATAGACATTTTGATTCACAGACGCATTTCAGAATTTAGGAGTATTTCTTTTTTTTTTTAACAGGGAAGGCAATAGACCTTTAAAATAGCCGCTTTGGTCGGATATTTTTTACTTCACTCACTGAAGCCTGAGAAGGCTTGTGAAATAAATCAAACAAGCACAATTGAGAAGCCATATACGACCGGGAATTAATGAACTGAACTTCTGTTAATCTCCATGTATTTGGGGAGCCATCTTTCATCATCTGCATCTCACAGTCTTCTTCTCCTGTGGCTTCCTCGTCAAACCATATTCTTCTGCTCCTCTTTCCTCTGATCTTTAGTCTACCATGCACACCTGATGCTTTCCTGTTACTGCAAATTAATCAGTTTTCCGGTTGATAAAGAGGGTCTGCTAGAACAATGCAAACGTTTTGATTGTTGCTGTTTTCATTTTCATTTTACTTAAACACACATTGCTGCTGTGAATGTGAGTAAACTGTCCACTTTGAATTTCAGGGTTACCATGTCAGATGAGCTGTCAGGATGTGATTGGCCAGCATCTCCTTATGTTGTCACTGCCTTCACCAAATCATAACTAACTTAAAACGTGGATTTCATATAACAGATATTACAGAAGGGATGCTGGATATTTAATCTGCCTCAGGGGAGTTCAAGACTTATTATCCAAGGGACCTCTTACTTTCCTATTGCAACATTTCAGATTAGAAAGTAGATTCACAAGGATATTGAGACCCCGTCAGGAGGCCAGCAGCGAGTTAAACTCAAACAGAGGGACACATCAGGGACATCATTCTGCAGCTTTGCCTCAATCGCCATGACCCTCTAGAATTTGACAAAAATGTAGTCAAGCTATAGCAGACATTATATCTTATAACATGTGTGATTATATACACTTTTAGATTTTGGATGTGCAATCTTTAGGCGATGTCGTACAGAAATTTGATAGATTAGGTTTTGTGTATTTTTTCTTATGTCCTGTTTCATTTCACAGCCTTAAAAGTCTTTCATTTGGGCTTCACTTCCTCTAGATGGCACCGTCGTCCTGCTAAAACCACTCATGGGTTGTGGACTTTGCAAAATTGTATTACAGTGTGGACATGATTTATTTATGCAAAGTCCATCTGAGTGTCTTTAAAATACACTCAGTTTTAGAATAATTTAATTAGCTTGCTCTTTTTTGAATGCTTCAGTGTTTGACTAATTTGTTCATATGGATTGTCATTAAAATGCATTACTTTTGCATTTCATTTCCAAGCCTGATTAGGATGAAGTTGTAGTTAGAGTGGCTTCTTTTTTGTGGCATTTAAAATCACTGTCTCCCGACTCATAGGAGATTTCCAGATATAATTGAAGTGTCATCTTCGGATGGTGTCAAAATTATGATTCCTTTTATTTTAACATCAACTACAACACCAGTTACAAACTTATCTTACCTTGAGTGCAATATGCCAGAAGAGGATTTAACATTAAGGATTTAACATTCAACTATAACATAGACAGTGCTTGGTAGGTCGTTCCACCAGCGTGGAACCAAAGATGAAAAGAGTCTAGATTGACCTTTAGTGCACCAACAAACGCGTTCAGCAGCATGCCGGTTTAAGAGCTGCAGACCATGAATATAGGGTTATATCACATGTACAGTCTGGGTGTTTCAGTACTCGGGGTTCCACAGAGGGACGTGCATCATTTTGATCCCGTGAAGCTATAAAAGATTACAGAATATTGACAGTGTATCCATTCTGATGATTACACAAGGGGGGATTGTTTGAATATCCACTTGCCCATCCTGAATAAATAATTCATTTAGTTCCTGGAGTGACACATTTTGAAACTTCAAGTGCAAAAAATGACAGAGTAAAATGTTTTATTAATTCAGGGTCTAAGGTCTGATGCTTTCATTTGCCAGATTTTAACAGGCGTTCATTAGGGCATCAAAGGATGAGAGGTGAAGAATAGACACTGATAGAATTTCAAAGAGGTATTGGGCGCACTAAATTTAATGTAAGAAAATGAGGGAGAGGAGAGAAAAGGTTTTGTAGGCAACTCTGCTGAGAGAGAATGTCCGTTGTGGAAAAGATGTCTGTATGAGAGGGAGAGCAGGGAAAGGGGGAGGAGTGCACGCATGCACTGCAGCACACTCGTGCGTAAATGTGCCCATCTCCGCCTTGGAACCTGCATCCCTCACTCCTCACCACTGGCACCGGCTCCTCTCCCCCTCTGCTAACCCGGGATCACCTGTGTGGTGATCTGCTCTTGGACCGTGGAGTCCCGGGTGTCTCGGCTCGGCGCGCTCCTCCAGGGGCTGGGGGCAGCGCCGGGGAACTCCTCCAGGTTCCTGCCGGGCTTCGTGTCCACAGCCGGGGAGAACCATGGCTCCGAGCGGCGGGAGAGACGCGGCTCGACCCGCTCCAGGATGCCCGTGATGCGGGGTCTGATTGCACCTCAGAACACCTTCCTGGACACCATTGCCACACGATTTGATGGGACCCGTGAGTAAATGTCTCCCCTTGAAATGATCCCGATTAAATGTACGGTATTTTGTGATGCACTATTGTCAATTCAAGCTTCTGTAATTGCTATTAGTTGTTTGCTTGGATGCCAATAATTCAACTCTGCACTATGACCCCCCTCACCACCTGCAAAGTGCAGACATAAGCTTGCAGATATGGCTTGGGTAATGAATGAAAAATTAATGTAAACTTAGACTAACATGTTTACAAAGTCATGGAGCAGCTATGCACCCGCAGTAAGAATGAAAACTTGTCAGAGTGGGATTAAAAAAGAATTAAAGAAGCTTTTGTAAGTTTATGGAAATAATGTTGGACAAAACACGCAGTCCCCCTGGTCTTATTCCCAAATAATGATCTAAAATGTGCCCTGAAAAGTCAATTAAAAGTCTATGTTTAAGTGATTGGACTGATAAAATGTAAGGAGTGATATCCAATGACAAACACATAAAAAGGTGCAAAACTACAAGAATACAGAAAAAACAAGGCAGAAGTTAACAAAACAATACAAAATGACAACATTTTACATGAAGGTGCCTTGGACAGAGATAGCGTGATCTGTTGAGAGATTGGCCAAAGTACATCACTAAAATGATCAAATTCTGATGAAAATGTGTGACAGGATCTATGAGGACAACATTTAGCTTCCTTTTCTTGTATATTTTTTATGAATGCAAGGGCTCATTTCTATAACTGTCCATCATTAAAAAACGTAGCCCCTCAGCGAATGACTGGCTTTACTGGAGACTCAGTTTCTCATTGACTGATTTGTCATGGCAGGATTAACATGTTATGGAGTGAAACTGGCAGCCATTAATATCCTGCTCCCAAACTCTCACTGCACACAGTAAGGTGGTACAGTGAGGTAATTTGATTAAACTGATTCATTTTCAATAAAAAGAATTTTAAAAAGAATCTGAAGCTTTAAGAAAACAATACTTAAGGATGCTTAAGGAAATTTGTAAATTTCATTTCATGGTTTGGTGTTGCCCCAAAAAATCTGCTAAACTGGCTCAAAAAATAGTAAAAATACCTCTACTGATCATCTTTTCGTCTGCCTCATGGTGATAGTATTGACTTTGGGTATATCTACACAGTATAAATCCAGCACATTACATTTACATTACATTACATTTCAAGTTCTTATATCAGCTCCTGAATTACTTTAAAAGACTTAAAAAATTCTGATCATTATCATGATCATCACATTGATTTACGCTGATGAAAGTCCTGCCTCTACATAAAAAAATATATATATCCCAGCCCAGCCTTTTTCATTCACACTGCACATCACACGTTCAGACTGCATTAAACCTACAATCTGCAAACCTGCAGAGAATCTGTCAATCATTACACAAACTGCTATTATTGTAGCTTAAGAGTCTTACATAATGTTGTCCTGAAGGCCTATATTATCAGTGATTCCTGAGTAAGGAGGCGCTGTGCAGCCAGTCAGAGCAGGATCTCCTGAAACTGAGCCCTGAATCACACTAGATATATAAAAAAAAAAACAGGAATCTGCGTAGATCTCATCCCTGAACGAAATTCTGTGGAAAAAGAAGCGCTCTGTCTTAGAATCCTCTGTGACAGCTCTAGACTCAGTAGAACCCCTTTACCGTGCCTTTCGGACGGCTCCAGGACAGCGGATCGGGCCCGGTTCATGCTGAGAGAATGATTCCAAGCTTGACGTTGGGCAGGCCTCTTTAACTTACAAGGTCCAACTCGGAGTTGCACTGAAAAGTTTTGAAACACTTAGTTGGTACCCTCTACGTTATAAAATGATGCAACAAGCACCTGTTCAGTCTGAGTGGGATGAGGGGGGAGTAGAACTAAGACTTTGAATCGGCGGCTGTGTGTTCTGCCTCGTTGTCCCCAGTTCACCAATGACATGTAACAGGCTTCCTTTATGCTATAAATCCTTGATGAGAAGGCAGACGTTTTTCTTACCACTTGTCCATATGACTTCTTCTCCCAGAGGAGCTGTGCCTCCTCCACCAGGGGTGTGTCAGTCAAGCACCAGACCTCCTCCACGTCTTCTCTCATCTGCCTGGCTTTAATCCCCTGTCAAGGGCAACACTTATCCACTGAGGAAAGCCCGGGCAAGAATCTCACAGCACTTCCTGTGAAGTCTGATGCTCTGAAACACTTATTTGAAGTCAAACTAATATTTCCCTTCAACAGCATCCTCAGCTACTGTTTTCTCCATCGTTGTCATGGGAGACTGATCCTTGCTGTGGTCCTGTCCTGTACGTGCTCTGTTTATTTAGTTTAATTGGTAGTTTTGCATGATGTAATTTGCCCCACAAAATAGTTCCTGCTCTAAAAGAACCCGTCGATTGAAAAGGAGCCATCAAAAAATATCTAATGCGTTCATCAAACTCTTCATTCATCAGCTTCCTTTAGCCATGCGGTGCTTCTCTGGTGAGACTGACAGCAGGCGGGTTTTGTGCAGGGTCACATCCAACCTTTGAATCCTATAAACGGATGACATATGCAGTGCTGCAAGAAGGCTTTGAAGACTACAGATGGAGTTTAGAGATATGACTTAAATGAGCAAATGTAACGCATAGAAAGACGAATATGAACTGAAAAAGAATGCAACATGATGTTTTTGATACAGAAATGTAAAAGCTTAGATGTTTGGGTGATTTAACCAAGAGAGTGCTGTCCATTCCATACAAGGTTAGCTTGACAAACATTCACTGTTGAAGTGAATTGGTTATTGGAAGGCAGGCAGGTTGACCTGTAGTGGCAGCTTAGTTTGATTTATGTGGTTTTGTTTGGTGAGCAAACATTTTATTTGTTCACCGCTTATTCATAAGAACATCAGCTGCACCATCACTGTGTGCTGGTTTCTACTAGAGCCCTGCCTCCCTCTTGGGGGGTTGTTTGTTCAGTATTCATTCCCTATTTCTGGTGGTCTAATAAAGCTCTGTTTGTCCATGCATTGGACTATAAATTGAGTGTTTACAGTGGAGATTAATACCCCCTTCAATGACATAACGTGCACAGCCAGCTAATGTATGAATAAACATAAATGATGATGTGGGTGTGAATGCAGGCAGAATGCATCAGATCTGTCAGTGTGTAATACTGGTGCTGTAAGACCCGCAATGGAACATCCAGTGTCAGACGTTATAGCCACTGGATGGTTGTTGTTGTGGGGGGGGGCTTTCAGTTACCCTTTTCCACCATTGTGATTTGAACGGGTGGCAATCAGAGCACAGACCCATGTCTCCTTACTGAGAGTCGGGAGTGACTGAATCTTTTTGTCCAGTTTTTTTTATTTTGATGAGGGACTTCAAAGACAGCAGAGCTTTGTCAGATTTAGTCAGAGGAGTTCTCTTATAAAGCTGCGAGCTTTGAAGTGTTGAAGCAGATCTGGAATGAAACGTGTTAGAGTGTAGGAAACACCTCAGAGAGCCTCTCACATGCAGGAATCGTCTGTCTGTCAGCGTTCGCTTCTTTATTGTTTTCCATCTTTCTCTCCTGCGGTGTCTTTTTTAAGCTCAGATTCTGATGCAGTCAGTTGTAGTGCAGTGGTTAAAATGAAAGACAGATAGGAGCAGAATGCTTTTAGTTCACAATTTTAACTTACAAATAAAAAAGTTCCTTCCCTATCAGTAAATATTGAAAGTGAGTTGACAGATATATTGCAAATGCCTTTTTCCCAAAAATGTTTTCATTCTTAATAATGCAGTGGGTGGTTGCGAGATTCCCCCAGCTGAATGGTTATGTTGTTCAGATCGAACATGACTATTCCTGGACTTTGGTGTGGATCCAAAAGGCCTGTCCTGTTTGGGGAATGTACAGACACTGAATATGAAGAAGATAAATATGATTTAGGAACGCCATAGGGACAGTGGTGTTGTCCATGACTGTAACTGTAACCATCTTTGTGGGGAAATGTCCGCAGAAGTCAGCGCACGAACAAAGCGACAACACGCTCTCATCCATAAGAAATAGCAAGAGAAAAAAAAATCCTCCAGAGAGACATACACTGATGCTGTCAGTGAACTGTTTGCTCAAAACACCCTGTGGAGTTTGTAGACACCAATAATGCAATGGCTCAGAGTTTTAGAGTGTGTTTATGTGTATTTTATGGCCATGACCAAGGACTCACATGCACTTGCATGAGTGCACACTTGATATTTATTCTTGCTGACAAGGACCTCCACTGATTCACATTTAAACGAGTAAAGGGAGGGAAGAAGATTACACAAGAACTTGCAAATGAATGTCTTTAAAAGGAGTATAGCTATGTTCGGGCCACTTAATGACTAAAAGGAGCTTCATATTTTACAGGAATCAGCTAAGATGCACATGGTGTCACCAATTACCCAACCTTTCTCATTCTCAGGCCATCATATACCTAGAATACCTAACCTTTTCCCCAGTTCGCATCTTTATCATAATACAGCCTGTACTGTCTTCTGACAATGAAGTTCTAAAACCTTGTTCATTCACTCTGAAGCAGGTAAAGGGAATAAAAAATCAGCTTTTTGTGACACTTGTTACAGATAGTTGGAATCCACAGAGTTGTTTTAACATCTCAGTCACAATCAGTGTTTGACATTTGATATTTACCAGTGAACAATAGCCTCCATGCTCAAACCAAGAGCTCCTTGGTGTCGGTCTTAGCGACTAAATATAATGAACTAACCTTTTGCTGCACCAACATGACAATTATCCAGAATTGGTGTTGAAACAGGATTCTCAGCAGTCACATATGATTGACAGTGGTTTCCTCTGCTAAGAAAATATACTACTTTCATTTCCATGAAAGGGACAGTTTGATGTTCATTGAAAATGCCACCACAGTTTTTAAAAAGGGACTTTCTGCTCTAGAATATTTATATATTCCTTCATTGAACCATTTAATAATCTCTAAGGCACAAGGCCTTTTTTTCTGAGCAAAGCCATTCATCAAATCCTTGAATATGCTGTCACACTCCCAAAAGTTGCCGGCTGTGTAATTCTTCTTATCAAAATCATGCAAAGTTTCCCTGGCTTGCTGCATCACACGGCAGCTCGAATGATCAGATTCCAGCTCTTTCTACATCTACACACCTGGTCAAATGACAAGGGGACGACACTGCATTTGTTGTTGGTGCAAATCCACGTTGCTAGATTTGAGTAACATGGATTCATGTTTGTCCTCTGCTTAAATGTCAATGCTTGAACGGTTAAATTCAGAATATCTCACTGTAGAAAGGATCAGAGGTATATCATCAGAGCTTTGGCAAGCTGCAGAGACACAGACAAGAAGAACAAATCTTCTGTGTGTGTGTTTATGGCATTACACTGACTTAGCAAACACTTTTTATCCAAACCATCATACAAAATAGATGAGAATGGAGTGCCCTGAATGAGTTTGAGACAGGCTGAAAGGGTTTCAATATCTTTTACAAAAGATGACAACTTTATGTAATCGGGTTCAGCTCAGGCCGACAGAGAAACAAAAACTGATACGTTCCTCTGTGCTCACAGGGATTTCAAATGTCTGAGTGTTTATATAGCAAACAGTGAGCGATCTACATGCACAAATCAAACACCCAGCTGTTTACGAGACATTGTTTTAGCTCTGGGGAGGACCTTTGGAGAAATGGACTATGAGTGTGTGAAAACTGCTGTTTGTGATTCTCTGATCAATGAGTGCTCTGCAAGGTTTTCATTTCATCTGATACTAAACGTCTCAGACAGTACCAGTTCAATGAGAGACACACAGGGACAAAATATAGTGTACCATGTTGAATTTCAATTGGTTTTGAAATTATTTTAAAAAGATCCACCAGCATCTTAACCACCAGGAAAACAATCAACTGATAAATAGACAGACAACGTTAAAGAAAAATTCATTTTAATAATTATTGCAGACATTGAATGGGAGTCAATCAGAGCCAAAACCTTTTTTGGATTGTTAAACACTGCAGACATTTAATTGTTTGAACCCTGAGCATGAACATGTTCAAATCTAAAATTGGAGTGCAGACCGGCACGGTGCGGAGCAGTTCATCTCTCTGGTGTTTTGATTTGGTATGGCACAACCACATCAATCCAGCATACTTTATTGATGAGTAAATTCAGAAATTTTGCTGTCCTCATTTCATTTTTATGCAGTGACACTTCTCAGCATCTCTGTTAATCTCTCCCACTCTGCCTTTCTCTCTCATCCAATCATTTTCTCCACTGTTCTCCCATCTTATATTGCTCACATTCTTCAAAGTGAGTACTTAAGTCCTCTCAACTCATTTATGAACAGACTTTAATGATCTCATTGGAATTAATGCACTGGCTGTACGGATAACTTATCATACCTGACTCAGATCCATTATAACTTAATCAAGATTTTTCCTATTACTTAGGCTGTCAAAGTACTTGTCAGAGCTCCAGCTCATATCACTGCCTCACAGCCAGTTTACATATGCTTACAGCTATACTCTCTTGATTTCATTAACCAAATTTACTGGTAAAATGGAAAATGTCATTCAGTTCACATCCTCATTACGTGTCCCTATAAAAAGGCTAGTGAAGAAGGGCCCATTTGCAAATCTCTCCCTGAAGCTTTTAGTTTTGTATAGCATTTCAGCTTCGCAAGAGCCCCAGCATTAGTGAAAGCATCACATAAAAACCCTAATTTTGCTATGTAGATGAGACAATTCTTTCTATAAATACCAAATCTGTGGCTTCAGAAGATGCCCAATTAAAAGACATCAACCTCTCTCCTGAAGTACTGAGTCATTAAAATTTTCCCTCAAGCCATCAGATAGATTCCCTTCCTCTGCATAGTTCTTCTGGTCCTCCAACAAATAACCAAAATAATGAATGATTATTTGACCTCAACCATGCATGTTTTACCCAATTGTGTTTTAGGTTGCAGCTCCACCCTCACAATTATATCTATAATAGAACAGGAAAATTGGTAAAATAATCCTTTCTGAAAAATTGAATGAATTTCGAAATATAGATTACATAATGTCATGGTGTGTATTGTTGTCTTCATTTCCCATCAATAACATCAGAGGAGACACATAACAAACTCATAATTAGGATCTGAGCAATGCAAACACCTCTTGAAATATGTTCTCATAATAATGAAAGTGAAAGATGCTGTGAGCTCCAAACAGCTCAATAAAACTGGCTTTAATATTGTGTCCATGGGGGATACCCAAATCCCCACAGTGATAAACAATGCTTCCATTTATTTAAACAAATCTTGGTAAAAATGTTACAATTTCCGTACATCAACATCAACAGAAATCTTTATTAGGCTGTAGGTCATGAGCATCTGGCTGAATAAATTATCTTCTGGTCACGTTCGAAGCTGCAGCAGGTTGGATCTGCTACTGCCGTCCTTTGGATAATAACGGCTGGGGGCAGCTTTCTCACCACTAATTGTGATAATCGTTTTATGCTTAATCCCTGATCCTGTTTTTCTCCTGTTTCCTTTCCCACCTTTCTCCTCACAGACAGTAACTTTGTCCTGGGGAATGCTCAGGTCCAGTCTCTCTACCCCATAGTCTACTGCTCCGATGGGTTCTGTGAGCTGACAGGCTTTGCCCGCGGCGAGCTCATGCAGAAGAGCTGCATGTGTCACTTCCTGTATGGCAGTGAGACAAGCGACCGCCTCACCTCCCAGATGCAAAAAGCCCTGGACGATCGCAAGGAATTCAAAACTGAAATCATTCTGTACAAGAAGAGTGGTAAGACGGGCGCCCCGGGGGATGCTGTCAAAACCAATCAGGTCCATCATATCACTTATCTTTGAGTCAAAGCTGTCATGTTTACACTCTGATCTATTTGTTAAGGCTCCAAGTTCTGGTGTCTGCTGGATATAGTTCCTATCAAGAACGAGAAGAGTGAGGTGGTTCTGTTCCTGGTCTCGCATAAAGATATCACAGAAAATAAGGACCTGGACCATGACAGTGATTCTGAAACTGGTAAGAAAGTGCATGTGAGAAAAGCTGTTTAATATTCAGCTATAATTCAAATGAAGCGATTCGGCTCAGGCTCGCAGCTGAGGTTTCATAATGAGTAGAATTTGCCTCCAGTTGTCAGCCAAGTAGAAAGGCCTCTCCTCTTTTTCAGTCCTCTGTTCTATTATTGCCCACACTGATGGTATAGAAGTGATGAGGCTCACTACTTTCAGTGGCTATGTCATCAGCTTAGATGACATTGCTGTGGTCTTACAGCGCTATCCATGAGTAGAATCCACTGGGTTTTTTAATGAGTGTCTTCACAGGTTTGTTGCCTCCGTGGTCAATCCTCATGAGGTCAGTGCAGATGTGCATGCATGACTGCAAACTACTCACTTCGTAGTGAAGGCTTTATCTACCCATTTATAATGAATAAACAGAAATAAAGTCATGATAGGACGTGGGGTAATTCTGACAGCCATACATTATGCACATTGTAACATTGTGAAGCTTTTTGTTAATGCTGAGTCAGACTTCTGCCAAAGAAATATTTGGTCTTTCTGCAGCAAACTCTCATAACGTGAGATTTTAAATTATACGACTTCCTGTGCTTTTGCTCACTTTTCTCACAAGATAAATTAAGACACTGCATGCCTACTGGACATCAAAATTATGAATCATTACATCATCGAATGACTATTTTTGTTTTTGATGATGAAGATGTGCTGAATGTTTGTTTGCAGGCAGCACTGTCACTAGATCTTTTTCAATTACCTATGACAGGAGTAAATTCCCTGCAACTTCACCATTCTAATTCCATCATGAATTTTTACAGTCTTGCCCTGATTCAGACTGCACCGCTGAATTATGAGTGGATGTCTTTTGGAACGGCAGTGACACGTTGTGCTGCTACATTCTCAAGTCTGGACACAGTTTATGTTTCAATTAGAGGTTGAATGAGTAGAGGACAAGCTGTTTTCAAAAGGCTTAAAACAGAATAATTTTAAAGCAAATGAACCAGGCTTTTGGTTTAGTTTATGGTATTATTGCCGTGTATTGCCACGTGATGCAAATTGTCTACTGTTTACTGTTTACTCTCATTGATGTGCATTAAAAAAGACATTTCAAAAGAAGGAAAGCCTACTTGAGAGTTTGGATAAAAACTCTGACTGGACTATTAAGGAAGATTAAATAATACTTGGAAGAGGCGAATAGTGTCAGCAAAGCGTTACATTAGTTATCAACTTGATGCAAATAACCCTAGTTATATTTGAGCCTTGCCTGAAATTGTCTTTAACAAATGTTTAAAAAGCACAATTGAGCACAACATGTGCTCTGATGTGCAAACATTCACATGATGCACGTTTTTCTCCTTCCCCCCATGGGGCTGCTGCTAAGTTGGAGGGTACGAAAACGCTTACAGAGAGTCCTCCTGCTCCTGCCGCGTGCATGCATTTTTAAAAACCCTGTCCTTGTATTGTCAGATGAGGGAACTGGGATGGAGATCCACCAGGTCAGTCGCCCTCCTGGGTGCAGCATGGAGAGGCGGCGCAGTCGGGCCGTCCTTTACCAGCTCTCCGGTCACCTTCAGAAACAGGACAAGACCAAGAGCAAGCTGAAGATCAACAATGTGAGTGTGTTGGAGGGTTGAAAAAGGAGCACCTGATCACAATGATCACTGTTTGTGCTCATTTGTATGTAACCGATGTTAAAGTAAAACTGACGCAAACCAGGAGAAGTTCCCCCACATAATTCAGGAAAACGTAACTTGGTTTCCTTGTCTTATTATTTTTTTTTAATGTTTCTGTGTCTCAAGAGTGTTCTTGGAGCCAACGCTAACCCAGTCCCAGAGTATAAGGTGGCTGATGTCCAAAAGTCCCGGTTCATCCTCCTTCACTACGGTGCGTTCAAGGCTGGCTGGGATTGGCTGATCTTGTTGGCCACCTTTTACGTGGCCATCACGGTTCCCTACAATGTGTGCTTCACTACTGTGGAGATGAGAGAGGACGGCGTCTCTGCGGCTCGAAACCCTCCAAGCGTCAGCGATATCTTGGTGGAAATACTTTTTATCATTGGTGAGTCCACGTCATGATGTTTCCACACATAGTCCAACTACAATGTTTTCCCTTTGTTGTCAGCATCACTATTTAAGCTGAGCCTGGTCTTTAAATTGAAGACTGTGTTTGTCATGCATTGAAACCTCATATGCCTTTTGAAACAAGTGCTTTAACTCACAACCATTTAGGATATCTTCTCAGTTCCAGAAGCAGCTCTCTAATAGTCTCCATGTTCCAATCAAGTCGGCTTAAAAAACTATCACTCTTTCTGAGTTAATTGGCTCTTAAACCTACAGTGTATTTCACATTTGAAGCTGAACAATCACAACTTCTCTATCTAAACTAGCTCTCTCCTCTTGCATCAAAGTCCAATAATCCCATTTACATACAGTAAAAAAGGGAAGGTCTGTAATAGGAAATATAGTCCATGTATAATACTACAGTCATGGATTTGGTAAATCTGGAGGTTAGCCTAACATCACACTCAGTTTCTAGTTGACGGATTTAACACCAACAGGAACAACACAGCAATAAAGGAAACATATTGCAAGTTTTTCCCCCATAAAGAAAACAATCCTATATGTTGATATCACTGAAAAAACGTACAATACAATTACTCGTCTGATGTTAAATTTGTAATTACATTCAATAATATTGGTATTTTAAAGTGTAGAAAAGTAAACTACCTGCAGTAAAAGAGTTAAATGTACTGTAAGAGCAAAAATTACAGTTTGTCACATTCATATAATTCTCTGAGTTGTAGCATATGAAAGGATATTTGTATAGCCATTTTTTATGTAGCCTACTTGTTGATTTTATGTAATATATATATAATATATATTCCTAGTGAATCATTGTACAACAGCAGAACGATTTCCAATTGGGGATAAAATAAAAATGATTCCTTTTTAGTTCTACATTCACAAGGACTCCCATAAAAAGGGGTATGAGTTATTTTTCTCCACAGCCATCCCATCTGTAATAAACCACAGCTCTGCATGAATGCTGTTTGCTGCTGCTCTTCTAAATATGTAATCTGGGTCAGCCTTAAAGTAGAATTGATATAATGAAACTTCTATAAAAAAAATAGACTGAGCATGCCTTTTGTTTCCACTGGTTCCAGTCATCATTTTTTGCACAGTAAGGGTTTTATCCATGTTTGGCACGTTCAGGCAGAGCCAAATTAGCCTCCTTGTCTCCAGTCTAGTTGCTGGTTAAAGCTAATTTCAGTCTGCTGCCTCATTTCACATTATACAATCCTTTGAAGTGATCCACTGTCTTCTTCTACTGTCACAAAACTGGGTCAAAGAGGACGGACTAAATCAAAGCTTCTGCAACATATTTATATGGAAATGGCCACAAGTGACAAAAATGTACCAAAGTTGTTATGTTTTTATGTCTAGATATTGTGTTGAACTTCCGAACGACCTATGTGAGTACGTCTGGTCAGGTGGTGTACGACGCCCGCTCCATATGCATTCACTACGTCACCTCCTGGCTCTTTGTGGACCTGATCGCTGCTTTGCCCTTTGATTTGCTGTATGCCTTCAATATCAGTGTGGTGAGTCTCATGCACACAACGCAGGCACAGCTCCACAGCTCAGACCTGGCGTTCTCTTCTATCAGACATATTTCAGGGGCTGCCTTCTGCTGTTTGACTGGCAACAAGCATTGATTTGAATACACTCGCACCCACGCAGACACACATTAGACAGCTTCTTGCTGCATACTTTATTGGTTATTTTGCTCTTTCTGAACACACTATTTACTGCTGGAGCTTCAAGGGACGAACACTGACTCCAATAAATAAGTCGTTATTAGAAAACTAGTAATTTGGTTGATACATGAGCAGGCAGAAGACAAATTACAGTTTGAGACGAGCTGATTAGCCAGTTGATGTTGAGTGCAGAGTCTACCAGCTGTTGATACAGATGAGCATCATCAGCTCTTCAGAAAGCTCAGTGAGCTGACAGCAGACAGGAATTACTTCTAATGAGAGAAATGTCCCTCAAAAAGAAGGTGGAATTTCTTCTATCATTAACCTGCTAAAATGACTCATAGATAAAACATGCAAATGAATAGATTTATACATGCCTTTTTGGGGTTGAAAATATTTTTTACAAAAATGTGTTAGTAAGAAAGAAAAAGAGAAACCCTGTGAACATGATTTGTTTCAAAGTTCAGGTTCATTTATTTACTTCTCTTTCAAATTTCCAGTGTCATAGAGATATACTTTACTTTTTAACCTCTGTTGATTTTAAGCCTGCTCATATTGATTGTAGCAATGTCACAATGCACAGCACTGATTTTCTTTTCTTTACATGTTTGCATAAGAATTAGTGTAGAAACATTTAAACTGTTTGTGAGTTTGTGGCATTTTGTGTTTTTGGTGGACGTAGATGTCCGCAATTGTTAGTTTTTTTATAGTTGATGGTGCACACCTGTATGGCTTTTTTTTCCCCAACGATACGAACACACCAGGGGCACCATGGGGTTCAGTTTCTTGCCAAAGGGCAAGAAGACTTGATCACACTGGGGTTGTAAGTGGCTGGGAGAAGACTCCTCTGGCAGCTGAGCCACGCTCGCTGCGAGTTGACAAACTTCACGGTTTAGCTGCAGCGTGACACTGAGCTCCTTCAGTTGACAGACTGTGTGTTGGCACAGAAACTAGCTGAGAAAGCGAGGGGAGACTCTGATGAAGAATCTTCTTCTACTCTCTAGAAGACTGAAATGGCAGTGATTTTCTCTGGAGAGCTTCTCAACTTTGAGAAAAATGTATCAATCAGTTTTTATCTTGTGTTTTGAGCCTCGGGAGGCACTTTTGATTATTTTTCTGCTTCGAGGGCTCAACTCCCCGGTAGCTCATTGGAAAGATTGGCGATAAAAAGCCTCAGCATGCATGGTTAGTTATTCTAATTGGTCGGTGTCTGAAATACAACTCTTGAGAATTTGACTTTTTGAATTTGACATCGTGATCTTTACCTGCACATGCTTGGATGATCCCATTCTAATGGGTTATATTTCTTGCATTTTCATTTTAGATATGTTAACTCTGTACTGTCCTTACTCTAGAACTTTGGGGTCCACCTTTTGAAGACGGTGCGCCTCCTCCGCCTCCTGCGCCTCCTGCAAAAACTGGACCGTTACTCCCAGTACAGCGCCGTGGTGCTCACACTGCTCATGTCCACGTTCGCACTGCTGGCCCACTGGATGGCCTGTGTCTGGTACTTCATCGGACGCAGTGAGATTGAAAGCAACAACCCCGCGTCCTGGGATATAGGTTTGTATTTCAGTTTTGATATCTGAATGGATTTATTTGAAAGGAAAAGTTGAGGCAGGATTGAAAAAGACTGATGTCTTTTTAAAGATGCATGTGGAGGAGTAAGAGTGGATCGTCCTGGTTTTAGATAATAAGCAGAGGAATGACAATAAGAATTGTTCTTTATAAATGCCTTTTTGCAAACAGGAGACAGAAAGTAAGCAGAATTATTGCATTTTGAAGATGTGTGAAGACGTGCCTTTATGTGTGATGTGTGTGCTGGTCCTTTTTCGGAGAAAACAGTCTAATTATGGTGGTCTGCCCCCCTCCCCTGCTGTGTTCATTGGTGCCAAACAACAGCAATGCTGTGAGCTACTTGTTGCACTGTTGGTTTTCCTGTTCAAGTGGTTTAAATCACAAAAATGGATATAAAGGTTGAAAATGATCCAAAATGGACAGAAAAGGTCTAACTGCCACATGGATCTGTGAGGATATGACCGTCCACAGCGGGTGGCTGTGCCGCAGGTGGGCAAAGCGGGCAGCCGGTAATGGTAGGGTTGGTAATTGATAAGAGCAAACCGCTTCCGATGAGTGGTGCAGTTTGTTGTTGCTCTTTCTGAATGGGTGGGGGCGCATGCCTTCTAAATATCTGAAACACTTTGGTTACAGTGCTGCTAAAACAAGAAATAGTGACATTATAGGGGAGTATTTTTTAAATTATTTTATTGTTTTGATTGCCTTAAAGCTGGTGAACTCCTCATTTTTCTTCCACTTTTTGCTTCTTTCTCGTTTAAAGCCAGAGGTACTAATGACCAAAGCACCTTTCCAGCACCTGAGACCCTCTTTTTGATATGTGGACATGATGTCAAAATCAAAGCACAGTTTTTTCAAACCTTCCAAAGTCCCTATGAATTACTACTATCACTTTGAACGAAATGAACTCTGGTGGAAATTTCCATGTGGAAATCCCTGGAAAAGATAAAGACTGTTACTCTTCATGTCCTAGAGTCCTTAACATGATGTGCTGCAGTCTTGTTAAAACGCACAAGAAAATGTGGAATGAGTTGTTTTTTTCTGGCTTTATGTGTTGTGGACTGTTCACTGAACATTATATAACAGCAATCCATTTATTACACAAAAGTGCTAAGTGTGCTATTTTTCTAACCCTAACAATGGGCTTGAAACTCGCAACCTTAACAACTTGAGTGGCTTTATAGGAGAGAATTAAAAGAGCTGTTGACAACTTTGCATGAGGTGGGTTTAATTCCTGCGTTCTCTTGAATAGGAGACCACAGGCTAAAGGTCAGATGATTTGGGTCATTGATGTCATACAAAATGCATTTACACTGAAGTGGTTTATACTCAGAGGTGTCAAGTGGATGAGCAAACAGTGATGATCAGCAGAGCAAATAAGCATGTCTGTGGAGGGATGTTTTTTATCATTTGAATGTATTTGTACGTTTGAATTAAACATTTTAGCAGATGAAGATATACAAGCATTGCTGATTGGTGCAAAGATGCCTTCTGGTCATCCTGAGAGCTCAGTCTGAGGAGGGTGGTTAACCACTTTTTAATGTTTACAGCATTAGACCATATATCTAAAGTTAAAGTTAAAGTTAAACATTATCATACACGGACCGCTCAAGTTTGGTTTACAGCTTTACATGTTTGATCAGAGCAAATTAATTTTTTTGGTAAAAGTCACTGAACAAACTTAGAAAAATATTCCCATCAAACTGACAAACTCTTTCAGACTCTCCTTGTTCCTTCACCAGGCTGGCTCCATGAACTGGCTAAACGCTTAGGAACTCCATACTTCCTGACACCCCTGACCTCCCTGCTGGGAGCATCTGATCCGCCTCAAGGTCCCGTGGCGGCAGGGCTGGCCAACTACAGCCACTGGAACAGCTCTGGGCTGGACCTGCTGAATGCGACGGGTTTAATGGGCTCCGGTCAGTGGAGTGGCAACAGGACAAGGGGAAGGACCCTGAACAGCTCAGGGATGTCCCTGAATGGAGGGCCGTCTGTCCGGAGCTCCTATGTGACCTCACTGTACTTCGCTCTGAGCAGTCTGACCAGTGTGGGCTTTGGCAACGTTTCAGCCAACACAGACTCTGAGAAGATCTTTTCCATCTGTACCATGCTAATTGGAGGTGGGAAAACCCTACACAGGGTTATATTATGAATATAAACTTGTTGGGCTCTGGGACCTCATTCTTGTATTATAAAATCAATTATAATATAATATCATAATATAAATATTGCCTTGCAAGACAAAATCCCAATATAGCAAAAACAGCTCGTTGCAAATCACGTTTTTTACATTGTCAGTACATCTACTGGAATTCCAATTTGTTACCATATTTAACAAATTCATTCCGTTCTTTTGCTGAAAATTCCCTAATGACCACCTCCTTACCATCCCTGTCATTATCTCCTCTGTAGCACTAATGCACGCTGTAGTTTTTGGTAACGTGACGGCCATCATCCAGAGGATGTACTCTCGCCGCTCCCTCTACCACACCCGCACCAAAGACCTGAAGGACTTCATTCGTGCGCACCGGCTACCCACAGCTCTGGAGCAACGCATGATGGAGTGTTTTCAGACAACCTGGTCCGTCAACAACGGCATCGACGTCAGCGAGGTAGGAAAGATTCACCCGTTTTGACTGGAATTCAATACTCTGCCTTGCCAGGCCTGTGTAAATATGTAGAAGCCATGTATGCTAATTATACCCAACAGACATAAGGCTACTTTTTATATAGAAACAGGGAAATGAGATCTACCTTTAAATTACAAGTTGAAACATTTTTAGATATTAGTACATGTTGCTCATTGATTCTGAGACATTTTCACTTGCGATGGGATTATGTGGATTGAGAGTACAAATGTAACTTGTCCTCCAAGCAGCCTGTGGAAATGTGTCTTGGAGGATTTGCATTTTGTTTTGGGCCCCATCACCCTTGAGCAGCTTATTTAATTTAATAGATTTATGGCTCCTCAAGCACTGCATTCACTCATGATTGTGTTGGACCAAGGCTTCATGTAGATAATCTTTTTTAAAGAGATAACATAATGGTAGACAGACGTTAATACCTTGAAGCAATAATCTTCCAATTTCCTATGTAAAGCCTCTCTTACACTTGGAGTAGTCATCATTCCTAGAACTTTTGAATTTCCTGAAATTGTGCAGAGACAGTTTATTTCAAACCTTGAAAAGCCTTTGCTAGAAATGCAAGCACGAGTCGGGTGTGATCGTGTGGGATGGCGAAAGGTTTTATTTGGGCTGTTACCTTCACCATCCCACACAGTTACAGTCAGACAACAGAACGGGGCAAGAAGTTTCCACAGTAACAGGTAGCAGCCACAGGGATCCAGCTGAAGTTTTCTCTTGCCTTGGCTTTTCAGCTGCTGAGGGACTTCCCGGATGAGCTGAGAGCAGACATCGCAATGCACCTGAATAAGGAGCTGCTGCAGCTGCCGCTGTTTGAGTCAGCCAGTAGGGGGTGTCTGCGATCCCTCTCCCTAATCATCAAGACCTCCTTTTGTGCGCCGGGAGAGTTCCTCATCCGCCAGGGTGACGCCCTACAGGCGATCTACTTTGTATGCTCTGGCTCCATGGAGGTGCTGAAGGATAACACTGTGCTGGCCATTCTAGGTAAACGAATAATGGATCACCATATATCATTCAAATCTGATAATAACCCAAAACTCATTAACAAAATATTGTGGTTGTATCTCAATGAAAGAGGTGTTTGAACTGAGGTTCAGAACCATGGACAGCTCCCACAGTCAAGTCCCATCAGAGTATCCTGCACCATAAACAGTGTTCTGTCAGTACCCGCGAGCCTCAGTTTTCCCAGCCTCCAAGGATATTTAGTCTTATTATGGACCTGCAGAGTAATTTTCTCAAAAAAACCTAAAAGAGCAATCATAGATTCTAGCTGCAAAGTGCCTCAAACACAGACACTGCTGTCCAAATGTGAGTTGCAGCTTGCATGTGCGGTGGGCATGTGCGGTGACCCAGCAGTAAAAAAAGAGATCTGCATATCCATCATAGGTGGGTGAAACCCTGTCTTTTTTTTTCTACAAATCAAGCCCCAACTAAAAGATGGTCCTGAGGTGATCCAGTGTGAAAGTGTAGATACCTGCATGCACACACCATTAAAACCTCAATAACCTGTTAAGGATGCATACTAACTGCATAGGACACATGCAGGAAACAGCTTCAGATATGACAGAGGAATGTGGCAAAGATGATTGGACCTGTTGTCAAGAAAATAATAATCAAGAAAAAATCATCCCAAGTCAATTTTAAGCTTCATGTCGAAGCTTAAAAGAAGAAATTTTTAAGACGCATGGTTGTATTTTAAAATAAAAATTAAATCAAAATGTGCTTTTTACAAAAGAAATTCATTTACAATAATAGTAATGGCTGTGCTTTACAGAAGCATGAGAAGCTGTTTTAGACTGAGAAAGTTATCACGAGCCCCTCATTTAATGGAGGTTTGGACAGCTTTTATGAAGAACTCAATCAAGTGCTGACAAAATTCAATAATCTCTGTATTGAACTGCCCCTGTGGGCAAACAATTCACTGCCTGTCGGTGGAAGATGGAATTCAATGCAGGAATTAATGAGATGGCTCGGGGAACTCCCAAATCCTGGAGGGAGCCTCTAACAGCATGAGCGCATAAATTACATTTCTTTACGTTTCTGGTTAGCGGTAAACACAATGCTGGTGTACTCCTGCAAACAGATGCCCACATGCCAAGAAACATTTTCAATCTGCTTTCAGGAAGTTATTGAGAAGACAGTTGTGTACATTACATAACTGTTACTTCACCCTTTAAAGGAAACTAGCAGGCTGATTAACATCTGAGAAACAGAAACCTTTTGATTGACTTGTGTGCCACAACTCAGACCGAAACATTCCTGCCTAACGCGGAGAAGACAGTACGTGGACACAGACTGGCAAACAGACCTGGAAAGTGTTCAGTTTCCCACGAAGCCAAGGCAGCAAATTCTCCACACTGTCTCAAATCAACAAGCTAGCTGCCGTAAATAATGACATCCTGGCTGCCCAGAGAGGATAGATGCTGAGCTCATTAGCATGTTGGCTTTGCTTATGCCTGCTGATCATGAAACATGCAGAAACACATGAGGTCTCTTCCTCCGTCTTTGGTGTTGCCCCAGAAAATGCGTTTTCTTTGGACACAACAAACACATTTTTACACAGTGGATTTTTAAACATATTGAAATCAAATGCAGATGAGTTATTTTTCCTCTTTTTAATTCCCCTGTCTTTTCTTATGTGTGCACATACGTGCATGCACACAAACACAAAGTTATTTTGGAATTACTTTTGATTTAAAAGACCTGGTGTAAGCATGAATTAAAGAGAAAAAACACAAGGAACTAGAATTAAAGTTACATCTGTGCATTTTTATTTCAAATTCTCTTTCAGGTCAAACGTCTAGTGGTGTGAGTCAGGTATCCTGCCTGTACATTGGACACCTGCCTGTGATCAAAGCTTCTCATTTTTTGCTATATAACAGCTTTGCTGGTCATTGCATTGATGGCCTATGGAGCCGTACTCTTTAAATGAGTACTTCAAAGTCTAAAAAGAAGTACTGGTAATACGATGTGGCTTTTGACTTCAGATATGGAATACCTGGGTCTGTTTTTCAGGTCGGGGTGACCTGATTGGCTCCGACTGTCTGACGCAGGAGGAGGTGATAAAGACCAACGCCTGTGTGAAGGCTCTGACTTACTGTGACCTGCAGTACATCAGCCTGAAAGGGCTCCGCGAGGTGCTCTGCCTCTACCCTGACTACGCCCAGAAGTTCCTGACTGAGATCCAGCACGACCTGACGTACAACCTACGAGAAGGACACAACACAGAGGTACACAAGTGGCTGGCAGTGGAAATGTTTAGTTTTAAACGAGCTAATCCAAATGACTTTCTGTAGAACTTTAGGTGTGCATATTTGTTTTTACAGCTCATTAAATCTTCACTTGTTAAGTCTTTTGTCATTAAGTGATTGCTTAGCTATTAGTTTTAAATAACATTTTCAAATCTATTGAACTTGCATATTGCCGTACATAGAACTAAGAAATACAGGAAAAATAAACAAAAAATAAGATGGACGGAACTCTACTAGTTCAAACTTGCATCCATCTCTCCGGCTACATTCTTGTCATTTAGTGGAATAATATTCCAACATGTTCACAGCCAGATGGAATATGTTGTCCCCCCAGCATGTTCTCAGCCGTCCACGGGTCCACTCCCAGTGAAACATGCTCTAAGGCATCCCAGTCACACGTGCAAACAACTCTCAGCTGGCTTCAAGAGTTTTCCCCCCATAAGGACGTGCATAAGAAACTGTAGAAACGTGAAGCTGTGACCTTAAAGCTGAAATCCTCATGAAACCATGAGGTTTCATCCTCCATCATCATAGCATAAGGTCATAACAACACTTGAATAAGGATTTATGTATATCTAAGCCACCTGTTAGTGTCAGGTTCCTTAACAGCCTATATGCATGAAGAGTCTGACTGCTGCCTCTTTTAATCAGCTGGAAATGGATTTCTGCAACTTGGCAAATTCCCATGATTTGAATTGATCTAAACAACAATAGTCAGAAGGCAAAAATGCCAGAAGGATATTGAAGTCCTTTTGTCCCCACCTGATTAATTGGGTTGTTAAAAAATAGTAATAAGTCCAGATAGCAATACAATTATTTGCAAAATCTTATCTTGTTGGACCTCAGTCCATCTGCTGTCACGTCTAAATGTATCATCATGAATAAAATCACCTCCATCAATCATGAAACCTTATTTTCTGAATGACCACTTGCAGAATTCTCTGTGTCTTAAACTTGCCTTAGCTGGGACCTCCTCTCCTCCAAATTTTTACACAGCGGCTGTGTGTTTAAGAAGGATTAGCCATCTGGACTGGGAGGGAGGGAGAATCTGTGGCTTCTGCATGAGATTCAGCCAACAGATAAGGAGACGAGCTGAGTATGGGCGATTCAGATGCTAGGGGTTTACAGATGGTTCTCAGCTGTAGTGCACACATGAATAACCAGCTTGTGTTGAAAATACCTAAGCCACATTTTCTCTATGAGTAAATTGTTAATTACAGCAGTGATCAAAGAGGAACAGAATAAAAAAACTAAAAAGACTTCAGATGAAAAATATATTATTTAAAAGCAAAAAACTGGTTCAAATATAAAATAACACATTGCAGATATTGTGCTGAAAACTTTACCATTTTACAAGACATTTAGCATGTAAAAGACTTCAACTTAAACAATATTACATGAGGGAGTGTATGAGACATCAATTTGAATAAATCATTAAACTAAAACAATAAGCCCCAGAGGCCATTTCTAAATGTTCCCAACTATTTTTAATCTGCTGAAACTGATGTCTGGCAGGCACATGAGTCTCAGCTTGTATCTTGGCATGTCAGATGTAACATATATGTGCACGTGCAGCGAAGGCAGTTGTGTTTCCTCAACCGACCACGGCGACGGACTAAAAATAGGACTGTCAGATGGTGGGGGAGGGGCAGGGTCGTCCCTGACTGGATAAATATAGAGCAACAACCAGATGGGTACAAGGCAAGAAAATGTCAGGAAGGAGGGAAGAATCTTCCTGATATTTGCATTCACGTGCCAGCATTCATTCACACCAACAAGTCTACAGAGATTAGAACCTTTTCTTGGAGACCAAAACTTAACCTTAAAGCCTTCACCCCTGAATTGAATTATTCACATTCTTCCGCTGCGGTACCTGCTCTGTCTGCACACACAGATTTGTTTCCCTTCAACAGTGCAGACCTTTGCACATGCAACATGACGCCCAGAAAACCGCAGCCCTGTACATGCCCTTGCTGAAAGATGTTCATCCACAAAACATACAGCGCCGCAGTGCTGCTGGAGGCATGCTCCATCCTCCATCCACATGTATGTCAGCATGAATTACCCCTCACGCGGAACACATGCGTTTACACCTGCAAACACAACACGCAGAATTGGGCGATGGCTTTCCTTTTTGCGTGTGTGGCTTGCTGCGTTTGGACTTGGCACGTGTTGAGCTCTTCCACATATAAATACAGAGGCACAATTCCAGTTCCCCTCAGGCAAACCTCTGCTAAAATTAAACCTCTGTGATCTAAAAATACCAGCCACGCACGTGAGCCGAAGACTGCATGGAGAAGAAACAACAAACGGAGGGGAACGATGGGGAAGGGGGGTGTTGAGAGGGGAAAAGATGAAGGGAAAGGAAGAATGGGGCTGTGTGCTTGAGCATAATCAGCTTCCAGAGAAAACGTGGTGAGAAAAACTACCAACAATATCCCCAAAATACCTTAGCAGCTGCTGTAAAAATATAGTGTTGGAATAAATTAAACTTTGATATCAGTCTGGTTTCTAACTGCACGAAATTCAAAATAATCATATTCATCCATCTGAAACCCCTCAGGACTAAAGACTGGCAGTGAATCTAATGTTCACTTTGATGCTCTTTGAATGGGAATGCTCCTTTACAGCTCTGTTGATAAACTGAATGGAGTCTCAGATAATGTAACTCTTGTGAATGGCAAGTTTTGTGTATCTTGGCTGCTTTTAAGCGGCTCAGCAGCTCCCCCATTTGATCAAGGAATGAAGTGGCACTCCGCTTGTTCTGAGGGCAAAAAATTGAAGACAGACTGATTTAACGAAATGGCATTTGGATTAAAACTACAAACACATTTTATGCTCATAGCATTTGATATGTTTCATTTTAATTAATGTGACAAAAACTCTGGACTTTATTGTGGATATGTCAAAGTCAAATGTAGAAGATGAGGGGAGGTCGGTGCCAGGAAAGAGGAACTAGCGGAGTTGGTGATAGGTGCAGCTGCATGAATACGGGAGCAGAAATGCAGGAGATGTACGGAACAGAGGTGGAACAGGCAGGTCTGCAAATGAAAAGAGAGAGATGGCTGCCTGACGGCAACAAGCAACAGCAAACTGAATTCTGAATAGCAAACAAACATTTGTTCCAGTTGATTTGGCTAGAACGTGAGGAAGCAGACAGTCTGTGAGCTGGCAGTGTGGAAGTGGCCTTTCGGAGCTGCTGAAGAGGTTACAGCTGGTGGGGCTTAGCTCCACTCCAAACCAATTGGCTCCACTCCTGTAATCAAGCACCAAAATACACACACAGGAGTTCAGACGGAGGCATGCAGGGAGTCTCTGGCAAAGATGTCGAAAGGCTGATGTGACTCAACCAAGTTTTGAATTTGTTACTTTGACTTTGATCACAAACATGAAATGCAAACCTTCCTGTTTCTTATGTTAATTTTAGGTTTTTCTGTACGTCACAGCTTACTAGCTGACATATTTTGTGTTTAGGATGTTGTGGTTTTCCTTTTCATTCATATCAAGTCATTTCCCTTCTGATTTTGGTGAATTTATTTCGACAATCTCAGTCAGTTATTCTCCTTTGTTCACTTTGTTCTTTCTGTTGCTAAAGTGGAACTTTAGGTTTTTTTTAGATACAGTTTCTCAGTTTTTGTCTGATTCTCTATAGTTCCGTATTCGGGTCGAGTCCAGCTCAAATTGTGACACAGAGCCTTGGTATGGAAATGGAAAACAATTACTACTGTCCTTTGGGAGTAATGTTGGGTTCTGTTAAGTTCTGGGTCCTTATTAAAACACACACATATCTGTGTACTGTACTTTTCAGGCAGACTGTGAGAGTAACGGAGGGATCATGAAGAAGCTTCCCTCCATTAAGGAGGATGAGGAGGGTTCGGGCTCTGAGGGGGAGCATTCACCCCTCCCTAAGATATCCTCCTTCGGCAGACTAGGCCGAGGTCTGTGCTCCCCCCTGCGCTCCCCTCTGCGCTCCCCGCTGCTTCCACCCAGACCCTTCAGAGCTCCCATTGATCACAGCCGGCCCTCCAGCCTGCAGATCCCAGCGGTCAGCTTCAGCTGCCTCCATCCGGACCTCAGCCCTCGGTAGGGAGCTATTCTCTGATTTATTGACTTTATGTATTTATGGAACTTTGCAGTTGCTACACCTGGAGGGCTCTTTGAAGCGATAGGCAACCCTCAGGGGAAATTTTACATGAAAGCAGACGGCTGAGGTTCCAGCTTACTTTTGGGCATTCATTGAGGGTGCATACATGCACTGGTTGTGTGTCTGTGTTGACATAAAAAGGCACAAACCAAAATTCAAGTCCAGAGTGTGAAACAGCAACATTTTTTAGACTAATTTTAATGTAGTGCTTAGTCGTTCTTTGCATCCGCGTTTGTCTGTAATAACTTCCTCTTGCCTACATACATTTTTACATAATCTAATGTTTCATATTAATTTTTTTCTGGTCCTCTTAGTGTTTGAATTATGTTATTTTATTTCCAACAGATTACAGACACATTTTGTCATAAGAGTTTGGTGGCTGCTTGTTATCCAGGTGTGTGCAGGTTCTCTCCAACAGTCCATATCCTGTTGATGAGTGCGACCTTTGACCTGCTGGCTGGCAACAGCTGGGGAACATTTTCAGTGATTCTCTCTGTAATGATGCATTCACAGACAGGTACAGGAAATCTTTCAGGATTAGGATTTAAAGAAACAGTTACAGGTCTTTTGTCAGAATAGACCAGGTCACATGGGTCTGTAGTTTTTACGTAGTGTTAAAACATCCACATCATTTGTTCCTGCATGATGTGGAACTGTTATTGAATTCAGAGAGTTCCGTTTTCTCAACAGTATGGAGACATGCACATTTTGCTGTGCTTTCTATGGTGGTGCAGATTTATTTCTTACAGTCTGCTGCCACCGTGTGGAGCTTCTCCCTTATTGTCTCATTCTGAAACATGAAGCAGCTTCAGACAGAAATTAATGAGCTGACACTTCCAGACGAAAGCAGAAACATGATGGTGACATTACAGCAACAACGGCTGGACATTCAAATCAGAACTGAATCAGAATCCTTTCTGTTCTCAGGTTTGTGGATGGGATTGAGGCAGAAAAGTACAGCAGTGCAGCTCAGAAGTTTGACTTTTCCCCCAGCGCGGCACAGAGTTTTCTGCCCAGCCCTGATTCATCCACCACCGGTAAACAGACAAACCCACTCCCTTCCAAAGCACTTTTCTTGAACTTGTTCAGCCTTTTTGTTGCTGATAAATCTGAACGTTCTTCTGGTCATTTGGATCCTCATCCGGCCTTCTTCTAACTGTTAATTACCTTCCTTACACAGTGACCCATGACTATGGTGACACTATGCAGACTATTGCAAAGCTAAAGAATGAGGTAAGCCTAACTACACTGGTTTACTCTGACAGAAACAAAAACATGCAGACGTCAGTGAAAGAGTTTTTTCCTTATTTACTCTAAAAGAAACATTTGGTTTAATGTCTTTTAACAACGAATGATTGAGCTGCTACTGTTTCCATGAATAGAAAGCCAATGAGTACCTTGTATAAACAGCCAGATAAGAACAAATGATGAGACATTTAATTATTAGGAATGCCTACGTAAAGCAATAGTCTGATGCACCACAACTGTAAAGTTTTAGAGGGCGTAAGCTAAAAGTTGATTTTGTTTGTCTCAGACAGATAGTGGTCAGAATGTTGGAGTACAAAACATGTCAGGGTAAATCTGTAATTTGTAAGCACTTTCAGTAGAAAAAGTTTCAGTTTTTTTGTTGCATTTTGATGTTAATTGATTTAGAGTTGATGGCTGCTTTATGAATCAGAAAATGCTGCCAACGGGAAATATTTTCAGTCTGATAGGAACTCATCCTGTAATCTAATCCTCCAGATGTGTGTCCTCTCCCGTCAAGTCGCCTCTGTGAGTCAGGATCTGCAGGAAATGACGCGTCTTCTGAAGCCTCTCCTTAACAAACCCTCCACGGTGCTGATCCCCTGCCCCGTGACCCCCCCTCCCAGCGTGTCCTCACAAAGCTGCTCCCCAGCTCCACCCCTTATAGCCCAACACGCACCTGTGGGCTACTCAGAAGAGCAAAGCCCTCCATCTTTACTTGCACCCGACCCGCCCCCTTCTCCCATGAGCGCTAGCAAAGTGTTTCAAGGAGACTTTGATCCACTTCAGTGTTCCCGAACCATCAGTCCTCCCCACAGTCCCCATGTCTCCCATCAGATCAGTCCCACTCACCTGGTCAGCCATCACTCAGCTCCCCCGTCACTGAACACCTCCCCTCATGAACACATAGCTGTGAGGCATATTTGCCCTTCCTCTTCCATCCCTTCTCTTCCCTCATCTTGCCACCCATCAGTCATCAGCCCCCTCCTGGTGAATTTCTCAGAATCTGGCATACAGCCACAAACATCTCCACCCCGACTCCCACAACTGTCCCAGCCCCAGTTCACATCTCACTCTTATGCCCATTCTCAGGTTCATCGCATGACCCTCCCCCAAACTCCCAGCATGGCAGAAAACTCCCAAATGCCTCTCCACAACCTGCAGGAGGTGGAGTGGGCAGAGCAGAGAACCGAGCTCAGCTTCATGGATGAATGCCAGCCGTCAGAGTAAACAGGAGAGCCGATGGGACACTGACTGAAAGGACCAGCATGTCACGACTTACTGCATGACATTTGCCCCCAAGTTTGGCAAGCCAGCTACGTTGTAAATATGCAGTTTTTAAACTGTTATAATGAGCACCATCAAGAAGATCTGATAATAAAAGTTCTTTAAAGGTTTGATTTGATAATCCGTGATCCGTCTATCTATCCGTCTACTTATCCAGGTAGTTCTTTTTCTCAGAAATCATAGAGCTTGGACTGAGTTTCAACAGCAGCTCAGGTAAGAATGGAAGCCAGAACACTCACTCTCACACTCATAGTTGCAACACTGGTGAGTGTAGTTTCACGGCACAATAGGATGACAAAAGATGATGAAGGACAGATGCAGGACAAAAATACTAGAAAAAAAAGACATGTTTATAAACTGAAGAAAAAGGCTCACTGAGCCAGTACTCTTGCTCAATTTAAAATTATTCATTGCAAATGTTTTCCATTTTCAAAGATAATGGTGACCACTTGCTCTCAGAAATGCTTATAAGCTGATATAAACATTGCCCAGGCCAGTGCCTGGTCCCCACTCTTCTGATCTGAATTGAAATCATTCATCCAACAGGTTTATTCCAACAGACATTAAACTGCTCTTTGTGCTAATCCTTACAATCTTGATATTTGTATATGTGTGTCTGTGTGTGTGCACGCCCACTCATATTGTCCCCTTTTATACCTGATCTGCGCTCTGTAATTGAGACAATTGCTTTGTCATAAGAACCAGATCCAAAATTTGACTCAGTGGTTCCATTGCTACTCATATTTTCCAGAAAGAGGCCGTGGGATTACTCTGCATCAAGACCTCAGCCACTGACCAAGTCTTTTGAGAAATGTGTAAACACACTACACAAAGTGCAAACCACAGTGTCGCACACACAGACATAAATACAAATACAACTCTACTTGATGACCGTATACATGTTTAACTGGATTGGTTGTTTAATCTGGGGGCACAAATCTTCTCATGCACTGAGGGAGGAAAACAGTCCTGTCAGCTCTATGTGCACCAGCTAACTTTGAACATCAAAAGCAGCGCTGAGCCGAGGCTAAATCCACAGCCCAACATGGCAGCGCCGCTCAATCAGAGCAACATATACTTTTCATAAAGGGCAAAACAATGCCGCAATTTTCTGTGAAGCCCTCACTCAATCCTCCTGTAACTGGAAACACTCCTCACTGTGGCAGAACGATGTTAAACTCTGCCATACAGCACCGGCTCCGGGGGAAACTTTGTGTATACATGTATATATCCATGTGTATGTATGTACAGTAGGTATGCATATATGTAAGACACTGAATGCAGTCTGTGGTGTGTAAGTTGGGGTTGAATTTATAGGACCATGATGTCAAGACGCCACAGTGAGGCAGCATTTCCACAGTGAATGGATGACATGCAGCTTCCTTTTCCTTAAGGTTCAGGTCTCTCTGCTTTTTATGTCCTATATAATTTCATTTTTACATTTGAACTCTTTTTTTGTAAGAACACAAAGCTGAAACTGGGACTTTATTTGTGTTTTATTTTCCATAATACATGTTTTGAAATATTAACTGAAGGGGACTACTTTGGACTTAAAATCATTGCATTCTTATTTTTAGGACAAATTTTAGTGTCTCTGTTACTTCAACTGTTATCAGTAAATTTAGTTTCAGACACAGGGATTCAAAATTAATATCATTAAATTACTGTGTGATTGATCGTTGCTGGACGATACACACCTCACCGTGAGCTGTCAAAGATGTTTAAAATGATACAGGACAGAAAAGTGTTGGCAGCACACACAAATACGCGCATACCACAGAGGAGGAAGACAGCGAGGCTGAGCAGTAATGATAGGAGACTATTCTTCCATCTAAAATAAATCAAAAAATGCTGACCACATTGTTTGTGAGCCGGCTGTTTGGACAAACAAATACTTTAGCAATGGAAGGACTGTGAAATAAATAACCAGGACAGTCTAAGATTATGTCTTTAAAAGCAACCCCGAATTTTCTGAAAAATGATCAGGTGAAAAATAATCTGGATTCAGACAAGCTAAAAATATTTTTCTTGTCTTTTGATCTCAGACCTGTTGATCTTATTTCTCCAGACTTTTGTGAGTCACCTTAAAACTCTGCAACTCGAAGACATTTAAATTAGTGTCAACCCGTTGAGCTGTGTGCTGTCATTAGCAGGTCCACGGACGCCGGAAGACACAGAACCTGCAAGAAGTACTGCTTATGCTTGGAATTGCTTGAAACATATCAAGCACAGTGACAGTTTAAAGACATTTAATGTGACGTGTCCACTTCTGTCCACACAGCAGTGAGGTGACACATTGCTACCATGATGAACTTCTGACATTAATCACCCCTCACTTACCCCACTCTCCTTCCACTTTTCCACCTCCTCCTGCTCTCTTCTACGACAACATCTGGAACATTCATTAACCTTTCTAAATATGTGGTCACATTATTCATTTACTGTATACCTTCAAAGAATAAAAAGGTGCCCCCCCCCCTTCCCACCACCACCATATTTATTCAAAAACCTACAAATTATCTGACCTAAAACTGTGTATTTATTTACATCAGTTAAGATTAAAGACTGTTTTCGAAGGATAAATGTCATTTTTTCATGCATGTCATTCTGTCTCCAGGTTTCCCTCCCAAACTACCTCCCTCTCCTCCTCCCTCCTCCTTCCCTCGCGCTGCATGTGTCATTTACTGCTCTTTTCTCGGCCGGCAGCAGCAGTTGGTCCTCATCACTCCTCGCCTCTATATCCTCCTGCTCACTTGACTGTACGGTTTTGTCAAGAAGGGAAACGTTGGGAAATTCACATTCTGTCAACCTGGATTCGCTCATTTTCACCAATGGATGGAGTGTATACCCCGGCACGCACGGTGACATCTTGAAAAGTAAGTCAGAAAGAATCTACTGAAAAGTTTGCCAATGTTTATTTTTCACGCCCAGACGTGGAGACTAACACAGGTATTGGGATGAAAACTGCTATGGTTAGAAGCAATTGAGAAAAACTGAAAGTATTTTAGACACTCTGTGCCAACTGCAGTGGAAAAGAAGATGTCTGTTTTTCATCCTATTCACAGCTGATGTCTTAGACCTCAGTGGTCACACATTCATCACCACATGTGGATAGATTGTTCAGTTAAACATGAACACATGCTGATAAAGCAGCATTTTTGAGTGAATATCTATACAGTTATTTAATATTATGGACAGAATAAAACTGTCAATTATGCATTTTGGACAACTTTCTAAAGTTTGAAGAAGTTTCTTCTTTAAAAACTAGGCTTTTTGCCAACTTTATTGATTACTCAATGATTGACTCAATGATTCTGATGGTGTCAGGAAAATCCAAAGACATTAACTGTGATGATGTAGACAAAATGACAGAAGAATGGAATACAGTAAACTGAGCTTTGTCTGTGATGAATAGGTCTGTGATATGACCTCAAAAACATAAGTTTGAAACCAAAAAGCTGATAAAAACCCACAAACACTGTTTGGATATGCTGTGATGAAGAGAGGCATGTCCAAATTGAATTTACTGCAGCGTTTATTAGTTTATAACTGGAGTGTGTGAGGCAAACTCCAAATTCCCGTATATTATATCACATTTACTTCTTGGAACTGTCCTCCTCTCGTTTGGCGTATTCAACCCATACTTTCCCCCCCCCTGTGGTTTAGTTCACCCTTCCCGTTTAAGTGTAACGGTTTGAAAACAGCTGCAGCTAATAAAACTAATAACACGTTTGATTAAGTGCGCGACTGAGCGCGCACAAAAGCCCGTTTGTCAGCGCTCTTCCGGTCTGCGCGCGCCGGCCTCACCTCGTCAGTTTAGGGGTTCATTTAGAACACCTGGATCAGACGGAGGCATTATTAGCCTAAATTTTATCAGCCGCAGCTGTGTCTCCGTAGCCCCGACACGGCTCCGTTTCCAGGGCTGTAAGAATCCATTAACTCCCGCTCTGGTTTAAATGGAGACGGAGACGGCGTTACGGTGAGCAGACGCCGGGGGATGCGGTAGGGATCCAGCGCAACGGCGCAAAGAGTTTTTAAAGTGGTCTGTTTGCTCACAACTAACGGAGAAAATGAACCTGCCGTTGAAACAGGGGCTATTTGAAAGCAATACGCCGTGTGTTGAAATGCTGAAGCACTTAAGGGCCGCTGAATCATTCAGTGACAAAATTAGAAATCCAATAATGACAATAAAGTTCTTTAACTTTAATAATAGTTGTATATCGATAAGCCTGACAAACTGTCCTGTAGGGAAGAAAGCAGGGAAAAAAACACAATATTCAAACCAAAATGACAGATATTTTCTAAACTTCCCCCCCAAAAAGAAAAAAAAAAGCATAACAAGTATTATAAAGTAATTTTCAGATGTGACTAAAGGGGGAAATATCCTTGATATTAAGGCCAGAGAGAATGTTGAGTCTGATATTCCCCCGACTTGTAATCGCTGCCTGATCCCCAAAAGAGAAATGTTTTTCAGATCCAGTCTGAGAGTAGTTGACATGTGAATGCATACATAAAATGCCTAACTTCCCTCCTGTCTAATCACTATCTTTGTTAATTTAGTCCACGGTTTGTCAACAAGTCTTTTTTGTTTTCTTGCTTTTGTTTCTGTAGAAAAGGATCAGGGCGTATTTGTAGGGTTACGATATATATTAAATATTTTTCCTCAGTTGGTACGTTTGGGACACTTTAAGGTTTCAGTAGATCCCAAACACCAGTGTGAAATCAAATGATGGAAAAACTAACGAGGTCACAAATGTGCCTGAGGATCTTGGAACTTATAAACGGACCCTTTGGAACATTTCAAGGGCACCTTTGTCAAACTCCTCTTCAGTATTCCTACCTTGAGAATTTACAATTAATGCCATTATGATTAACCCGTAAAATGCCTTTGGAGCCACTTAGAATTATTCCACACCACAAAGAATCTACGGCTTTGTAGCCTCTGTGTGTTTCTATGGGATTTGTCAGTCTGAGGCTACTGAGTGTGACATTTGGCCTCCATGTGCGCTCGTAAAGTGAACCCAGTCTGTACTGGGAGTGTGTGGTCTCATGGCTGTGCACCCACTGATTGTGTCGCTTGAAGATTGGCTTTATGTGTGTGTTTAGGAAACTGGATAACAGAGCAGTATTTCTTTTTACTGGAATGCAATGGAGGTAGCAAATGGTGATAAATCTGCACTAGTTACAGTTCTGGAGATAGTATTTACTTAATGTATGCCGAGCATAATGGAGAAATAATAATAATGTAGGAATAAGAAATAATAGAATAGCGTCACTTTAGTGGAGAAAACTGATTTTAAGTGTCTGAGATCAGCGCGTCCGCAGCAGAAGAGGTAAACAAATGCTTTCTTTTGTTGGAGTCCGCTCTTATTGGTTTTACATCTTTCTCTATTTTTTGGAGGCGTTTTCTGATTTGCAAAGATTCTTGCTGCCATCAGATGGCCTGATGTTACTTTGGAAAGTTTTCCTTCCTTTCATGTTTTATCAGATTGTTTGTCTTTATTTACTCTACGTCCCCCCCCCCCCCATCGTTACGCAGTCTGTGTGTCCTGACCTGTTTGACCTTTCAGACACATTCCAGAGGGAGAATTTCTCAAGTTTGGATTATCAAATCATTGAGGCTTTTTTCTTTTGGCCATTTCAGATTAATAAGTTTGCTACATGTTCAAACTGGTTTGAGGAGTAAACTTGCATAGCTGGCTTTGTTTTCTCACACACCAAAAAGGGTCTTGTTTCACATCTGATGGCCTTTTTCTCTGTTTTTTTTTTTCTTCAGAGACCACAACCATTTTTTTCTTCTTTTTTCACATTTTATGTCTCCTCATTAATGTCTTGATAATTGCTCTGGATAGAGGAGAAATATGAGGGGGGAGAAAGGCGCTGATTGTAATTCATTACCCCAAATATTCCAAAAATGTGTTTGTAAGAAACAGACCAGACACACACTGAGAAAGAGAGCGCTTGGTTTAGGAAAGTTTACATGCAAAAGTACACGTGCAGTGTGAGCCAGCCAATATGAAAACAGCTAATGCTATTGTTTATGGCGTGTGCAGAGGGCATTTTTACGCTTCGCTGGTGAGTCAGCCCATACAGATTTTTTTTAAGGAAATTTCTGCTGTTTTTCAGCTTTGGGTCATTAAGTCTGTGACACGATAAAGGATTGATGGGGGAATTAGCCGAGGCAGCGTGGGATGGACAGCTACACCCAGAGTGACACTGATGGGAGGGTTATTGACTGTATAATCGACTGTCTCCTCGTTTTGTAAGATCAGACGCAGCAGTTTTTTTAATGGGAACTTTAATATGAAATAAACCACACATTCAACTGCAATCTGTAAAATAAGCACACCGACCCAAGGCGTACCTGTGATATGCAGATATCAGAGCCACACCGTTATTGGATGGTTAGTTCACTGTTAGGGGTTCCAGTCCCTCCTGAAGCATTTCTGGGCAGATTATTGTTCGTGTTGAAGGGTGCTTTTGCTCAGCATTGCCAATGAGGGCTTTTCTACAGCAAACACAGGAAGTGGTATGTATTTTACTGATCTGTTTCTCATATTCTCCTTCTTTTATGGAATGGAGGAATGTGAAAAATTGCTAAATATCATCAAAATGAGGCATAAGCGGGACAGACAGGAAAAGCTCCACACCTTGTTTTAATAATAAAGGACAAATAAGACGGAGACATGCTGCTGCCGTCTTTACAGTTGCGCCTCTGGAAACCACAACGTGAATAAAAATGCAAGGCTGAGAGGGTCCTGAGAATATAATAAGTGCTACATTTAGCCATGCTGCTCATTGGATGTTATAGAAAAAATAAAGGACTGAGTTGTAGTGGGGTTAGAGGACCAGGTAGAAAAACTAAATGACTTCTGTGACATTTAACTCTGTTCCTGTTTTCTTTAAAAAAAAAAAATTAGCCAGGAGACAAAAACATCACACTCGCACCATGAGTCTGAGCGAGGAGTCTGATTAGATATTGTTTTGAAAGATGGAAAATTGCATTTTTAATTTGTAAATGATGAGCCTTTTCTGCTTAAAAACAAGCTTAGTTATGATAAACAACGGCTTACCACGCACGCATGCATAGATGGGCAGATGGTGGTCTGCTCTTCTACACACTTCCAGCAAGTCTGAAAGTAAAATCTGAAACTTTAGATTGAGTAAGCATCAACAAAAAAAATGGATATCTGAAATGTGCAACCTCAAACATTTCTTCTTTGTTTTAATCTGAAAACATGGTTTATTTATTTGGGCTCTTATCAGCAGTGTATTGTTACTGTGTTCCATATGCACCTTAAACACCCTCACATCTCTCATTATAACCTGTTGTGTACTCCTGTGCGTCTAAACAGAGGATAATAAACAGGTCTGTATTTAGTCTGGTGTGGCTGTCTGTGCCTCCTTTCTGTGTAAATAAAAAAAGTGTGTTAGCTGAATTGACTGGGGAGGGATGAACAAAGTCACAGTTGTTGATGGAACCGGCTGTAATGGCTGTATGCTGTCAACATTGGCAAAGGAAGAAAAATGATGTACCATGCGTAGGTAAACAGAAGGCCAATTTCATGTCAGGACTGTTGGAGCTAAAAAAAACATTGTCAAATTACAGATGTGACAAAATCTGGGTTTTGCCTCCATGTATATGAGGTGAAACCAAACAATGTATCAAAGTGCTCTGTGAATTCTGAAGCCATTCTCCTGGAGACGCAGGGTTTCAGTGGTGCTCTTGGTTCAGAGTATGGTCTTCATCAGCCGTCATACTAAAGTTGTTGTGTTTTACCAGCTCCCCGTACCATGCTGGGTCCTCCTCTGGGAGATTGCAGGGGGATGGAGCAGCGCGGGGGAACCGAAAGCCCCGGCCTTCAGGACAGGTCCAGCCCAGAGGACAGAGGGGAGAGTGGGGAAAGTCCAGTTTCTGCCGGCCCCCCACACTGCAAGATGAGCCGTTTAGAGGTGAACGGAAGCCCAGGAAATCCACAAACCCGACAGAATGGTACACCGCTGAGGCCACTCGGAGGTGGGATGTCCACACTCATGCTGTCTTTAATTGTTGTCTCATTTCTAACAGCAGGTATTCGTTTAAATCATCTCTGTTAGAAATGCCAATATAGGATAAGTTTATCATTATTTAGGAATTTTATAAAACATTTTCTTTCCTCTTTGGAAAAACCAACCTTCCTAAGTGGGGAAAAAATGTATTTATGAAAAAGAAATGTTGTTTTGAATCAGAATTTTCTTATTTAAACGTGTCACATTGACATTTGATATGGCTTTCTGCATATAAATATTATTTGACTACAGATATATCTGGATTGTTTTTTTTCCAATTGAAAAAATAAGAAACTATTATATCTAAATGAAATATTTGAGCTAAATACTTTTTAGGGATGGTGCATTTTACGTGTTTCTTTGGACACAACTTAAAAACTTAATAGAGGAATCTCTTCTGTTCTTTATAGTTGCTCCATATTTTCTTCCTAAAACCACTAATCTAGGCTTAAAACCACTCAACACAACAGATCACAATGAGTGCAGATGTGTCTGCAGATGAGGTCTGAAAAAGGCAGCATTTTGACTTTGTTTGTGGTCTCTCAGAACTGAGAAGTTTTTAATGAGGGAGTTTAAATAAACACACTTAAGCTGTCCAGCGTGGCCAGAGAATAAAGGGAAAGGATCATCAGATAAGCATTCAAACTGGTATTTAAAAGAATTTAATGCTGCACACCGCTATAAATGTTGTTATAAATAAGGCATTCAGAAAACAGACCTGTCACTGGCTGTGTGGATGTTAGCAGAGGGCTCCATCCTACTGCTTGCCAGGATAACTGGAAGAAGGATGCAGGAGAAGTGCAAATTACACACATGCACACACATGATTTTACAGAGGAGCAAGTATGCTAAAAAAAAAATCCAGAAAACATCCGTGCAGAGATGCCCATTACTCTCTCATGCTGAAAAAATCATCATGCATCATCACACAAACATTGTAACAGTACACAGTCATCCTGCTATGCTGCCTGGCTCCACCCTTACACCAGGCGGTGGGGTTTTTGGCGGATGGCGTGCCTGGTGCTGCCGTGGTTTGGCTCTCGCTAATCCGTCCCGGACTTGTCAGGAGGAGGATTGATGGCTCGCTAATTAACAGCTCCTGTGGGACAGACCAGTGGACTGGATGGGTGTGAAGCTTCGAAGGAGCTATCTGTACTTCTCCGATGAAAAGTCCAGATCAATGCGAGGACCAGAACCGTTTCTCCTGAATGCAGGACACAGGACTTTAACTAATGCTTAAGAAACAAATCATTTCCCCTGTGGGTTTTAATATGTGGTTCACACTCAAATACAGTTTTACAATCTTGCAATGACTTACATTCAGACCGGCAGCTGCCCTGCCCGGTCTAACCAATCATACAGTTAGACCACCAAGTAGCTACACAGCAGAAACACCGAGCAAACGGAATGTACCGATGCTTCTGTCACACACTTCTCCAGGATGTGTTTGATGAGACAGAGAAATATAGAGACCAACATCTATTTTTCTCATTTTGGTAGAAGAGTCCTCGGGCAATTTAACAGTGGTTGCCTAAAGAGGAATAAGGGTACTAGATTAATTTTCTTCTCTGTTTTTCAGGCTGATTCACTCCATCAAATGTATTCATTGTAGTCACAAGACTGGTCCTTCAGAATGAGAATGGCTCTTTAGAAAGCCCATTGATGAGAAAATGTAACCTAAATTGTCATTCAGTCGTCTTCTGTGTAAAAAAAAAAAAAAAATCAAGTAAATTTATGAGATTCACTTTATACATTGTTTGGTCACATTGTTACCACTTTGTCTTTGATTGATTAATACAGTATTAAGTGAATGAACCATAAGAAAATCCAGGTGTTGGCTGACAGGGATAAGACCTGATCAGCTCTCCGCTCAAATGACCTGGACTATGTGGTCTTGGCAGGTTTGATGATCCCGGTCTACTGTGTGGTGGAGCATGCAGAAACAGCTGGCGACTGTGAGGGCCGGGGTGATCGTCACGCTGAGTTTGTGCTGGTCCGTAAGGATGTCCTCTTCACCCAGCTGGTAGAGACGGTGCTGGTTGCTCTGGGATACTCTCAGAGCTCAGCTGTGCAGGCACGTGGTGAGTACAAGTGGATGTTTCTGAGAAGGAAAATATTTGCAAGCAGACAAACGGATGTTGCGTGCAGTGATGAAAAGAGACAAAAAAAGAGACAGACACTTTCTGCAGAGCAGATTTGCAGAAGCTGTTGTTTAACCAACTGAATTTTTCCCTAAAATCGTATTCCCTCAAGTTCCTGCATAAGACTGTTGGTGATAGCAGTCCTGTAGGAGCCCTTCTGAAATGATCATTTGGAACCCCCACTGTTTTAGACTGCAGTGCATTTTAATTTCATCTCACACGTGAACGTTTCCCCAGCAGCCCGTTTGATGTACCTGTACACAAAAGTTTAAACTGCCCATGCTGCTTCACCCAGTCTCCTCCACACTGACAAAATGCGGATTTTCTGGCACCAGCAAGAAGTAAACACTAATAAACACTTCATGTGCAGAGAAAAGTCTTTTGGGCGCTCTCGAAAACCTGGTTGTGTTGTAATTAATGAGCAATTATTTACAGCGGCTGAATTGAAATCTGATTGGTTCCCAGATGTGTGGTCTCTGCCACATGGGTACACTGAGTTCTCAGGCAGCTGCAAGAAAGGCATTTTTTAAGATAAACCCATCTGCTTTCCCTGCTTCTTATCTCCTGTGATTCAGCCAGCCTGCCCGACAGCACAATGGTTACACCATACAATAATATCTCAGCATCGCAAACTAGCACCAAAACTATTTCTCATCAGTCTAAGATCAGAAATCAGAGCAGACATCACAGGGTTCGTGTCCAACAACAGCCTTCGCAGAGACACACGTGTGCAGTCACACACAAAGTAGGGCAGTTTGACATTCCTGGTGTGTCCCGTAAACACAGGGCACTCTAACCAAGTGGCCAACGCCCTGCGACCCCCCTCGCCTCTCCCAAATAGCTAGGTTTTGTTCTGAGAAATAAGCCTTTTCTTTTCAAATAAATAATTTTTGGCTGGAGTCATGCATTTTTCCTCCGGTGTGGTTAGAACCAAAATTATACAGAGTCTCTTCTATTTTCTTCTTTGAGTGAATTGCATCTCGCATAGCTTCGACTGAATGAGTATTTTTAAACTCCTAACTGACTCTCACAGGCTTCTTTCTTTAATTGTGCATTATGGCTGATTGAAAAGCAGCTATTTGTCATTGGAATACACGATGACTGCTCAGGGTTCAACATGAGCTTCAGTGGATTATTGAGAAATATTTAACTTGTGTTCCTGTTAAGGACACATTCATTGATCTTACAAACTTTAAAAAACCTATTTGGTCTATTTAATATAGAAAAAATTACATGCTCAAAACAGCGCACAGGTCTCCAAAGGCCTGGTCTGATTTGTAGAAAGTCTTCATGCAGTTTATTTGTGTTTCTTTTTTGTGTGTGTCTTTTGCCTCTTTTATCCTAAACGACATGTCTTATTTATTTTCGAGTTTCAGATTTGTTTCCATTTCTTTGTCTTTTATTCCAATTCATTTATTTTTGGCCTGATATAAAGGTCTGTGTACTGAAACTGGTGTTGGGTTGAGTTTGTCGTCAGCTTGGGAGGTTGCAGCCGCTGAGCAAACTGCCGGCAAACTACCTATGAAACCGTGAAACACAGCTAATGTGGGAAAAACTCCAGTGGCCTAAAAACAGCTTTGTGCTTCAATTTATGGGATCAGTAGCTGCCATTGTTTTTACAAAGCATACATATTCGGAGGGACTTTGTTTGTTTCTGCACTTTGTTTCCTTAATTTGGGAAATGTTTAAAAGTGAAAAAGTTCCCAAAAGAAAGTCAGAGCTGTCATCGCACTTTCTTTTGTGCTCTTGTTTTAGAAAATATTTTACATGCAAAGTTCTATCACTTGATGACAAGTAAAGATTTTCAAGTTGTTTCTGAAACAGTTTGGCAGCAGGGTGCAGAAAACTGCCAGTTAGAAAAATAAAATGTGCTGCTTTCAGACAGAATGATGACCTCAGTGTTTCTCCAGTACATCAACTTTAAATGCTGCTCACACAGCATGCATCAGTCTTTAATGCTGAGCCGATTTTACATTTCTCTTCTGATTAATCAACTGTAGTGTACGAAAACAGCCGTCTTTGTTCTTTTGCCCCCATCACCATCATCCTCATGCAACGTTGACACACACATGCGCACGCTCAGACACATGATTGAGGCTGGCAGGCTAAGGCTAGACAGTCTGCGTTTGATTTTGAAGATCATAATGTGATTAGGTCTGTTTGGATTTGCACTTCCAGTCAAGGGTCGCTTTAAGGCCAGGCTTGTTGAGCTCAACATGATGCTCCAAGGCCAAAAGGACTCCACTGACAGCACAAACAGTCAAGGCTTACATTGATTTTAAGAACATCAAGATCCTGACAATGTTACAAATATTTATGTTCAAAATCCAGTTTAGAATTGGTAACGCCCTTTACTTGTGTGTGTGTGTGTGTGTGTGCTCCGCAGGGATCATTAAAGTGGGACGATGGAAGCCTATGCCCATCCACTACCTGACAGATGCCCCAGAGGCCACAGTGGCCGACATGCTGCTGGATGTTTACCACATGGTCACCCTGCGCATCCTTCTGCACAGGTCAGCCATGCATGTGGGCACGGAGAACAGAAATCCAGTCACACTTTAGTTCTTCTTTTATCAAATCTATCTTTAGGAATAATTCCCTCAATGAAGGCCATCATCAGATTTGCTAAACATTTTTGTTCCCATCAGGATGGATGGTCTCAGTATGGGTAACTCTAGAGACTCCAGTGCTTCTGGCAGAGTTTTCAGGGACTCTGTTATAGTAAAACTGCCTGTGTAAAATACTGTGGCTGACAGTAGTATCGACCTGAGGAAGGAAATACTTTGTATGAGCAGGCCCGAAAAGCTTTTCTAAGACGTACTGAAACAGTGTTCTTTATCCCAAGCAAGTTTTCCCTAATATAAACATATACTTTTACTACAGGAAATACAAAGATTACAATATTAATTGTAAGAAGATTAGATACTTTTAAAACTTTCCTTTTCAGTTTTTCTTTTGTAATAAAATGGATTGTATTGTTTTAGCTTTGCCCGTCTGGAGGAGCTGCCCTCTGAGCAATGGACCCATGCCACAGTGAGAAATGCCCTCAAAGAGCTCCTCAAAGAGACCAACCAGAGTGCTCTGGCAAAGGAATGTCCCCTCTCCCAGGTACCTGCTTTGTGCTCGCAGATCTCCACAAAGATATGATATGAGGAGTCCTGCACTAAAGAATCAATGGTGATAAAAGCAATTCTTAAAAAATCCAAACACTACAATGCAAAAAAGCATTTCTATTTTATATTATTTTATATGTATTTACATTACATTTCTTTAGATTTTAATGGGATTCAGATGAAGCAACTCGGCATTTTTAAGTTGCAATTGACACACATATATTCAGGCATTTTCACCGCACTTTTTAAGTGTAAATGTCATTTTTTCATCAGCTGCAAAACTAAAATAATGGCTTATGATGAAGATATCTGAAGAAATAAGGACATTTTTCTCACTCGCCATGCAAAAATTAATTTTTCAACGTTTGAGTTTAATTCTGTTTCTGTGACGCACACACACACACAAACACACACACACACACACACACACACACACACACATACACAAACAAACTCACACACATGCACACATTGGTAGTTGAGATGCTGCTAAGTATTTTCTCTAAACATATGTTTCATCATCAGTTCACCACACACTTGGAGCAGTGTGTAATCTGACTCGCTCACACCAGCAAATATTGATACCATCCCATGGGAAAGGATGCGAGCACGCACACCTCAATTATCCTGCTCACACACACCCTGCACTCATTAGACTCAAGTGTGTCATTTCAACTTGTGATTTATACACAAGATTTAGTCATGATGTAATTAGTGATTAGGGGAAGTGTGTGGGTGGTGTGCATTTACAGCCTGACTCATGTGAGTCTTCATCCCCAGCGTTTCCCATGTTGAGTTTGAGCATCTCCTGCTCAGTGGAAGTGACCACAGTTCATATTAGGAAAGTGTGGGTGTGCAGTGAGTTTTAATAAATCAGCAGTGAGCTGGTCAGTCGCTGCAGACTTTGATTCTGGAAGAGAAACCAGTCATCCAGTCTCATGGCACTGCCACTCCCAAGACAAGCCTGTGGGCCAAATAATATGAAGGATGAGTTTTAAGAACTCTGAATTTGAAAAATCTGTTTTTCCCCAGAGATTTGGTGACACTCATTCCCTTAGCAGGAATACTAGTTTGAAAAATAGAACATGTAACTACCTCATGCAGGTGATTTTCATTTGATCTCTCTCTGTAAATGCCTAAATTCTCAAACACTCTCTCTTAGAGCATGATTTCTGCAATTGTGAACAGTTCCTACTACGCCAACGTCTCCACCTCTAAATGCCAGGAGTTTGGACGCTGGTACAAGAGGTACAAACGTAACAAAGGTAAATTTTTAATAATATGCTCACTCAAATGTAATTTTATATGCATACATACACACAAACACACACACACATATGATTAGCATGTTCATCTATCTGGGCCTCCTTGAATGTGGAAGTTGGTAACAAGTCTGTATTCTGTTGATTATGGACTGCTGTTGCACATGTTTGTTGGCTGTCATAGACAGCAGCATGCTAAGTCTAATCAGACCAGTGTAGTTAATTAACTGCAGTGCGTGTGCCATCTAACTTCTTGCCTGAAATACTGTCTGAGGCTGTCTGTCTTTGGTTATAGCAGCTTCATTAGGTCATTGGGATATTTTGTAAGTTCAGCTTTCGTCCTTTTTGGGAAAGTCTGCTTCGCGTCTTTTTAAGATCGAAGACAACGCTGTTGTTGTATTTGTCATTTCTTATATAATTTCCCAATAGTACACAATCAACATGAGTAAATTCAGCTTCAGTTTGGGCAAATGGAAATATGTGTCTTAGCAGTAGTTGCAACAGTTCTTATCAAGAGACTTGATAAGCGAAAGTTCAGTTTGCTTATCCTTCCTTACTTATACATGGCACCACGAAATTCTGACAAAGTGACTTTTTTTCTTATCTGCATGCCATCTGTCCCTGGTGTCTCTTCTTGTCACTCAATACTTCTGTGCTCCTTAACTCCAAAGCTAAGTGTTTTTCTTCTTCCATGTTATAAACCTTTAGTCTGCTTCTAACTCCTGCACTCTCACCACCAATAATTTAGCTTTCTTTACTTTATTTGCCTCATGTTACTTTGACAGTCTTCCCATTGAGTTTTCAGACATGTTTGAAACAATGCTTTTCATCTCAAGCTAATGGCTCACCTGCCCAACTGCCTTCATTTTGTGATGATTTTTTTTCCTTTTTCTGTCCACCCCCTGTATGTGTACGAACATGTATGTCAGCCTTTGTGTGTAATCTGCTGCATGCGACGGTGTCAGTGACAGCTCTCAGTGGGAAGGAACTGTCACACATGGTTCACATTAACATCACCCTTAATACACATGACAAAACTAAATGCTCTTAACTCCTAATGGAAAACAGCAGTAACTCTCCAACACACGCCACCAAGAGCTAGGAATAAGAGATCCCCTTACACTTACCATACACACACACACACACACACACACACACACACACACACACACACACA